CCATTGATTTCTTAACATGATTGGCTGGATCTGAAAGTATTAACCAATCATACTGAGCGCTCACTCAACAGTTGTGTCTGCTGAACGCGGCCAATAGCTGCGTTCAGCAGACACAACTGTTGAGTGAGCGCTCAGTATGATTGGTTAATACTTTCAGATCCAGCCAATCATGTTAAGAAATCATTGAGCGCTCACTCAACAGTTGTGCCTGCTGAACGCGGCCAATGATAGCTTTCGGTTCTTGGAAAAAGAACAGACCCATTTAATTTCCGTGTTGACCGCGGGTGGCACTTTAGGCGCCCCCGCAAGCTATGGCAATTTCGTACCCTCAAGGGCGTGCACAACGTGCCAACGACCCACGTTTCGTCGCGGAGCACGGAGATTGACGGAGATTGCGGAGCTTCCTGCGGGTCGGTGTGTCGCGGGTTTAAAGGGCAGTAAGCGAGCGATTTGCCTCGTCACCGCAACATTCGGGATTGTACGTATAAATGCCGAGTTACTCCTCTTCCCACCTGCGTTCAGCCGAGTGAGAGTCGCGTCCGACGACCACGACGCGGGAAGTCGCGAATACCAGGGTGTGAATTACGATCGTTTCCGTATCGCGTGCGAGCGAGGCTGGTATTGACGCGGGAGTCTACGTATACTCCGCGCGTTCGCCCGAGATCGCGACAGTTCCTCATCGACTCCGGCCGGTGGTCCTCTCCTCTCGACGAGAACCTCGGCCCGGTTAGTCCCTCTTCGCGGCGGAAAACCACCCCTCCCCGTCGCCGAGTAAGTAAAGTCGAATGCGAGCTATTCACCGAGTTGCGTTTCTAGGTTAGATGGGCGATCGGGTCGGAGAGGCGCGCGGCTGACCGCGCGGATCCACGGCGGACGCGCACGCGAGCGTACAATTTGCCTGCGACCACGGTTCTCCCTTGGGGGCCCCCGATGACCGCCTGACGGCTGGAGCTTCATGGTGCGAACCGTAACGCTGCATTCCGATTGTAGAGCGCGAGTCCCTCGGCGAGTTCCCCCGGGTTGAGATTAGATCGGGCGATGCGAGAGGCTACGTGACGTTGTAAGCGAGGAAAGTGTCCGTCGTACTGGGGCCCGGAGTGATCCAGGACAATGGAGAAAATTATCAGAATGCCGCAGCTGAGGCAGCTGCTCGGCGAGTTCCCCGGTAATATGAAGTTCTGTTTCGCTTACGGATCGGGCGCGTTCAGGCAGCATAACAACGACGACGGCAATAACATGCTGGACCTCGTGTTCGTCGTGCGCAACGCCAACAAGTGGCACGCGGAGAATCTGGCGAGAAATCCCAAGCATTACTCTCAACTGCTGAGACTTCTCGGCCCCAAGGCGATCACCAATGTCCAGGAGGGATCGGGCGCCAAGGTGTTTTACAACACGCTGGTGAGATCGAGCGAGGGCCAGCTCATTAAGTACGGCGTCATCTCCGAGGTCTCGTTGGTGGAGGATTTGCTGGACTGGAACGATCTGTACATGGCGGGGAGATTGCACAAGCCGGTCAAGGTGCTGGTCGAGCCGGACCAGAGCTCCCAGCTGCCCACCGCTCTGGTGCAGAACTTGCACTCGGCCGTGCACGCGGCCCTGCTGCTGCTGCCCGAGTACTTCACGGAGGTCGACTTTTTCAGGCGGATCGCCAGCCTGTCCTACGACGGCGACTTCCGTATGATCTTCGGCGAGAACAGGGACAAGATCAGCAACATCGTGCTGCCGCAGTTGCAGCACTTCAAGCGGCTGTACGAGCCGATCTTGAAGCACCTCGACAATTACGTAGACATCCCAAAGTCCGATAATACGGCCGTCATGTGCCATCAGGACGTCAGCCCGGTGACCAAGGTCCACCATCTCAATCATTTACCCAGAGTGCCCCAGGTTAAACTGGTCCGGGCGTGGTCTCACGGCCCGAGGTCGAAGGACACGGAGGATTGCTTGCGCGCGATCGCGCACGATCCGGAGTGCTGCGAGATATTGGAGCGGTCCTTGAGGAAGATCGTTTGGCGGTCCAGCGTGACGCAAAGCCTCAAGGGCATCGTGACCGCGGGGCTCGTAAAGTCCGTCAGATACAGCGGCGCCAAGATAGTTAAGATGCTGCAGTCCAATCAACTGCCTAAGCCCGATCCGAATAAGATGATAAAAATTGCCGAGACTGTTGCCAAGAAGACAGAGCCTAGGAACGCCGAGAAGCGCGTCGAGTAGTCGCTCCGCTATTTCTTTAGATAGAGCCCGTTCAATCCCGATGTTTATGTATACATGCACACGCTTGTAAATCCCCGTACGAAGCCTGTATCACAAATAAAGTGGATAGTTGTACTCTACGATGTAATATTTCATTTCTAGGTGTTATTCGACGCCTTCGGTTTGTGGTATACGCTCGTAAAGTAGTGAGACTATTTTATTTTCCGTTTCTTGAAAAGAGTCTCCTCGGCTGAAACGTTCTCTGCTAAAATGTATCGCCCAGTATCACGAGAATTCAAGAGATGTTGGTCATTTGTATGTGTGTACATATAAAAATGTGTATATGTTTACGTACACTTGTCGCTAAAGGTTTAACTTACAACAGTTTTGTCTTTCAGTATGTAACTAGACTATGACAGCGATGGATTCCGATTCCGAGAGTCAGGATAGCGACGAAGGGCGGCGATTTCGTTTCGAGGCCACGCGCAAGGACTCGGCCGCGCCCGTGGACACCGCGGGTCGAACCAAGTCGCCTAAGAAGAAGCACGAGTCGTCCCGCGACGAGAGCTATCGGGACAGGAAGGAACGATCCAAACACGAGAGCGGCGGCAAGGCGGACGACAAGGATCTCAGACACTCCGGGAAGTACTGGAAGCACGAGTCGAGGAACTCGAGGCAGGAGGACGGCAAGAATTCGCACAAGGACCACAGGGAGAGCAGGTCCGGTCTCGCCGTGAATGACCGAGGCTCCAGAAGTTCCAACGGCGGCAACGACGCGAGGGAGAGATCGCGCGACTCCAAGTGGCAGTCGGACAGGGACCGGAGCGTCCACCGGGCGCAGCGCTCGCGGGAGCACTCGTACGAGAGAAACCATCACGACGAGCGTGCGTCGAGCGATAAGCACCGGGGTCGATATCACGAGAGGCACAAGCATCGTTCTCGCGACAGGAGCCGGGACAGAGCTCATCAGTCGAGTAGAGTCAAGTCCTCGAGCGACAATCATCGGTCTCGGGAGGATCACGGGAGGCACGATTCCTCCAGGAAGATATCGGTGAAGGAGAATAGGTCGCAGAATTCGAGAGACCATTCCTCGCCCAAGAGCACCGAGCGCGAGCGCAGTCACAGCGAGACTCGCTCGGGCGAGAACACGAAGGATAAGAAGGATTCGTCGATAGAGGTTCAAGACTGCAAGGATTTAGATTTGTCGCAATTCGACGTCCTGTCGGAGACCGACGAGAACATGTCGGACGACCGGGATTCCGAGAGCCGAACGTTATCTCCGCACTCGCGTAAGATCAAGAGACACGATTTCGGAAGCCGGTCGGGAAGTCGCGCGACAAAGCGAGAGAACGATGACGGTGCCAGCGAGAGAAAACGGCGGGAGGAGCTAAAGGTAAAGAAAAGGAGCTGTGATCCGGCATCTAGTTCCAGTAATAATAATCCTAGTGCCGTTTCAGATCCCTTACTCGCCTCCGCGTCGCACGCGACGCTCTTGGTAACGCGAGAGACTCGTACGGACTCTGAGAGAGAAAAGTCTGAATACCGTCAAGAGGAGAGTAACGTCGAACGTTATTCTCTTCCGAGTTCGGGAGAGAAGCATTCGCGTTCTAGTGCTTCTTCGGGTGAGGCGCGATCATTGGAGAAAAATACCGATCAGGCCGGATTCACGTACGGTCCGCTTTTACCACCGGGATTCGCATTCAACACGTCCGACGACGAACCTAATGTTGCGACGCCGAATATCCTTGACGAATACAAAGTCAGCGATGAGGTCGATGGAAACGGTATGAATGTTATCGGACCTCGTTTACTACCTCGGTTAAACGATCGTCGAAGCGTGGAGCGAGAAGACGCAGCGGATGCTTCTGCGACGGAAGCGGACGCTGTTTTCGGGCCAGCACTGCCACCACATTTGTTACAAAAACACCGACGGAACCATTCGCGGGATAGAATTATCGGCCCTGTGTTACCCGACACGCTGAAGTCTCAGGAGGAAGGTTTGACCGCGTCCCCGGCATCTGACGACGAATCTGGGATAGGTCCCCTACCTGTGGATCACCCAGCTCTACAAACTAGCCGCGTACACGAAGAGTTAGATTTGAGAGCGCAAAGAATTAGAGACGAAAAATATTTGGAGGAGGTAAGGAAATCCGCCCGCAATTTCGTTGTCTCCAGTCCATCTTGGGGTTGATTTAAATTTTCACCCTTGCTCTTGCTATTTGCATCACAGTGAAATAATGTTATCTGTTTCAAAATTTTTTTATATGCGGAGTAGTAGGAAAATCAAATGGGTACTTAATATGAGATAATCGTTGTATCCAGTGCCCAAATAAATTGCCCCACATCATGGATTATTAGTTTTCTTGATAAGAAAGAAAAATTATTTATATTTCAGATTGATATTGGAAATAAACGCGAGGAATGGATGACCGAGTTACCGTCCGCTCAAGCCGCCAATCTCGGCCTGGGCCCGCGCAAATTCAAGCTTCGAGACGGCCCAGATATGTCAGATAGATCATGCTGGACCGATACACCGGTACAAAAAGCTCAGAAGCAGATGAATTTGGAAAATGTAAAAAATGTACTACCATACATCTCCGTTTCAAATGCGAGGCGTTAAGGCCTTGAAATTTTATAAGCGTACTGACGTTATGCTCGTCGCGTTCTTTGTAGGAAGCGAAAAGATTCAGAGAATCAGAGAAAAGACGTGTAAATGAATTTCGCAGAAAAGAAGCGGACAAGGGTGAGAAGCGCGCGAAATCGCTATTAGAAGTGCATCAAAGCAAGATCGCCAAGAAAAAGAAGGTAGCTCGATTTATATTTTTAAGCTACGATCGTAACTTTTTCCATACACTTATTTCGAACAGAAAATATTTATACATTTGCTGTACCAGGGATTGTATCTTATATTCTAGAAAGAAGAAAGAGAAGCGAGACGGACTGGAGTGTCAACGAGAAGGCCGTTTGATAGAGACATCGATTTGCAAGTTAATCGATTTGATCAGTCGCAAAAGAAGTCTATTCTGATGAAAGCGCAGATGCTCGACGATAGGTTCTCGCGTGGGCAAGTCTAATGGTTCGAATTTTCACGGGGATTGTGGTAATTGTACATAATTATTAATTATAAAGGAAAGTTCTATATTAAATACATTGATTTGCAAGTTAATCGATGCGGCACAAAGAAAGACGATTGATGAAAGTGCAGTTGCTCGACGATAGGTTCGACGTAGACAAAATTAACGGGTTCGAATTCTCACGGGAATAAAATTAAAATAACTGTAAATAATTGTTAATTTTAATGGAATTTAGATTGTATGTTATACGTACATTCGGAAATTGGCAGAGATACTGAATAATGTTTCACGGTGCCTTGAACTAACAGAGTTCTTGCCATTTTTGACTGACAGTTTTACATCAATGTTTTAGCAGAATATGCACACCGGTTTCGTTATATTCTAATCGTGATATTTTATAAATTTTTTTTTATAAAGCCACATTTTACTGTCGGAGTCAACTAACTTTCGTCAAATATTTCGACTTCACCTCAGTTCCTCGGCTGTTTCCGAAACAAATGTGTTGTAAATTGTGTCGCGAACGTTATTGCAGACTTGATTTTCTATCACGGCTACGAGTCGAGCGTTTGTTTTAGATAAAGTTTATTCAGTCGTTTCCTGCACGTTTCGTACTTGCATTGTGCGATGCAACGACGCATAAGTTACAATCGAACGGAGATTTTATAAATACTGACTCGTAATGTATATATAGCGTTGTTCTGTATGTGACGCATCGTAAAAGCGACCGTGATGTATGTAATAATAACGATTGTACGGTATATTTCTGCTCATGCGTAAAATAGATATGCCGCTCGTTGTTTAATCGTCGTATTTTCTATAAGTGAGACAGTACAAAATAGTGCGATACTTGGCACTGTTGATACGTATCTTGGAAGGATACATATCAGCGTGGCTGCAGTAAGTACAAGTAAAACTACGTTGTCACACTTGTACGCTCGAGACACATCACACTGACTTCACGTATACGTTCCCAGATGCGACTCGATACTTTCGGTGGGCCTGAAGCCAAATGTTCCCAAGTTTTCAATTTACATTACTTGAGAGACTATACGTACGTACGCATAGTCATAGTAAATATACTGAGCGTCCCATTGAATAAGCTGAAGCTTGTAAGAGAGAGAGAGATTTAAGAAGACTTTCTTTCTCTGTCTCACCATCGTGACAAAGGAGGGGCAGGCACGATTCTTTTACGATGGTGTAAGACAAAGAAAGAAAGTCTTCTTAAATCTCTCTCTCTCTCTCTCTCTTCCTCCCCTTCTCTCTCTCTCTCTCCATGAGCTTCAGCTTATTCAATGGGACGCTCAGTCTGTATTTACTATGTCTATGTACGCACATCTTACGTATATTAAAAACAATTGAAAAATTTGGTATGCCAAGGATCTCAATTGCTGATGTGTTGTGGATTTGCCATTGCACTTTATCATAGCAGGAGAATTGTACGATATTATCAGATTTATACCATTCGACGATTGTTCGTTTTCCGCTGAGAAATTATGTAAATCTGTATTTCTACACACAAATACAATATGTTTTGATTAAGGTTGTCTTGTCCATTTTTCCTTCTACCCCTTCACGTTATTCTATCGTACAGTTTTCACGTGATTGAATGATGCGGTCGATTAATGTTTTATGTCCGTTTCTATCAGTGTAACTCGAATCTCGATTTAACTTTGTCGTCCCTTTCTAATTTTTGAAACTAAGAAAAAAATATTGGATCGAGAGTAAATTTCGTCTATACTGATAGAAATGGACATTAATGGACCAGGAAATAAAGGGATAAACTAAATATCCCATTTGTTATTTCAATTCGAAAACAGCGATAGCTTCTATGGTTTTCAAATCGTAATCTGTTAGAAATTTATAAGCTTTGCAGCTAATTATCGATTAATATTAAACGCAGAGAGAAAAGAGATTATATCGGGAACGTCGAATTAATTATTAATTAATGCTGATTGGAAAATTGATCGGAAATCCACTACTTTCACATTTATTTTTCAATGACCCCTTTGTCCACGGCCGCAGCAATATTTAAAGTAATTCCAACTAAATTCTCATCAAATTGTCGGCCACTAACAAACAACATCTTGTCAACGGTACCCTATTATGGCCCCATTACGTAACAAGATACTATAATTATCTGATAACGAGATAGAATTAAATAATAATAATCTAATTGCGTAATAAAGATATAATCTAATCAGATGGCAAGATTAAACAGTCATTCCTCTTTCTCGAAGGGAAAGAGGCGAGAGGTCTCGAGGGATTTCGTGCGACAAATAAAAAAAAGAAATAAACCCGAGAAGACTCGCACGCCGAGGCCCGTCTCTCGCCTCTCGCCCACGCACGCACGCGATTGGCCGCGGGATCTCGCGCAGCTTCTCGCAGTCGTGCGAGTGGCCTGGCGAGTCCGACCGACTGACAGCTCGTCTCGTCAGCTTAGCCGATTCTCCAGCCGATTTCTCCGCCCGGCGAGCGACCGCCGATCCGACCCGGTCGATCGACCTGCCCGTCGCCCGCTCGCCCGCGCCGTCGCCGTCGCCGTCCCCGCCGCTCGGCCCGACGTTCGCGGGGGAGAATGATCCAAGAGTGAGACGCAGCTAACCTCGAAAGCGACGTTCGCGCTCGTGACGGGCCCGTCCCTTCCGCCGTCCCGGTCACGCGAGCGATCGCGCCCGTCCAGGAGGCGTCCGAGAAGCGTTTCTCGGACGGACACCCGGAAGAGAGCGAGATAGAGAGAGAGAGAGAGTGAACGGGAAAGAGACATTCGAGGGAGGAAGGACAGGAAGGAGGAGGAGGAGAGAAGAGGAAACCCCCGACGAAGCATCCTCGTCAATGGTCGGTCGAGCAGCGTTCGCGACGCCGAGTGACTAATGGTCGCGTGCGGATGAGAGACTCGACATCGACCTCCAAGTACGTATCGTCCGCGTGCTCGTCCGCGACGTTTCTCCCGCGGCTCCCGAAATCACGCCGCTCCCCGACCCGCCGTCGTCGTCGACGTCGACGGTTATCGCCGCGACGCAACGCGGTCAATCGGCCGCAAAACAGAGCGAGCGAGCGAGCCCGTTGACCCGCGACGCACGAATACACGCGCGCGTCTCGCTCGCGTATCGACGTGTTATCAGCTTCCCTTGTCCGAGCAGTGAGCGAGAGTCGCCGGCCGAGAGAGAGAGAGAGAGGCAGGAAGCGGCCTCGGTCCCGTCGACGACGACAGGTGTTTCCTCCGCGCCCCTCGCCGCCGGGGAGAGCAAGTCGGAGATCGGAGGCTGCTGCCTTCGTCTCTCCTCGCTCCGCCGACGGACGACGGACCGCGGAGGCAGCTGCGCGGGGATCCACTTGCGAGCCGCGGATAACGCACGCTTTGTCCTGGGGATCGTCGGAGCGGGCGATCCCACGGGACTGTTGTGCGCGCCTAATCCTAAAGCGCGTTTCGAAACCGCCGAGGGTACCGGACGGGCCGCGCGCGCTTGTGTTTGTTTACCTTGATTAGATTAGACGCGTATTGTGAATCATTGCGTTTAGAGCGCGCGGCCACCGCATGCGTTCTGTGTCGCAGGAGCGGCACCTCTGTGCGAGATTAAACCTGGTGCTCCACCAACGTCGTTTAACCGTCTCGGTTTCAATTGTTTCTTATCTCTTTTTAAAGGGACAGAGTTGGAAAGAGACAAAGGAGGCCCCGTTGCGAGTTCGAACGATAAGAATGTAGTCCTACTTTGTTTTTCCCTAGAGTGGCCCGGCTAACAGCTCTTACCGCAATGTACTTTCTGCCTGCGTCAGACGTCATTCCTTGTGATACCAGCAAAGCGAACCTGGCAACCGTAGAATGAGCCGCTCGAGCGAGATCCTGGGGAGATATTGATATTGAAGGTGGATGTTTACACCCATTTGTCAAGATGCGCCAGTGTTGCTTGAGCCACCAGGTCCTGCTGTGGCTTATCCTTCTGATATTCTGCGCCGCGTACAGCAGCGGGGATATCCTAGTGTTTTCCGCGGCGGCGCGGCACCAAATCGAGGAGGAGTTTCGCGATATGCCCGCCAAGTTCGGTGGTGTAATACCACCGGAGGGCATTAAGGTACACGCGTCGTCTCATTCGCTCTATAGCAAATTGTACACTTTGTGCCTACAACTATTCTACGTTGTACAATGTTATTAGGGCATGGTAGTCTACGCCGATCCTCCCGCAGCGTGCCACAAAATACAGGCTCCGCCAAACAATACCGATTACAATGGTAATTGGATAGTGTTGATACGACGTTATAACTGTAGCTTCGAAATAAAAGTTCGAATGGCACAGGAAGCTGGATACGACGCCGCTATCGTGCACAACGTAAACAGCAATGAATTAGGTAAACTGGCCGCGTATCGATTCGTCGTAACAGTAGAGCGATATCCACGTAAATGGAGACACGGCAGAGAGATGGACTATTTGTCAGTTTGAGACGTAAAAGCCATTTTAGGACCTGGCACAGGTGGAGGTGGCCAATTAAATTACCAAGTGAATCCAGATACCGTCTTTTTCCAACTTGTCCTGCGCGCCGGATTCGCTTGGTAATTTAATTGGCCACCTCCACCTGTGCCCAGGTCCTAAATGGCTTTTGCATTTCCAATTGATTTATATCTTAAAGGACCTAGTTAAAAGTCTCGATGGATTGTTTGATTCCAGAACCGATGTCGGCGAAGGATTCCGTGGGAGTTTTAATACCATCCGTGTTTGTCAGCGACATTACGGGCGTTGTTATCAGAGAAAATTATTTATACGACCAGCTGTACTTCGTACTGATCAACGACGATCTGCCGTTCAATATCAACACCCACCTGCTCCTGCCTTTTGCTATTGTTGTTGGAATATGTTTTCTAATTATAGTTATCTTTATGGTAAGTCGCAGACGCGATGTCGACGATGCGCGTAATATTTTGTCGGCTTTAATGTACCGATTATTTACGCGCCGTACAGATTGTCCGATGCATAAAGGACCGAAGGCGACAGCGGAGGCACAGGCTACCCAATTCTAGCTTGAAAAAGATCCCTACACACAAGTATACAAAGGGTGATCCGTACGAGACATGTGCCATTTGTTTGGACGATTACGTAGAAGGGGAGAAACTACGAGTGTTACCGTGTGCACACGGTGCGTTTTTCTAACAAACTATTGGCGCGATATTTCCATTACAGCGAACGGCATTTCGTTCCCGCGGTCAGCATTTTCTTAAATATTAACTTTACTATTTGCCCGTTTGTAATTTCAGCTTATCATTCCAAATGTATTGACCCATGGTTGACAAAAAATCGAAGAGTCTGTCCCGTGTGTAAGAGGAAGGTTTTTGCAGCTGACGAACAAGTCGTGACCGATGAGAGCGACTCGGATGATGATACAGCACCTCTTATTCGCGATGGTCACCAAGGTGCGGAGATGCTTTCTTGTGCGATCGATAGATAATATGCGCGACTTGTTGCGAACTCGAGGAGAAATGTTTTTTTCAGGTACGCAAGGAGGAACGTTCGCGCGGCAGAGGGAGAATCCTTTTAACAGAGCCAGGAGATCACAGGCTAGACAGGATAGTAGTAGTTCTAGCGATAATAGCTCCGATTCTGAGCAGTCCTACGTTACTACCGAGGATGGCGTTAGCACTAGTGCTGGTGAACCATCCAACATCACCGTTTTTATGGTATCCGACACTCACAGTATAAACGGTAAGACCTCAAGACTAACTGCGTATGTGGCTGTGAAAAATAGCTTAAAGCACGCGTTCGTTTCGTTCGATCTGCAGGTGAATCACAGGAGTTGGAGCGTTCGGCCAGTAGCACTAACCCGCACACGGTGGGTTCGTACACGGACGCTCAAGAATTTCCAGCACCTGTTGTTCAAATCGCACCGACACGACGCGGGGTCCTGGTAAATCCCGTGATGTCGAATTCCGATCATTATGTCGAGACTTCGGATAATGCGTCGGTGATGGCCAGTAGTTCTAACAGAAACGATGTTATTACGTAATGGCCTGACATAGCTGTGACTATCGTTAAACGTTCTGAATTGTTCGTGTTTCGCGGAAAGAACTTTTACTTTTCTTTCGCGAGAGATACACTGGCACCGGTGCGCACGACATAGAAGCGACATAGAATAATGAGGATGAATATATAATCCGGAAGTAGGTAGTATTTTTAATACATATAAAACTGTTAATTTCGTCTCTTGGATAATGATATTGCGGCTTTGCTTTATGGCAAATATTCTTTCGCACTAATCTGTCGAGTATGTGTTTGGTGAATTACGTAATAATAACGTTTCCTTTCTCTCGCGACGAGTATCACTTGCAGTGACGTATTTTGGAAAGAGATTTAATAATTTTACATTTTATATATTATTGCCAACATTCTTCGAGAGATATTTTAAATTTTATTCACGCACGAAACCAAAATTCATGTATAATGAAATGTATATACTAATGTATAATTATTTGATCTGCTTTTTTTTTACTTTCAAGAGCTATGCATTGCATTATTGCTTGATTCCTTGACTTTTTATCCTCAGTGTTGAAACCGTTTTCAATAAATATATAAATATATATATGTAAGTAGGTAAGACTGCAAATTCTAGTTCATTTAATGAAATATTATTTTGTACATTAGCTTAATTCATAACTTTATGTGGCCTATCTTGATTTACGCTTTATTTGATTGAGTTTATCCGAAATTGCACGCTACTATCATTCGATTACCAAAACTTAAATATGATGTAATATATGCTTGCAATTAGGTATAAGTTTACTGCGATTACGTTAATAGACGAATACTGGTGATATTGTAAAATGACGAACACAGCTTTGTTGCCGACATCGGGTCTGTACATATAAATATCTATTAATTATATCTAACAGTCAGAGACCAAAAATGCGCAGATTCCTTTCAATGCAGGACATAGGATACTGTGAACTTTCAAGTTTAGATACTAAGTTGATGAAATTGAATCTTTAACCGCGTTAAGTTTTATGGAAAATTTATTGTTACCCAAAGTATATTATGTGAACTAACTGTACCGTTTTATAAAAGATAGATTAGTACTTATATATGAAGTGGGCTGTATATATGACGTGTCAATAATTACATGTACATTTCGCTACTCTCAAATAACGTGTTTACTCGATTTTTCAGACATTAACAAAAGAAATTGAAAGTATATGATCATATAATATACGATCATATCTAATTTAAATTGAACACGGAGGGACGTCAGAGTAACGCTAACACATATTAGTGACTTTATTATTTTATTATAAGATTGTGCTTGATAGATCTGATCGAACGGAGTATGTCAATGAAAATCGCGAGGGCTTATCGAATTATAAATGATATTCTGTTGTTTATTCGTATAGACACATACGCGTACGATTTAAGTCTAATCCACAATGTGTTCTTTGGGACTAGAAACATTCTATTTTATAGCCAAGAAATATGTTTACAAAAATTTGTGCAAATTGATAAATTGTACATTATTCATTGCACGATCGTACATTGATTAATGATACATTGACAATCGACGATGTACGATCGTGCAATATATAATGTACAATTTATCAATTTGCACAAACTTTTTAAACGTATTTCTTTGCTATGAAATGTAATGTTTTTAAATGCACAGAGCACATTGTAGATCGGGCTTTAATTTTGAAATAAATAGGAACAATGTTGCTTGAACGTACTAATATCGATTGTGACTCAAGCGAAACGTGGAAAAATTGTAAAAAGATTTGTAAATAATAATGGGAAGATTTCGTTATATACATACGTAGGCAGGACGCGGTATTTTTCTTTTTTAATAATCGCCAAATCGGAACAAAAGTATTTACTATTATCGTTTAACGATATATAAATGTAATATACTAATAAAAATGTATTTATATTTTTTTATCATACTATGCCACTTGTCTCAGTCTTTTGTAAGATGCATATTTACTGCAACTGCACTTACTGATAATTGATGCTAAAATCTAACGATATGATGGCAGATTAAACCTAAGATTTAGAAAGTACGGATCGATGTGTTACGGTATGGATACACGAAAAGAATATTTATCAAGTTAAAAAAGTTTATCACTGCGAGTATATCATAGAATCTTGCAAGCGACAAGTCGAACTTCAGGATGAAGCACCAGCTCGGAGGTGGACCGGCGAAGAGAGGGCTGTTCTCTCTATGTTTGCTGTCGCAGCAGTGCCGATGTTGACCCTCCGGCTTCGTACTTTTTCCCTACGTCGTTCTCCCTTTTCCCTCTTTTTTTTTCCCCCCTATAATCTGCGTACGTAATCGCGAGAGAATGACAAACATATTGTACGATTGAAATCGTTCTTGATGTATCGGAACACGAGCTCATAGATTCTCGCCGGGATCGCGACTGACATGTTGAGGGAAATGTATATTTCAAGAGTCTAGAACACGTTTCTCAAGATAACATGTGAATTATGTAAGTTGTATATCGAATGCCACGAGAGCTGTGAGTGAAATGAGGAAAAACCGGAGTGGCTTCAAGCAATGACGTGACGGAGAAGCTGTCCGTGTGACTAACCCCTTGCTCGTTCCTATAGCTGGCTGTGTGTTATCGATTCGCGAAAATTTCTTTTCGCTCACGGCCATGCGCAACCCCCGATTCCACCTTGAAATAAGGAAGAGTACGAGTCGCGCACGTAATGTGGTCGTCGATACGCCACGATTTACACGGGACGTCTATGAATGCGCGGATTTCTTTTTACATATCCTTATTGTAACACATTGTTTCATACAGATTGGAATCTACTGTTTAGCTCAGCTTTGCAAGCTCCGCGAACTTTCTATCCTAGGGTGGAAACGCCTTGATTTTGTCAGTGTGATTTTACGAGTGTAGAGTTGGGGATAGAAACGTGAAAATACTTTTCGCCAAATGTATGTATGGATTAGGTAAAAATTTTACACATGTGCCGGGACACATTCGGCAAACAACTTGTTCGTAATTCCAATTGGAATTTAAGGGCTTCTCTGCGACTTTATTGTGAATTTATCATTTAATTTAGGCATCGCAAGCGTCTTTTGTGCATTTCTTATTGTAAAACTACATTGGGGATCTTATTGGAAAAATGAAAAACAAAATAGAATATCTTATTATTATTTTCGAAAGTTCAATCTTACCATTGTAAGATATTTACGCCAGTTTTTCCACTGGAGATCAGTCTATAGATCGACTTTAATTAATTCCAAAAATGTATATTAGAAATGCGATACATTCTATTACAGTTATAAGACTTAATAAAGATTAAAGAAAATAAAACACAACGCTGCAAAATACCCCTGGAGTGTTATTTTCTTCCAATATTATGGCCCTATGCCATCCCTTTTCTCGTCCCGCTTTTCTTTTTTCCTTACATCTATTCCGTGGAATTTAAATAATTAGACAAAACGGTTGCTCTTGCAGAATATTTTATCTTTTTACATAGGCTGCTCTATTTTTACTGGACATCGTTGCAATTAAATATACTTTGGTTAAACTCGGCGCAGATTTTTCAATAAAATTGAGTTATATTTCCGTTATATTTCTGTAACTGTAACTTAATTCAGTTACATTAATAGTCACTTTAAGTATATTTGAAACCTCCACAAATTACATTGGGCCTTGCACTCGCGCGTAAACGCCTTTATTAACGCTTTACAATTCAAGCAGATTTAATATTTTTATTTTCATTGCAAGAAAGTAACTGCAAAGTAACGATTCGTTACTTTTTGAGTAACCGTAACTGTAACGCGTTACTTTTCAGAATTGGTAGCTTGTAACTGTAACTAGTTACATTTTTATAAAGTAACTTTCCCAACCGTGAAATTTGACAATTAATCAGAAAATAAAATGCCGGGTTTAAATGGTGCAGTACATACCTTCGGCTTCTCCGTCTTTAGGGTGTACCAGTGAGAGATGATTCGTCGACGAGTCGTATAACTGGAGCGTGTGAATTTCGCAGGATACAAACGTAATTGCAGAGTCCGCACATCACTGTGTCCTGTTACTTAAATCACTTAATCCGCGCACTTTCACACACGACACTCGCGAAAGTACAGTTGTTAAGAGTCACATGGCACTTTATATATCACTTCCGATGTTAATTGTTCACGCGGCTCTACTGTATTTCAATGGAACGATCAATTGAGATCGCGGATTATACGAAAGTACGCGATGCGATGTATTTTCGACACTCCCGTCGCTTTGATTTTCACGAGCGAATATGTCGCGCGCGACACGCACAGAGTATTCACTTCGATACACTCGCGAATCACTGAAAATGACACTTGGTTGATCGTGCGGCAGGTAAATGCGTGTTATTCACGAAGAGCGGGCGATAGATCCTAACGCTACTACGTACGCCTTTGAACTGCGTGCCGGTGACTTTGTGCCGCGCGGTGACCTCGGCGAAAAAGCGCGTCGCGCTCGTCGACGTAAACAACTCCGGGAATTTCTCATAAAAAGTATTTCGTCATCGTTCTCCGAAATATTTTACAACTGTAACGTTGTTTTTCCGTGCAAATTCGAAAGAATCGCAACGCGATTGCCGGCGCGTTACTTACGCGCGAAACGTACGAATGTATGAAGTGCGAACGAACGGCGATGTATTCCGGCGTCCGGTTTATTAGAAACATTCGATACGATGATATTTTACTCGGGCCCTTTCTCCCTTCGGAGAGAATCTAAATTATTCTAAATAAGCGAGGAGCGATCAAGAGACCCTCGCGCTACGGCGCACGAAATGGTTCTGAACTGCCTGCCGGCGGCTTTGTTCCGGCGACCTCGAGAGAACAAAGCGCGCACGTTTGGCAACGTAAAAGACTCCCCAGGTCTCCGTTGAAGTCCGTTATCGATCTCTGAAATATTTTAATACTTTAATATTGATCTCCCGTCTAAATTTGAAAGAAACGCGACACCGATTGTCCCGATATATTCCGTGCCCACTGCGTTATATGAATGGGGACGACATGTCTGAATGGGCCGGTATAATTCGCGCGGTACTACGCGAGTCAAGTGGACAGCAAATAAAGACACGCAGTTGATTAACCGCGAGGATTGTAGAGTATATACAAGATTCAAAAATTAGCAATTTAATATCGTGCAAAGGAATTCAATATTGTATAAATAATACTATATCAAACTTATGCATTTCGAGAGTGTAAAATACGGCATTGTTGTGCGTTTCACTGAGCGTAATACTTAGATAATTGTACAATAGGTAAATGTGTATTGTACGAGAAGAGCGATCAAAAGATTTTACATACGAAACGATTCTGAACTGCCTTCCAGTGACATTGAGCTGCGCTTTTATATCTCGGTATTTTATATTTTACGTCTCGTGTCTTAAATCGACTTTTAAGAATGGTCTATGTAGTGAACTTATATTAGAGGACCACCAGAATATGGAATTATTAAACTGCTGCGGAATATGTAACGACTCATGTTTCTAATTTATTAAAATCACGCAAATCTCAATTGTTCAAAAAATTTCTCTGTTAATTTATAAATTTATCCGAAAGAAATGTCTGAAGAAATATATTGCTAATAAATTATTTTCCATTTTCCGACAAAAATGTAAATAAATTAAAGTTGTCAAATCGCAATGCGTGTTGTAATCGAATTTAAGAATTGATTTTTAAACGAGTAATTACACACAGAGTCCGGAGTTTAAGCTAGTGCACTCGATTCCGTTTCTCTTAATTTCAACGTTTTCAATAACTGTAAAAGATATCACCGTAAGCATTTCATAAGAAGAGCTATCTGTTCGAAGGAACCGATGCAAATTCACGAAGCATTTTAAGAGTTTGAATTGATTAGTATTCAAAAGCGTACAAGATGTTTTTATTTAATTGGCTGTCATGTAACTCTCAAGTATCGATACTACTGGGGGCGTCCAATATATCAGCAGTTTCGAATTTCATGAGGCGTCTGATTGTTACGCTACTATAACGAAGAGGATTAGTTGAATCAGAGCCGTTGGCTCGTTCCGATCAAGATGAAAGTACTACAGGTGTTCGGATTTTTCGTAATGCTCTGGCACAGTCAATTTGGTATGTCATTTAAATAATGATAATTGTTAAAATAATAATAATCGTCTTATTACATATACTTTTCCACATACAGTAATTTAGCAATTAAGCACACGAGTTTTGTTTAAAAATAATTTACAATTCAATTGCTTTATAAATTATAATTTTGCAAATTAATAAAGTTCGTAAGATTCTCGTGTGGAAAACACCAATTCGAAGGAATAAAAATTAAATAGCCATGATAGAATGTTAGTGTCTAAATATTTCTTATTTTTAAATTTATTGCGAAAAATATTCAAACCCTGGCTGAGGTAATATTTTTCGCAATAAATTTAAAAATAAGAAATATTTAGACAGTAACATCCTGTCACGGCTCTTTAGTCTTTATTCCTTCAAATTATAATTTTATTATTATAAAAGTTTCTAAGAAACATTCTAGCAAGAAGTATTTACGATGAAATCATTTGACTGATCAAATATGATATTATATCAATTAAATCATAATATAAATTTAAATCTTCTTGTTTAGCTTTGACTATTATCCCAGCGATAGACGATGTTATAGTCCGAGGGTGCAAACTTTTAGAAAATAAGACGCCGCTATTGCGCCTTAAAAAGTATCTCTTTTGCGATTATGATAGCACGGTCCGTCCGAGTCATCATAAAGTAGCTGTCAACGTGACTCTCAATTTGATGCCGAAATTGATGGAATTTGTAAGTGCATCAATGTACTTTTTTTGTACATTAAATTAAATTACACGATTGTACGTAGCTATAATAAGTAATACATCTTACTATAAAAATTAAAATAGATTTTATGTAAAGGAATAAATTACTTGTAGTTGAAGTGTAACTTTCAACTTTTCCGTTCATTTCGCGATTAAATATATAAGGACAAAATTAATTAATTTTATTTACAGGACGAGCAGGGTGTACTAACACTTCATAGCTGGATGTCACTCGTGAGTCTAAAATATTTTACTTATTGTACCACTTTTTTATGTTAATAAGATATTTAATTAACAGTCTTGGACGGACATGTTTCTTACTTGGAAGTCGAGTGATTATGATGGAATCACTTATATTCACGTGAAATCCCAGGACATTTGGATACCCGATCTATATATCTACAACTCGTACGTTATCTTTGTATCGTTATTATTAATTGTAGTAGTAGTAATACTATTACATTTTGCTTCAATTTATTGCAATTAATATTAATATTAGAGTTATACAACTGATAGTAGTAGTAGTACTACTCTAATATTAATATTAATTGCAATAAATTGAAGCAAAATGTAAAACATGTAACGTGTTTTCAACATGTTACATTTGTAAATTGATCTTCTGAATTATTTATTCGAAGGAATGATTCATCTTTTCTTTAAATTAGAAAAAATTGATATTTCTGATTTTTAAATGTTATTTTCTCTTTTTTCAAGATAACAAGTTTACAATTACTTTATAGTTCTCATTTTTATATTAGCCACTCATTTACGTAATAAATGCAACTAAATACTTGTTCGGTTCTTTTAGTGGCGATATGTCGAGTGATGAATACGAGTCAATTTACAAAACGGAATGTTTGGTGTTCAATACGGGTACTGTCGTTTGTGTGCCGCCTGTAAAATATGTTGCAAAATGCAATCCCAATTATATTTACTGGCCTCATGACCAGCACACATGTCGTATCGCACTTGGCTCATGGTCGCATACAGGAGAGGAAGTTGCCGTTCATTTAGACGGAATTGGAGTGCGTCAATTATCGAATTTATAAAACTACAACGATCGATTTTTTTTGCATTGTAAAATTAAGTCAATGTACTTCGAGCTGCGAATGATGTATTTCAAAATAGTGGTAAAAATTTTATCTCAAAATTATAAAATCAGAATATGTACCTTTCTTTCACTCTCCGTCTTAATTTAAGCTTGTTTTTAGAGACCTGTACGCACTTTTTGCCTTTCTTCCCTTTAATTTTCTATTCTTTTTTTAATAAATAGCTTTGTACTTTCATTATGACATAGTAAAAAATAGCTATTTAACTATATTTATTTCACAGGTTGATATGAACAGCTATGAGAATAACACAGTGTGGGACTTTAAATTGTTAAGTGCAGAAAAACTCGTCAAAAAGTATAAATGTTGTCCGAATGATACTTTTCCGAGAATCGATTACAAATTTTCATTGACACGGCACAATGACATAAATCACAAATCTTACGTCACACCAGCCATTGGTAAGCAATTGCAAAACCAAACTTGCATGGTAAATCTAGATCATAAATACCTTTTCTAGCTATGATATTCCTCACCCTAACGGTGCTCTGGTTGGATTCAAGATCGGTTGAACGAGTGGCAATCGCGTGCGTAAATTTTATTTGCCACATACTCTGCCTGATCGACTTGTTTTGGATACTGCCGTTTAATGGTGCTAGTACTCCTAACATAAGTAAGTATCAAAACCGCACAGAATGTTATAATTACAGATAAAAAATATCTTAAATGAAATCTTAGATATTCTAATTTCGTAACCTTAAGATAAAATCTCTTTGCAAATCTTTTAGCAATAATTTTGCAACATATATATATTAAATATTATTTAACATGGAAAAGATGGTATTATAGAATTGAAAATTAAGAATCACTAATTTAAATCAATTGCTAAGATCACACGTAATAATTTAAATGATAAATAACAAGTTAAATATCTTATATTCATTTTGCAGTGCTGTTCTACCGCGACTCCTTGGCGTTGGCTACCTTTGCCTTGATTCTGACAGCCTTGTTACGTAAACTGCAAAGCATGAACATGGAGATGCCACACTGGATGTCATCCACGACAACATTCATCTTGAGTAACAGGGCTGGTCGATTCCTCGTCTTGAACGATGAGGAATCCAAAATAGCAGGTGGAGGTGTAGTGACTGAAGACAGCTCGGATCTTCCAAAGTCTGGAATGGGAATGAAAGAATCGTCCTGGAGATATTTCGCCGTTATTGTCGAGTGGTTGTCATTCTTCTGCGTGACCCTCACCTATGTCGTCATCTTAATCACTCTTGTACCTTCGGGAAATTAGCGAATTAATCCATGGTGCGACCAAAACATTCTCTACAATGTTCAAAATCTTTTTAAACAATGTTCTGCTTTTCTGTGGAAGATTAAAATAAATAATTGTTTGCATTTTTAATGAAAATGTATACTTCATTTTTATTCCTTACATTTTAAACTTTATTAGTGATACTCCCTTGCAATTAGTGAAGTAGTAGGACAATTTAGCTTTAAAATATTTAGAATCGAGTAATTTATAATATTTATAATAATAATATTTGTACAAGTATATTATATAAGTATAGTAAAAAAATCAGTAAAGACAATGTTAATACTGTAATATAAAAGTAATATAAAATAATGTAAAAGTAATAAGTTATAGTTTCAAATTCGATTTTCTAAATAATTATGACCTTTTTATTTCCATTATTCTGATTTCTGCTAATTTCTGATAAAAATTGTCTATATTTAATATAAATATTAAGTAATATATTGTCGTCACAATAGTCTTTAAATTAATTAGTTTTGAAATTTTAAATATCATAAATACTATATTTTTTAGTTTTAAGTATAAAATAAATAAAATAGAATAAAAAAGACAATTCAAGATTATTTTGTGTTTTTGAATGTACATGTCGTTCATGATTAAAATAAAAAAAGATAAACCTATTGCTATTGCCGATAAGAGCTTGTTGTTGAGGGGGCGGTCTTCGTCTGTAGTTTTACATTTCACTGGGCGTATAATTATCGTCAGTTCTGCTCTCGCATAATCCATTGGCAAGCTATTCAGTCGTTGTAGGTCCGTTCGTCGCTCATCGTGTAGGTATTTAAAATGGGCAGTTTCTTTCCCATCCTACTGTTTAGTCTCAACATTGTGTGCGCTAACGTGATAGCGGAAAGCACGCGTAGCACATGTAACGTCGAGACCAAATCAACTATTGTGAAATTAAAAAGAGAACTTTTCTGTGAATACGATAGCGATGTAAGACCGGTTCAAAACAATAATAACGTAACGCGTGTACAATTTTATTTGAAGCCATTCTTCTACGACTACGTAAGTATCCGTGAAGTTTTTACTGAAGTTGAGTACTCCCATTGCTTTTTTAATCTATTTTCATTACATTTATATTTTCACAATCGTTTCTTGAATTATTATGCGTGTTTTGCAATATTAAATCCAGATTCTTGATTAAATATGTGACTTTTCATCCTTGAAAGAAAGAAATATATATAATATATATTTATATATCTATGCAAAATAGTTTAAGAGACGTGAAATATCATGATTTTATTGCCTTAACTTCAAATTAGTAAAAATATATTGTATATTGTATATATTGTAATTTACAAAACAAAATCTGAAAAATTAAATTTCGAAGTGCTAATTTATTTTTTAGACTCACGAAAGTGAAAAGTTTATATTACATACGTGGATATCAATGGTAAGTTTGCCGTATATAACTAGTACTTTATAAGATTACAGTTTCTAACTTGAGTTTTATATTAATATTTCGTTTGCACAGTCATGGAATGATTCGCATTTGACATGGGATCCTGCAGCGTACGATGACATCAAATGGATACCCGCAACAGGCGATCAAATTTGGGTGCCTGACGTTATGATACATAATGAGTAAGATATACACATATTTCTACAATAATTAGTAATTAAGAAAACATTATAATTTAAATTTAGCTATTATTACATTAATATCGATCCTTCATGTTCTTGCATAAATATATTAATTTTCTAATCTTCGAATTCAAACTCAATCTTTCCACAATTACGTTTACAAAAATATTAAAACATTTCTATTAACATATCTTAATGCATTTTACTTGGAGCTAAAAATGTGCATGATCTCAAACATCGATAAGATTGCATCAAAAAATTAAAATAAATCTTAGATATAGAAAATGTCAAATATTTAACATCAAGAATTATTTGATGCCAGCAAATGACAAACAATGATCAAGCTTCTAATCGACCATGACTGTCGATGTGTTTTAACACAGAAAATTTATTGCGAAAAATATTACCTCAGCAATAAATTTTCTGTGTTAAAACACATCGACGGTCATGGTCGATTAGAAGCTTGATCATTGTTTGTCAAATACTTATTTCCTAATTTCTATGTCTAAACTGTGGAATAATATTAGAGTTAAATGAAATCATATTATCTGTATGTTTAGACGAATTGGAGAAAGCTCATCGGATTATGACTCTTCAAGCTGTTGGATCTCGAGGAAAGGGATGGTTAAATGGTTAATGGCAGCAAAGTATGTTTCAACTTGCATCTCAGATAACACATGGTGGCCATACCATACCTTGAATTGCACTATACAATTCGGATCGTGGTCACATTCCGGTGACGAAATTGATCTTGTTGCCTACGAGAATATGGTAGGATTCTTTAAAATTTTTCAAAACAGATTTATCTTGAATTTGAGATAAACAATATTTGCGCGATGTGCGCGTGAAACAATAAAATTTTTTGAGAAATGCTCTCACAAGTTCTCTTTTTTAATCTGTTAATTTAATTAATTTACAGACACAGGCAAATGTAGACTCAAAACATCCCGAGTGGAATTTAGCGAAACTTTATGTAACGAAATCGATACAGAGATACAAGTACAATTCGGGTTCGACCGTCAAAATGTTTTCTTATCACTTTATTCTGAGCAGTCATTTCGACATAATTCGCATTGCATACGTATCACCTACTATAGGTACGTATTGGTGCATTATATTAATTTTTAAATTAATATTAATTAATATTAATTCACTGATATCAAAATATTCTTTTCATACTATTCAAAGCATTTGATAAAGTGATAAAAACTCGCGATCAAATTTTGTAATAAATAATTTTTTGATTATTTCAACTTAATATACGCTAATAGACTTTCAATTTATTCGCTCCTTTCATTAATTTTGATACACTGTATTTTACATAATGTTCACAGCGCTAATGGTAATGACTCTGATGACACTGTGGTTGGAACCGAAATCTTTCGAGCGAATGATGATTGCTAATCTCAATTTTATCTGCCATTTAATGTGCATACAATCCGTGCATTGGGAAATGCCAAAGAGCGGTTTTAACACTCCCAAAATGCGTAAGTATTTAACAAGATATAATTTAATAAAAAGGAGCTATTCGCTAATTGTAAGTCCATTCAGCTTAATTCTTCGATTATCAACATGTTTTGACAATTAATAAATTTCAATTATAATTTTTGTAAAATTAATTCGCCTAATTATACATTTAACTCGTAACGTCTAACGTTTAACTGTTACCGCCAGCTTTTTCGTTGATTTCCCAATTTTACTGTGAATAACAAGAAAGCAGAACAGAGAGAAAAAGGGAAATTACAAATATATTCTTTTCTTACAGTTATCTTTTATGAAAGCTCTCTCGGGATAGCAGTGTTCGCTCTCATTCTTACCAGTATGTTGCGGCACCTGCAAGAATTGACTACCGAGCCGCCTGTGTGGATCTCAGCCGGCACGACGTCCATTTTGCGCAGTCGAATTGGGCGAATTCTTTTAATCAGCATTCTGGATCCAGCCGCGACAGCCAAGATAGAAGCAGATGTGGATGATAATACTGACCTCGTGCAATCGAATAGCAAAAGATCGCCATGGACATATATCACAGTGCTCATAGGATGGTTGGCATTTCTAAGCGTGCTTCTCGCTTACATTGTACTGTTAAGCACGTGTTTCCCTACGAACAACACCGTGAAATACTAATACTCGAACATACGATTTATTTCGAATGGCGTTGTTTAAGATATCGTGTCTTTAAATGACACGATTATATAACAAGTAAAAAAGTATAAATTGATATGTCGATGGAGATTGATTGCTGATGGAACAGATATCGTTTCTCTTTTTATAAATACTTTTATTTTGTAAAACAGGCTTGTTTCGGACACTTATATATTAATATTTTTCGTTTCGTTTGTTCAACAACAACGTGTCAATTGCAACTTAACCCTACGTATTTCGTAATAAATAGAAAACTCAAGAAATAGAAGTAGAGCGAAAGTGATTGCCCGAAAATATACTTCATTCTTATGTATGACGTCTTCATGTTTCGCAAATGATTAACTTCCAAATGAGATACTTACATTTAAACTTTCAATATGATTTTGCTGATTTCGTGGATTTTACAGCGATCAACATTTCGTTACACTATGTACACATTGTGATTTAGCATTTTCATCCCAGATAAAGTCTTCAAAACGCGCAAGTAAAAAATCTTCGTTATGCAGACGTCGATCGTTTCTATCGTATACATTTCGAAAGGATATGTGTATAGAAACGAATAAATTCGCACGTAGAATGCTTCGCGTCGACATACATACCGGCAGTCTTCGACAACTAATAGAACATGTGTTACGCATATCAAACGCTGAAGATATCACTGGGGGGAAAAGAAATATAGAAATTAACGGGTACTGTTTCTTAAACATACGTGCAAAAACGGAATGAGCTGATTTTCACTGCGACTGATATAACAGATAGTCCTTCAACGGTTTCGGCAAAGGGAGAAGGTAGACCTCGTGTCTCTTGATGTATTGCAATATGGCGTCACGGCATGCACTCTGTAGGGTTGATACTGCTGAAACATTGAGAGGCAGTTTAGTAACCGCGTTGAAAAGGGAGGCAGGGCCGACGTAAGATATAGATATTCACCTCCATACAGCTGAACAATCCGGACTTGTTTCGTGGTACCGTAGACGTCCACCACCGCGCGCAAGGGACCCGCCTTGTAGGGAATATCCTTACCGCACACGCCCTGATCCTCGCCGTTGATGATGAAATGCATCTCCGCCTTGTCGGGGCAGCCGGCTTGCGGCACGTACATGATACCGATACGACTGCCCGCGTCCGTAGGCAGGATGCACTGGGAAGACCCGTCTATGTTTGGCTTGAGGGCGTTGAAGGGAATAACGCCGCGCGACGTTTGCACGTTAACGCCGTCCGTGACCAGTTTCTTCTCTCTGGCCGGTATTCCTGGTGGTATACCTTTGATGATGGATAATCACACAACATTCAGCAGGCGCGCAACACTACAAATTTTGAACGCGTCCAATACATGTGTCGTTATCGTTATTGCTCTTATTACGGCTCGTTATACCTCCATATTGTTATTTTTTGTAATAATGACTCTTGCGTCAATATTACAAATGCATTGGACTATTTCTAACGAGCCTTCTTTGCAAAGTGAACAGTAACGTTACATTCACAAGCCGAATTCTTACAAGATTATTACAGTAATGTGACATAACAGATATTAACCGGTAAGAGAGGTGTACGTGGACGATAGACCGCCGTCGAAGTTGTCCCAGATAGTTTGATTCCTAGTTATAGCCAGGATCCACGTGTTGCCCAGCCTAACGAGATTAGGCATTGCATACTGAGGCAGGTTGTTGTTGACCGAGGCCGGGTCGATCAGGGTGAGACCCAGCCGCATGTGCCCGCTCCATCCTCTCTCCGTCTTCTCGATCTCCACGAGGAAGATCTCGCTCGGCTGCAGCGGCTTCTCGCTGAACGCGACTGAGTTGGCGAAGCTCGTGGTGCGCACCGCCACTGTGCTGTCCTCGCACAGGAGGATGTTCTCACCGTGGATCGGGTGGAATCTGGTCACTATCTTCCTAGACTCCTCGCTCATGGCGGCACGAGAGTACGCACACCCGTGGAAGAACGCGCGCGCACGGTTGCACCAGGTGCATGCCTGATCGCCGTCAGACCGAGCGCCGCGAGCCGCTCCTGTAGCGCGCCGTCATCGAGCGGAACCGGGCGCGAAGTCCGCCTACGTGGCGGCGACGGGAGATAAAAAAAAATGCGAGTGCGATCCGCCGAGAATTGTCCCCCGCGAAGGACGTGGCACGAACAGTAAGGTATGCGCGAGAGCGAACTGCGTGAAGTGGCAACCGTGACACGACCGTGAAGACTCACCGCCGAGGGGTTTCTGTTAGGTTAGGTTGGGGTTAGGTTCTCGCTGCGGTGCACAGTCGCGGCAATCGCGGGGCCCCGGGAGACGCCGGCTTCGCGAAACTCACATGCTGTCGCGGGCGACGGCACGGCCGGGAGTGTTTCTGCAGCCTGCCGTGTTTACGAGGCCATCGACCACCATTACGGGGCCCCTGCGGAATCACTATGGCGCTCGTTTCGGATCAGCGAGGCGCGGGGCGCGTGCGCGAGCTGGCGCGGGCGGTCACGATGGACGGTGTGTCTGGCCTTTAAAGATATAAGAATAGAGCGCGGGAGTGAGCTAATGAAGCGATATAGCAAGAGAAAGTTGCAAACAGGCCCCTTCTGCTTTGTCTTTGCCAGTCTTTGTGCATGTGCAGACCTAAGACTGATCTCTGTGCTAATCCAAGGAGAAGAAAAAGTCAGGATCATGTCAATTTGATGTCGTATTGATCAAATTTATGTCAGATTTTGGTCAATTTCAGAAACATTGCAACATTGCAACAATGTTTTCTGAAATGTTTCTGAAAGCCTTGGCGCTGTATGGGTTTGGAGCAAAATTTGACATAAATTTGGTCAATATGGCATGAAATTGACATCATGCCACATCAAACTGACTTTTTCTTCTCCTTGGGAAGGCGCATGCATGCGCGACTGAGGAGGATAGAAGCTGCCTACATGCAGCGCTCCTTTTCTATACCTAGGGCCGGTATTTATAGTCCGTTCTTATATTTAAGATCATGTTAAGTATACTCTTAATGTGTTGTTAACCAATCACAGAGAGCACTAGCCTCTTAAGACGACAATAAGAATCGACTATGAATATCGGCCTATATCGTAGCCGCTTACGCGATAGCACATGACTCGCGCACTCTATTCTTATATCTCTTTTGCATGACCACGCACACACGGAGTGCAGACAGAAGCGCGTATTTATTCCTCTCGATGATATAATTATCATTTGCAATCGGAACAATTTTATATCGCGAGCTGCGATAAAGCGATATCTCGTTAGATATCGAACACGTTTTATTACTCGCGTACGCCTCTTAAATAATAAATCCAATTGACGTGGGAAATCTTGGCGTCTGTGCTGTACACCACTAGTTTTCCGGTTACTGGATAATCGTCTTCCGGTTCTCCCTTTCCGCTTGACGTATCTTTCAGGCGAGCGACGATAGAAACCACCTTGCGATATTGATTTATGTTAATGTCGTTGGTATCAATGCTTAGCCAATGTTTAGCCAATGCCCCTGGCGAAAATAATATGTTTGTAAGAAGTTTGTTTAAACGTTGAATCAATGTTTTATTTGAGTTTCAAAACGCTTATCAAATTGCTTGTGAGATATAAATTTAAACATGGAGTTGCTTATGACACGTTCGCGGTTACAAGTGTTCAAATTGCGTTTAATGATACAACGTCAAACGTTTCCATTATAGTTTTCCAAGTGTTTGTAAAATGTTGCCAGTAAAGAATTAACCAGATGTTTGCAACGTACTGCCAACCGGTGTAACCGTCAATAAAACTCTTCGCAAACAATGTAACTATTGATAAAACTTTTCATAAATAAATATAAACATCATCTCTCACTAAAAATTTTCGCCAGGGACACTGTGCTACTAGGATAAGATTGGACAGTTGAAATAATAAACAGATATGTAAATTTTTTAAATTATATAAATAACAAATTAACTTATAAAACACGCCTTTCCTTTCATAATTAAAAGTGTTGTTTAAACTAAATTAAAATCATTCCTTACAGCACACAAATGTTGAATCAACATCGCAGAAACGTTCCATTACAACATTGCAATATTGCATCAATGTTACGAAACGTAGATTCAACGTTGAAAAGATATTGCAAAAACGTGTCTAATGTCCGCTGAATCGTAATGTCCTGTAAACGTTACAGTTCAACATTCAGAAAACATTATTAAATTATATTGAGTTAACACTGGTCGCGTTTAGCAGGATATTTTTTACAACTGTTGGAAGCGCTGAAATTGAATTGTTCCACAAAGATAATGATCCAATCTTAGTTCAGAAAATTTCTGACCGTTGCAAAAATATTATGCATATACATACATTTCATAATTATACATTTTTTAAGTATCTATTTGAGTGTCAAAAAATAATTGTTCAAGATTGTTTTAACGTTGCAGCAATATAAAGAATTAATGTGCAAATATTAACCTAGATTCAACGTAGAAAAGATATTTATACTTCAGCATTCAACATTGCAACGTTTCAGCAACATTATTTTACCTTTCTGTGCTGTATGGGTATTTATACATAGAGCTCTTCCTTTGAAAAAGGAATAAACATTTCCAATCTCAGAGATTATCATTCACAAAAGATGATAACAAAAAATTGGCAGAGATTACCTGTTTCGCTTTAATCTTGTCCAACGATGTTGTCGTTACGAAGGCTTCGGGATTGTCCAAGATAAGCTCGAAAGACTTAGTTTCTCTAAATATGTTCTTGAATGGTATAGAAGCCGGCGCGTCGACGGTAACCGTGTACGGTCCTTGAGGTTTCGGTAACGAATACGTGCCGATAAGAGGAAATCTGCACATGAACAATTTAAACGAAATACATTCCGCATATTTGGCTTGTTACATTTTGTCTGCGCATTTAACGACGACAAAGCAATTAGCTTAACTCTTTGATATTCAAACCATCTCTCGCAAATGAGCAAAAATCAAGTGTCTCGTGCTCAATTTTATCTAATCGGTTTGTCTAACATAAACCAAAGAATTTTAATTATTTGGAGGAATTTCTTAAGATCCCAAAAATATAGTCTGTCGATTACAATCGCATGCAGATTCGAATGCTTGAAGAATTTCGCGATAGGGCAATTTGTTACGTAGAGTCCATTTCGAAACTGCCCTAGCGGAACAAAATTCTATAAATAACTACAAAACTTGAAATTTGTAGAAAGTTTTATATCTTCGTTGAAACATAATTTTTTTTGTAAAAATATCTACGAAATAAGTACCACAAATTACAATGTTCTCAAGTCAAGAAATTATTGCAAGTAGTATTTCACGAAAATGTACAATTTTGTAAAATTTGGTACAAAACTTTACTAGTTTGAAAAATTTGAGAAACAACAAAATCTTAAAGAATTAAAACATATCCTCTTGTAGAATATTACAAAAATGAACAAAAGTGTTCCAATTCTAGCATTTTCATGTTGATTTTTAACACTTTTTAAATTTAAAATTTCTTAGATTCTGGCAGTTGTATTTTATAGTTTTATAGAATTTTGTACAATCATTTCCGGCAGGGCGTAAAGGGTTAAGACCCGGTTGTACCAACGTCGCTTAACTTTAGCTTAATTCACTCTTTGTTTCTTTTTAAGGAAAACAGAGACGAAGAGTGAATTAAGCTAAAGTTAAAATTCCGTGACGTCGGTGCAATCGGGTCTAAGCCGTTTTAATTGTAAATTATCATACACAAATTCGCCGGCGGTCTCGGATGTGGCTGTCAAAGTGGCGGAGATGTTGTCGACGTCGCAGGGCTCGTAAGTTACATCGAACGCTGCGCTCTTCAAAGCTGGCACCTCGACGTTCTCCGGAGTCGTGAAGCTCTCGTTATTCACCTAAACCGAGAATGAGTCTCTTCTAGCGATCATTGTGGTAAAGAGAAAAAAAGAAGGGAGAGACATTCGATCTCACGTTGATGGCGAACACCGCAGCCTGCCGGGTGTGATTGCTTATGGTCAGAGAGAAGGTGATGGAACCGCCGAGCACCGCGACGACGTGCGTCGTGTTTTCCGCGGATGCTGGTATCGCTCGCAATCGTAGTTCGTAAGGAAACAGTCCGAGCTCCTTGCAGCTGACGTCCAAGCTTACTGCCATTTCCTCGGCGGGGTGTAAAGGATGATACTCGACACCGATAGTTTCCTGTCGCATTCATGACGGACGTTGTTCGTTTTCCACGATTATATTTAATCACACGACACATGGGCGTCCTGTCCGAAAAATGGACGCCCATTTCATGCCCCGATTATGTCCACGAAATAAGGACGCCCAAAGGGCCGTCCTTTGGGCGCCCATTATATAATATATCCTGATCATCTCGGTCTGAAACGGAGGTACATTACGCGCCCTTGGGGCGTCCATCGGACAGATTTGGGACAGGAAATGGACGCCCAACCGGAGAGCTCGGGATGTCCTTCGGACGCCCAATGGCCGTCCATGTGTCGTGTGGATTGTATTCTGTTTACTACGAATAATCTCCCAAATATTAACCCTTTACTATGTCGATATAATGTATTGCGGTGGCCTATCGTGTAATTGTTCAAGCATCCAAGTCGCGATTGTAGTCAATGATCTATATATTTATAGAATATTCGATTCGAATATTCTGAAATTAAGAATATTTGCACTCCAGAAGAATATTCATAGAACCATCTGGGTAGATTCCTCCAAAAAATACACAATTTTTAATTATTAGACCAACTGATTAGATGAAGTTGAGGACGAAATATGTGCCCGGTCGATCGATGTCAAAACGATGTCGAATCGACATCGACACCGTCAAATTGATGTCGGTCAACGGGTCATTTCTCGCTGGGTGGTCTTCGCTCATTGGTGAAAAATTGGAAAGGGTTAATATTTTACTGTACTTTCAGGAAATTGCAACTTATTTGTATAACTTTCAATATATTATTGGACAAAATCCGATGACTAACGCTCTGTGAGGGTGCCACGAGCTTTGGTACATCGTGGATCGTGATGCAGGGATGCTGACATTTTGCCGTGTAAGTTACATACTGCTCCTTAAGTGGATTATCGAGCCTCAAAGCATGGCACATCGGCGATCGTACTGCAGTGACCAGCTTAATCGATTCGATCTCTTGTGGTCTTGTAATATCGTATTGCAGTTCGTAAAATTGATATTCGCCCTCTTCATTAGTGAATATTACCTGTGCACGAGCATGATTCTAATTATTTTGCGCCACATAACTTTACGCAACAAAGGTCCGTTTAAAAATAGTTATAAAGTTATACTCTATGTATTGTTAGAAATTTTTTCGAAAACAGTTTTGGCATTGCTTCGTTTCTCGATATTCACCTTAAAGTTATATCTCGACTCTTTGTAGGAGTAAAACTCCGCGCGATAATCTCGCTGGCCGTTCGCCGGTACGTCTATCTTGCTGTTGCCGACAAAAGTGTATACATTGACGTTCTGAAAAAGTAAATTAAAGAAAGAAGATACGGATTTTACTATGTAATATATAAAATACTTGTGCACTAATTTAATCAATTATGGCACAAATTTCTAAATATCTCGAAAAACTTCGAAACCTCTGCGAGCACGTTGCCATTCGTATTCTCAATTTTGCATTCAAATCGTTGCTGGCTGCTCAGCCAATTGTAGACAGGTAACAATTCGGTGTACTTTGTCTTTGCCGGGAATTGACGTGTAATCCTTTGGAGAACTTGTGGTGGTAGACTCAGCCCGCGAAGACAGTACACCAAAGGGGCTTTGTCATCTGGCAGCTTCAGAAGCAACGTACCCTGAGATAGTTTACGAAAATATCACGTTTGTCAACCTGTTGCTTTCTTGTAGAATACATAAAGCTGCTCTATCCGTTATCGCGAAATCATACGATCGTTTCGCAAGAAATCAGTCGCGTTTAATTACCTCGTGAGGATTGCTCTCGCTGTTCGTGACTAGAGGGGCATAGGCGACTGTGCAGGCGGTAGATTTTTTCGAAGGAACGTGCAAGACTTCGTCAACGAAGAAATAGTCGCCGGTGATCTCCGGTTTCAATTTCCAAGGAGCCGCGGTGTCGTTTTCGACATTTAGAGGCCTCGTTACTTTCTCACGGACGCGACACGAGAAGAACAGAGTGTCAACCGGGTCGGGTAGCTTGCAGCTAGCTCCGGTAATTCTTACGCCGAGATTTCCATCTTTTTCAATTTCAAGCGTCGCCTGAGAACAAAGCAAACTATTCTATTTATCAAGGATTTTATCTCACTGCAAGAAATGTCCAATTTTTGCAGAGTTTTAGTATCTTTTTGCAGATAAGAGTAACATCAGATTTAATACAAATTAGAACAGAGTTTGCGTATTGGGAGCTATTTGAAAATAACAATCATTTTATTTTACAATAATCAAGCTTTTTTAATCGACATTAACCGGCCAGTGTTTTAATACAAAAAGTTTATTGCAAGAAATATTACCTCAGCCAGGGTTTGAATCTGGACTTTCCTACTAGTATACTACTAGTATATTTTTCGCAATAAATTTTCTGTATTAAAACACTGGCCGGTTAATGTCGGCTAAAAAAGCTTGACTATTGTTATCTATCGCTGGCAACTTGAAAGAGATTTCTATTGTTATTTTACGTTTGTAGAAATTAACATTGAAATGATTTTCCAAGTAATTTAGTAAAATGTAGCAAAATCCCGAGAAATATATGCCGAGCACGTACACGAGAATCTCGTTCTCGAGTTCTGAGGGGAAAAGTTACTTGGAAAAGTTAAATACGATGTAGAAATATGGCGAGAGATATACTGTGTTGTGCAATAAACCACTTTTGTGCTTAGCGTATATTGCACTGAAGGTATGAGACTCTCGCCGAAGATCGAGCATTCGTATGCGCAGGTACAAGGGTAGAAGTTGTATATATGCTTACCTCGCCCTCGATCAAACTGTCATGCCGAGTAGGTCGGAAACCGACAACAAAGCTGACGTCCATGCCAGGAGAGCAATAGCCAGCTGCAGGAGCGATGCTAAAATCTCCGGGCAATTTCGATACGTTCCACTTGAATCTGAAAATCGATGGATCGTACATGATCGTATGATAATTCATACGACGTTAATAAATTTGAATAATTAATACCTTTAACGTGCATTAAGCTAACGAAAATTACCTGTAAAACAAGTACTTGTAAAATATAAATCGTAGGAAAGAGCGTATTTTGAAGAACGCGTGTTATTAAAAGAAATTTACGTGTAAAAAAATTTTTTTTAAAGTCTCCCAATTTCTTAAATTAATATAAAAACAGTTCTATATTCCTTATTTATTTTTCGTTTATCATGTTAGTTAATAGCACCCGGGAAACAATGGAAATATCTCATTATGTAGGTCTCAATCATGTAATATCTAATTATATCCAATTCTAAAGTCATCAGCTCTTCAAAGATCTGACGCTTTTATCGAATGTTCAATGTTATCTATTGAGATCTGATTATGTTCTCTTAGGACATTTAATTATAAATTTAGTTAGATCTCAATAGATAACGTCGAACGTTCGAGAAAAGTACCAAATCTTTGAAGATCTGATGGTTTTTAGAATTGGATCTCACGAGATATAATTAGATGTTACATGATTGAGACTGTATACTGAGATTTTTTCCATTTTTTTCCCGGGCACCCACCTGGCACCAATATCTCCCGTGTTGAAGAGCACTGTCTTCGTCTCTCGGAGGCAACCTTGAACGACTATACCGAAAGGGAGGTAGGTCCTGCTCAAACGGAACTCTGCGCCTATGCAGCTTCCGCGCAGGATAAATAACGGCTGGATCATGGAATTGGTTTGGAGAGCCACTTTAGCGACGAAGGGACGCATCCTGCGCGTAGATTTGTATCTTACGATAATGTTCGCGATCTGCCCTGGCTGAAGTACGATCGATTCTGTCGGCTCGATCTCCAGAACCTCGGACAGATCCGGTTCGGCGGTCTGAAGAGACACGTCAAGCGTGTGCGAACGCTTTGTTTCAGAAATCGATGCTCGAGGGTGATCCCTTTTCGAGTTCTCCTGGTCGATCTTCTCCGGACAAATATGAATTCGTTCGCGAAATCGCTCGTACCCAGGTAGATTCTTTATGAGGTCGAACTTTAACTCGAGCGCCGCACGCCCGTCGTTGATCACTGGCACTTTTTTGCTCATCATTTTATTAATTGGTAAATTACCAAGATCCACTGACTTGTCGCGCGGATTTACTAAACGAATCTGCCGTAACAGAGCACAAGATTAAAAGTAATTCTGCGAGTATAAATTTTTTTTTTTAATAAATTGCATCGATCACAATGGTCTGATGTTGAACGGAGTAGTTAATAAATAACGTGTAACATATTTGAAATTATTTTTAAATCATATTTGCACCTTGTATATAATTCCTTCGCCGGTTATAGTAATCTTCTTTTCGACCGTGGAATTGATTAGAAAATGCAAATCATCACGATAATGCACCTGTTCCCGAGGTCGAAATGTTATCGGAACGATAATACTTGACCGAGGGATTATTGTCTCTGTAAGAGCATCCAGATTCACAGAGATGTGTGGTTTCTTCTCGAATTTGCATTCTAATCTGAAAAGAATTGATCGTTTTGATAGCTGATCTCTCTGGACCTCCTGGAAAAGTGATGAAATCGGCTTACATGTATGGAACATCGTCTAAATTTGTGACCCGTAAGTCGATGTGATACGGAGCCGCGGTGACGTCTCGAATGTAGCAGGGTCCAAAGTCGTAATAATTAAAACTGAACTGCAAAATCGGTTTATTCGCTGCTGCTTTCAAGATTAGTCGGTAGGTCGGTCCTCTGGAAATCTGGAATTGGAAAAGGGGGCAAAGATTTATATATAAAACCTTTACTCCTTACGGAGAACGCAGCGGTATTGGCGTCCAAACGAGAACGGTACCTTCAAGAGGACGGGATGATTCTTTATCACCGTCTTTTGCAATGCCGTGACAACGAGAGAACAGTTGGAGCGCGATTCGCTAAGCACACGATCCTGCGTTTGAGACATTGCAATGGTGTATACATTTCTGCTGATTATGTCCGACGTCATGCCGAGGTCCCAAGAATAATAAAGCGTCACCTTGCTCGAGTTTATTATTTCAAACGTGACAGCAACGGGCGCTTTTAACATCAGCTGAAAATAAAAAAAAACATTAACGTTATTAAAATTGATTTTTCAACTAAAAAGAAATTATATACACGCGTACTTTTCCACAATCAATGATATTTTCTTCACTTTGATTCAGCAGCACCGTCTGGCCGTTCAGATCGACGTACGTAACCGAAACAACGATATCGTACGTCGTTGTCGTAACAAATATAGTCAACGGTGCCTTCATTCTTTTTACAACGTACTTTACAGAAAATTGAAATTCGCCAACGAGCGTAGGCTGATACTCGATCCTAGATAATAAAAGATGGCCGATTAGAAGAACTGAAAAATTTCAGAGGCCCGGTTTTTTATTTTCTCGTTAACCGTTACGCTTTAACTGGTAACCAGAGGTCAGTCGACTCTTGAGAAAGATGGAGAGTCGACTCCGAGCAAGAAATGACTCGTCAATCGATGTCGAAACGACGTCAAATTCGACGTCGATTCGACGTTAATTTGACGGTGTCGATGTCAATTCTACATCATTTCGACGAATCGTTTCTCACTGGGTTAATCTCTGGTTAACCAGTAAATGAAAAACCCGGCCAGAATGTTCAGAGTTCTTGCTTTTCCTTCGGTTACCAAACTATCTGTTCGCCTTTCGCTGGCAAAGTGCCACTCATAGGCGCTATCTTCAAATACTGAAGGCGTCCTTCGGAGTATAAAGAGTCCCGCGCGATCCGAAAGGGAAGCTGAAATTCCTCGTTGTTTGTCACGCTTACCGATTCTCGCACACTGACACCTGCGGAGGACGTAGATATTAATGCACAAGGATTGTACCGAATGTTTATATAATATTTTCCCATCAGACTTTCGTCTAACCCAATACAGTTGGTCTCATCTTTAAATGGGCAAGCGAACAGCACACCGACGGTTCTCTGACTGTCGCGACGAGCAGAAAGGAACACTTCAGATTGTATTTCTCGACACGGAACAACCAGAAGGATTCGAAAGTGCCGGTGTCCTCCGCGAGGAACGTAAACGCGAAGTCGACTTGTTTGCCTCGCTCAGCGACCCCCTCCGGAAATGTACATTGAAATTTCGGAATCTCGCCTACGATGTGACGGGTTCGATCCTCCCAAGCGAAATGATAGTCGTCCGAAGTTGGATTGATCATTCGGAACTTTCTGAAATTTGCGACGACGCATTCATGTTCGCGCCTCTGTTCGATTAAACACGATATTTACCTGACGTGAGACCCGCCGATTCCGATCACGTCGAGCTCGATTACTCTCGTGCCCTCTGGAAGAGAATTATCATCCGGTTGGCAACCGATAGGTCCTGGCAGTTTGGCGTCACGTCTATCGCCGAGCAGATAGTCGCTTTCCGGCAAGTCGAAGTGGCAGTACGGCAACAAACTTCTTCCCACGATGGGAATAACCAATTCTGGCAGCTCCGGATCGAGATTCTCCATTCTGTTCACCAGGCAGACGGAAATACGCGTGTAGATAGCGTCAAGAATTTGTGGACACGATCAATCCGATGAATAAACTGGTAGGAATATACGGCGTGATGCTATCGGCAAGCTCCGTAGCTTTTATTTCATTTTGATTTGCACAATTATTTCTAGAGGAAAGTCCCCTATTGTGAGACGGTTTCCTAATACGAGATTGCAGGTTTTCAACGTTCAAATTCAATCACAAATCTTTTTTCGCGATTACACGATCCAACAATGAATTTTCCGCTGAACAGATTTCACTCCGAGGGCAATAAAATGGCGGAATCAATAAATGATGTCTATTAATTTATCAGAAACTCCGCTATCTAAATTCGTATAAATTAGTAGCATTACTAGATCACCGATAAAAGCTAGTTAAACTATTCGATTTAATATTTCGTGTATTATTTCGCGCTCTCAGCCTAGAAACAGCCAACAAATTATACTCGAAGCGACGAGATATTCAATGCGACGGTACAAGATGTGTCCGAATGTGAGCATCATTTAAAGAAGTTATCGTCCGTAATTATCGCAACAAAGTAATTTCAAGTCACTTAACGGTTTGATTCTTAAATGTACAGACCTCGCGTATGAATCGCGCGATGATATCTATTATTTATTATTCTCAGAGAGCGATCGCGGTTTCTTTCCAGACTTTTCGCGAACGCGTATCAAAGAATAATACGATACGCGGAGCAGGCGCGTACTGTAAACCATCTGACTGTCGCCGAGCTCCGTAGAGCCTCGATTCCAAGAAATGACGTACGCCGTAAACACCTCGGTCGAAAACAATCTATTGTATCGAATTAATCGGCGCGGATCAGTCGAACGAGGCGGATGTTCCGCGTGTCTTCGCGTCGCTCCTCGTAACGCGATCATTTCTTCCGCGATTTATTAACTTATCAATCGCGTTTAATTAATTGTCGCGAAATTATAATATATCAATCCCTTGCCAAGAAATAATAATCTGTCTAACATTTACACGTACAAATTGCGCGTATAAAGTTTCCATTTTCGGTCAGTTTAAATCCTGATTAAATTGGACGCAGGTCTGCAACGCGAACTAACTCCAAAACTTTAATCTTCTAGGATAGAACAAATTTCGTGAGATATTTGAAATCAATTTCTGTGCGAACATTATACGTGAAATATGTATGAGCTATAATTCTTTTCAAATTCTGTGTTACACAGTTCTTAAAAATCTCATTTTAGACTCCTATCTCACAAGAGAGGACTTTCCTCTATTATCAAAACTTATTCGGAAACATCCGCGGTATATCGCGCCATTTATATTTAAATAATTACGCATGTAGAATGCTTCATTTATAATAAAGTTTCGGGTACGCGGAGAGACTCTTTCCTTAAAATTTACCCTGAAAATCTATAATGCTAAAATATAAATACTCGTAAAGTGTATGGTAAAATTTCCAAAAACTCTCGCAAAATCTTGGAAATGCCATGGTGTCCCACGATTACGTGATCTTTAGGATACATTTTAAGAGAAAATTCTCTCCGTGCGGATAAATTAAACTGTAATGAGTCGACGGCACAACAACACGAAGCAATGGAATCGGATTAAATCAAGTGGTGTCAAACGAGCCGCGAAGACCGTACTTGCACGCAAGGTACGCCTTGTAGTCGAACGCATCCACGGGGGAGAATCGTAAGACGCATTCCACGGATTCGCCCGGCGATAAGATTCCTTTCTCTGGGTGAATTCCAAATGGTAGATCGTCGCTCTCTAACCAGCTGTCGCTACTTCTTTCCGTCAGTCCGGCGCTGCTGCTGAAGAGATCAGATGCACCGCGGTGGCGAGCAATTGGTTTCACCTCGATAAAATTGCCTGTAGACATTTATATAAAACAGCAATCGTTCAGGAATGGACCCAGTGAAAACATCCGTTGTCGAATCAACGTCGAATCGACGGCAATAGAAAGAAAAAAAGTCTCAGATCAACTCTTATATACTCAAATTAACGCGTTTATTGTTTTGTGTATACGCAACGATCTATAATCTTTGAAGCATTTAATAATCTTACGTTCCAACAATATTACAGTCTTATTTAAATACTACACTGATAAAAAAATATCTTAATCCAAAAGAATATTACTTTCCTCAAGAAAATTATTCGTTAGGTGGCTCCTAATAGCTTATTAACTTAAATTTAAAAAAACAAATTAAAACATGCATTGCTTTAATTTAAGTATTTATTAAATGCCAAAGAATAGATAATTTTAAATTTAAAAAATGTTGCTTCAATTCTATAAAATGTTTACTAAGATGTAAGTTTTACGGCGAAGAAAACTGGATTTATTTTTTGACAAACACAATGATTTCATTTAATAAATTGCATTCTCTGTCTCATGAAATCTTTAATTGAATGTGGAAAATGTAATGATTTAAATTAATTTACTTAATACAATACACAGATTTACTTGAAATTTGCCATTTTTATTTAAATAGAATAAATATTTACCTCAGTAAAAAAATAATTGTAAATAAATCTATGATACTTAGTCTAAATTATACTTAGTCTATCTATATACTTAGTTAAAAAAAATTTTTTTGTCAGTGTGTAATTGCCAACGTCGGTATTTCTGGACCATATACCTGGCAGTTTTAATAATACAGAAAATTTATTGGGAAAAATCTTATCTCAGCCAGGGTTTGAACCTGGACCTCCCCACATTCTAGGCGGGCGTTTCACCAATTCGACCACCGAGGCACGATTCTTCCCTGACTGAGGTAATAGTTTTCGCGATAAATTTTCTGTATTATTAAAAAAAAAAAGCCAGATATGGTCAATAAAAACACCGAAGTTGTTAATTAAATTGGCGACAATGAAGAATTCTGATTAATTTAAAATTATCTGATTAATTTAAATCTATTAAATCATTACAATGCTCGATTTGAAGATATGTTATTTCCATATCTAATATCGTTTGGAGTTGTGACTAAAGAGTTAGGTTAGGTTAGAGAGTTACCTCGAGACGATAGGAGTTGTCGATGACCCGACTCTACGCTTCCGTCGGGGCTCGGATTGTGTCGCTGACTGTGCACGTAAGACGTTAATGAGGCAGTTTTAGATCGAGCATCGTCCCTACGCGATCTTGACGTGGCGCGCAAATAATTCGCGACCGATCTCACCGGGTACTGCTCGTCCATGTTTATCCGCCACGCGTATTCGATGTCGACTTGGCCGGTATTTGAAAAAGCGACCGCGTGTCCGCTCGTCTGTCGACAGGGAATTGCTAGTTTTATCGTATTTCATTGTCAGTGAGAAATTGAGAAATCGCGGTGATTTTTGTCGACCGTGTCTGGCAATTAAAATTCTTATTTGGCTTGGCAACTCCTGCAGCCCCGGGTGGTCGAGCTGGCTAAGACGCCCGTCACGGATTGTAGGGAGGTCCCAGATTCGAATCCTGGCTGGGGTAATATTTTTCGCGATAAGAATTTTAATTGCCAGACACGGTCGACAAAACATCACCGATGTTATTAATTTATAATTACTGCTGGCGACTTTAAGAATATTCTTAATAGAAAAATTGAGAAAATCGCCGTTTGTCTCTTTGTACATTAACGCGACGCTTGTCTTGCATTTTCGATAAACGCGATAAGTTGCTTGGAATATTATTTAGAAAGCTACAACGTCGTTTGCGTTTGCATTTCCTTCGCTTTAAATTAAAAGTAACGCTGATGGTATCGGCGTCTTCCATTCGGACATTTCTGTTGTCTAACGCTTTAAGTCTTATTACTTCCACTTATTATAATTACATTTTACATGTTTTACGTTTCGAAATATTATCGGATTTCTCGCGTATCTTCTTAAAACAACAGTGCAGATTGTACTGAAACGCTAACGGACACGTCGCACAGGCTTTGCTTTACGTATGTAATCGTTTTATTGCATCACATTAGCGGCTTTTCGCGCGCGTACACCGCGGCGTGAGATCGTATGTCCCGCGGCCGGCGCGGCGCGCCCGAGGCCGGCCGAGCGCGGCCGAGCACAGCCGAGCGCGCCGAGCTACGTGACGAGGCGCGGCGAACGAGTCGCTCCGCAGTTCTCGCAGCCGTCGTCGGGCAGAGGTGAGTCTCGCGTACGGACGAGTGTTCGAGGCGCTTCCCGTGGCTGCGGGCGATCGTTCAGGGGTACGCGCGACGCGTAGAAGCCGCTGGCCGAACCTCCGTTTGACTGACTGGCCGCGGTCGGAAGATCCGCCGTTCGAAACTCAACAGGCAAGATGGCCGCGCGTGCGCCGCGCCGCGGACGCGGCCTGCGCGCCTTTGAACAGGGAGTCGGTCGGGTCGAGCGAGTCAACGCGCGTCTACCCGGCGTGTCAACGCGACGTGGAAGTTTCCGCGCGAGTATTTCCCGCTCGCGATCTCGACGCAAGTGCGGCGGCAGGTACGGCACGACGCGTCGCAGAAGTTGCTGCTCGCTTGTGTCGAAGGGACGAGAGTCCACGGAGGGGGGGAGTTTACTTCCGTGCCGCGCGGCCGCGAGCAAACCGGCACGATTTACGTTTCGTTTACGACCCGCGCGCCCGCGACGACGATCTGCAGCCCCGATATTTCGCCGCCTGCGGAACTGCGACGGCAATTGACGCGTCGCGGCGTCGCTGCGGAAGAGATTTGGCGGGAAGGAGGGCGAGACTTCGCCCCGCGCGAACGCCGGGAGTCGGGGGGGGACTTGACTGCGCCGTGCGAGCGTCTTCTCGCGACATTCGGCGTGAAAAAGGTCAGTGAAGCGGCTCGCTCGTTCGCGCCTGTTCGATCCGAGTTAATTGTGTGTACGTTGAAAGGTGAAAAACATTGCGACGCGACGCAAAAGTTGTTGCTCGCTCGCGGTCCAAGTGAAAAAAAGTCGACAGTTTTTCCGCGCGCGGCGAGTAAACCGGCACGATTTACGTTTCATTTACGACTCGGGCGTCCGCGACGACGGTCGACGCGGCGCTAACGAACCGATATTCGCCGCCAGCGGAACTGCAAAGGGCGATTCGCGAGTTATTGCGGAAGATTTGGCAGGAGGGAAGGCGAGGCTTCGGCCGCCATGCTTGCGTAGCGCTTTGCGCGAGTGCCGGGAGCCGAGGACTTGCCGTACGAGCGTCTTCTCGCGATATTCGGCGTGAAAAGGACAGTGAAGCGGCTCGCACGTTCGCGTCCGTTCGTTCGCTCGCTCGTTCGATCCGAGTCCGGCTGATTGTGCGTGTGTCGAAAAGTGAACGCGTCGCGGCGTGTCGCGTCGACGCGAAAACGAACCGCGTTCCTTCTCAACTACGTAAGTTGCGCGCAACGAACGCGAGTGAGTGAAGCTCCGTTTCGAAGCCGCACAGCACGCTGCCGGTGGAGGGACCGCGGCGGAAGTCACCGACGGTGAGTAAATGAATTTATCGTTCGATGTGTATTTATGTAATGCGTAGAGGTGTGACAGTTTGATGTTATCTTTGTACGCAAAATATTGCAAAATGTAACATAAATTCTGGAACGTTTTTAATTTGTAATTTCTTTGCATCTTGGAGTCCGCCAACTTCGTTTTAACACGTTTTCAAAACGCATAATAAGGCAAAGTGATCCTCAACGCGCAAAATACCGTCAAAAATCGCAATTTTCCTTAGCAAACATTTCGAACTTCAACGTTGTATCCTAAACCAAAGAGATTTTTGCCTAAGGCTAGTTTTTGTTTACTTTTTTTAAGATACGTTACTGCTTTTACGAAAATGATATTTTCAGTAATTTGTTCCATGCTATTTTAATATGTTACGTTATGTTTCACGTTACATTTTCTAACATATGTTTAGCTTTAATAAACGCCATAAATTGTTCTATCGAAACATTAAGGCCCGGGTTTCACCAACGTTGTTTAGCTTTAAGCTTAGCTTAATTCGTTGTTCGCCTCTTTCTAAAGCAACAGTTGGAACGAGACAAAGAACGAATTAAATTAAGTTTAACGTTAAGCGACGTTGGTGAAACCGGGCCTAAGTCGTCTTATTTGAAGCCCTGCCTACCTCTGATCACGGCATTATCAAAAACATTATTAAAATAATGCAAAATCCGGAAAGGCAAAATGTAAAAAATGCCAAAGAAATAACATCAAAATGTCACACCTCTAGTAATAGATTACTATTTTTTTATTTGAGAAATTAATTGTGTGTGATAAATTTACGTAAATCCGTATAAGTAAAGGTTTGATTTTATTGTTGCATTTACGGGATTGCAAAGAACTAAATTCTATTTATCGAAAACTTAATATTTGAAAAGTTTCGATCGAATAGTGGTCGAATAAAATTTGGAATTTTTAAAGTTTTGACGAATGTTTGGACATTTGTAAGTAATTATTAAAATAAATTATTAAAACAATGTGTGTAATTTTGCTGGCTCCGCTGCGAGATGTTCGTGGCCGGTGAATGAATTTACTTCAGAAATTTACGAGAATCGTAATCTCGATCGTAACTGATATTCTTTTTGTAGAAAATGAAATGGCTGAAATATAACGTAAGAAGGATAAGCAAATAAATAAAAAATTTTAAGTCAATACGAAGGAAATAACGTTAAATTACAAAGTATGCACAATTAAATCATGCATTAAATTATCCATAACATTTTGTATTTCATAAATTATGTCTACCATAAGTAAGGAAAACATAAGATAAAACAAAAGTCGTTAGAAGTTCCTTTATTAAATAAATAAAAGACAAAAAGAGTATCAGTTATTAAGGCCTTATATATTTGTAGCAATTTGATTGTTGTATTATTTTTACTGCGTTCTGATAAAGTGCGCCTTTTCGGTCTCACATAATTTTTTAATATGCAGTGTTGCGCGAATGTATAAAATTGATGGTAGCAACAGATAGTTTTTAAATACCCTTTTAAACATATATTGAGAGATTAATATACAATACAAAGAGAAAATATCGAAAACCGAGAGAAACAAATTTTCGCTCACCACCCGGGAGATATATCGATTTTAACCGACTGGTGAACAAAGGTTGGTAAAATCGTCCGCTGCTGTGGAAATTCGTTTTTTTTTGTCCTTGTTGCGCTCGTAAGCGGCAACAGGGCCGAATTGGATCAGATAGGAAAGTACATAACAGCGATACGGCCTGCATTTTGTCGCCGGAATTTCATGAAGTTCGTGTCGCCAGCGGACGCGCCAATTCAGAAAATATCCGTGTTATCACAAACAAATATTTAAACCCGATGCGAACGTTTGCAGAATTATTCATAATCTCCATCTCGCGCGCTTCGATTGAAATAACTAGCTAGACATTCTAGCAAGCGGGAACCTGGTACTTTACGATATAAGGAGACTGACGCGGATCGAAAAAATCGAGAATTCGAAAATATTACAAATACAAATATTTTTCATAAGCCTTAAAGAAGTAAATTTGAAAGAAATTATTTCAGAATTTATACTATATACCTGCGCATCGAACTGATCTCTTTCGATCTCATCGTCGTATCTCGACTTTACGCAATTTTCGGTTTTCTGCTTAAACACTCATTTATGATCAAAATGAGCACACTGATAAAAAAATATCTTAATCCAAAAAAATATTACTTTCCTCAAGAAAATTATTCATTAGGTGGCTCCTAATAGCTTATTAACTTGAATTAAAAAAAACAAATTAAAACATGCATTTCTTTAATTTAAGTATTTATTAAATGTCAAACAGTAGATAATTTTAAATTTAAAAAATTTTACTTTAATTCTATAAAATGTTTACTAAGATATAAGTTTTACGGCGAAGGAAATTGGATTTCTTATTTGACAAAAACAATGATTTCATTTAATAAATAGTACTCTCTATCTCATTAAATCTTTAGTTGAAAGTAGAAAATGTAATGATTTAAATTAATTTACTTAATATAATACACAGATTTACTTGAAATTTGACATTTTTTATTTAAATAAAATAAATATTTACTTTAGTAAAAAAATCATTTAAAATAAATCTATTTACTTAGTTAAAAAAATTTTTTTGTCAGTGCAGAAAAGGAAGTTGTGTAAAATCGAGATTCGACCTTGCGCAAGAGATCAGTCGACGTATGTTAATTAATAGAATATGTTCTCGTGTCACACCTCGAAATCCTTTTAAATTTGAACTATCTTCGGTACAGCTGTGGCAAAATTAATTGTACTGAAGTGATTATAGTCTGATTTGACGTTTAAGTAAAATGAGTAATTGTAATGTGTATATAACCTGGAACATTAGCGTATCCTTGAAATTGATCTGCTTAACGGGGCAAGAATATTTGGAGAATGCCACGGTGGCGTTAAGCAACACTTGGATGCACTTGATCGTACCAGGCATGATTTCGTGGCTCGGCTCGTTAACGGGCTCGACTGTTTTCTTGGCCATTTCCGCATTTGCCTTTTGCTCCCCAGCGTGAGAATTTATTGCCACCCACCGCACTTCTGCCTCTCGATCGTCCCAGGATTCTTTTGACGGATCGGCGAGCTCAATTGTACAGACCGTACACTCGAGACAAGTCTGTCAATTATCGTTAGAAAATAATCAGTCTATACATAAGTCCAATATGCAACAATGCCAAATTAAGAACTATCGCCATTCTTGACGAAAATTACAAAATTTGATCTTTTGATGAGGAGTTTATTTTGACATTTTATCTCTCTCGTGAAAATTGTTTTATTTGTTACAGAATATGAAGAATAAAAAAATATTTTTATTACTAATATTAATTGGAAGAATAAGGACTTATATTTCAAAGTGTCGTCATGATGTAATTAATTCAATTAATTGACATTTTCACGCGCTTAAATTAAAAAGGAATCTTTAGATACGTGCAAATTGAAAAATAAGAATAATTAATCGTGCAAAAGTGTAAACTGCAAATAATGAATGGCGATAGTTCGCAAATTGTAAGCTCGATTATTTTATATTACGTCGACGTAAGTCACTGGCCCCGAAGAAAGGAATGTCGCAACGATTTCCTTGCAAGTCAGAGATTTGAGATGACCGATAGACGGAGTAAATACAACGTTGGGGTGTGCGCCCCATTGGAAACGTAAATACTGATTCATTGATTTATTGACAATTTTGAAGCTCTTTCTGTATATTTTATTGATAAAGCAGTATCCGTAATCCAGCTTATAGATCAACGAAATCGGGAGGGTTGTCGGTGTTGAAGCTGTGAAATACATGTACAAGGTCCGGTTTCACCAACGTTGTTTAACTTTAAGCTTATTGTTAGCTTAATTCGTTCTTTGTCTCTTTCTAACTGTTACTTTAGAAAGAGACAAAGAATGAATTAAGTTAATCTTAAAGTTAAACGGCGTTGATGAAACCGGGCCTAAGTCATAGAGGAATAAACAATAAAAAAATACACAAATTATATCTGGATGAGACTTTAGGCACCTCTCGTTGGTGCTCGATGTGTTCGCAAAGCCACCACAGTTACTTTTTATAAAATAGTATAATTATAAAGTGCTTTCGAGACTCATATTGGAAATAATTTAAAATAAATAAAAATAAATATTTTTCTGACAAGTTTATTAAAATATTTCGACAATAGACGAGTTAGATAATAACGAGTTAATAAAAGAGTCAAACAATAAACGAAAGAAAGAAACAAACGAGAAAACTTTTCGGGTAAAATTAACATATTTGTAATTGTTCTTGTAATTTTTGTTGAAAACGTCATTACCTCCTGTTGTACTATTTGCCTTTGACAATCTTCGCAATTTGGTATTAAATTCCCGCCGTTCGTTGGCAGAATTAAACTTTGTATTAATGAGCTCTAATCCATCCAACACAATTAATTCCGCATACGCTTCGCCCTTCAAATCAATTATTAGATTCTCGTAGGGATTATCAGCGATAAATAGCCGCACTTGACTTGCGTATTTGCCGATCTCTCGCGGAGTAAATTTTATTTCAAACGAAACTATTTCTTCGGGTGTTAAACAAGCTATGACACATCGACCGTTTGATGCTGCAATTTAATAATTTAACTATGTATTACGTGAAAGTTATTTCCATCACTCCATATACATTCTATTGAATCTTACTAAATATATCTACGTTGTCAATTGTTATTTTGTGGAACCTTAGAATTGGCTTGAAAATTAATTTTAGAGAGACTGCTATATTGCAACTGTTAAAACTTGTTTTATTTTTATTGAGAAAAGCTGTAATTTGAAATGGTTGTATCTGTAAATTGTAAGATGAAAGGCAACATTGAATAGAAAACAACAGCTTTTAAGATTATTAACGTTCGTACAAATTTACTTACGAAGGTTAATGTATCCTTTCGATTAATTTTAATTTACAAAAAGAAATGAAACTAATGATCAATTCATAATACTAACCGCTTGACAAGTTTCTTGTACTCTCGGAAATGTTGAGAGTGAAAAGAAAATTTGGATCCTCGTAAATCTCCACAATCACTTTAGCTGATATTACACCAGTGTTTTTAAAAGCGAATTTTCTTCCATTACAATCATCTACGAGCGTACGGCCAAAGTTTAAAACACCCCGTTCTCGTTTTCCACTTGGTGGTTCAATGATTGTCACTTCTGGTACGCAAGCTTGTCCGATTAATTTAATGAAAAACTTTTCATCCTTCAAATGCAAGGGAAGTTCGACTGCTATTTCGAAGACTGCATAATATGCCTATAATTACAATCGTTCGGCGTGATTATTCCGTCCATTTTAAATTCCTGATTGTCACACAGGGTTTAATTGTCGCGATTTAATTGCAAAAACTCGAAAATGAATTGGCTCTATATTTTTTATAAATTTCATCGTATAGATCCGTTATCTTAAAATAGATGGGTTGATTTTGATTTTATCCTAAAGATTTAGCCTGTCCGTATATATTTGTGATTGACAGATTGATTTTAAAATAATGAAGGTGAATAATGCGACACCACTGGCAACAGGTAAACTTCCTTTATTAGCGGTGCTAATATTCGCCTTAATTATTTTAATATTTGCTGGCGGTAGAATATCTTAAAATTGATTTTATATTGAATAAAGTAAAGTAAAGCGTCGTCTACAATAACCGGCGTAAGCGTGGAGTAAGAAGTAAGAGTAGGAGTAACGTTTTTGGCGTAAGCTGTTTACGCCGACTCAATCTACAATACGGTGAAGTAGGTGTTGTATAGGCATGCGTGAAAAGGCGTAAGAGTAAGAGTAGGCGTAAGAAATAAAAATAATTCATTTCGCTTACGCCCTTACTCCAGCTCTATTAAACCGGAAGTAGCTCTCTTACGCCTACTCTTACTTCTTACTCCACGCTTACGCCGGTTATTGTAGACGACGCTTAACACGAAGGGTCCCTATATTCTCATAATATTTATGATAAAGTTGGTTTTAGATTAACACAGATTTTTATAAAATAAATGTTTTATTTGAAATATTCTTATGTCTATTTAAGAAAATGATAATGACGTCACCTCTAAAAGCGACGGATTGAATGAAATCGCGAATCTCTTGTGACTCATCGGCGGAATGCGTTCTCTTTCGGGTGTCAGAATGAAAGTGTCAGGTCTCATAGTTTTCGGTATGAATGAGTCTGCGAATAGGGTCAGTTCCACGTCGGCGGGTATAACGTTACGATTGTAAAGCACAAGATTCGTCGTATGAGTGTGAAACACGGTCACATAACGGAAATACAGGCATTTTTCTTGACGGGCGAACACGGTATGTGCACTGATCTGTATACAGCAAAAGGTTTCTTCATCTTATTTTTAATTCAAATGTTAATGCAAGGTCGACTTATTGAAAGAATTTAAATACTTCTTTTGGACAAGTAAAGTCTTCAATGTAATTCACTATATGATTTTCATGGAATATAGCGTCGAGATCTTGTAGATCGACGCTGGGTACGCAGGAATTAACAGACAATTTTATTAGTTTGCCATTTCTGTCTTCAGGGACGCTATCGGGCACGAGAATTATTATATCTTCTTCTTGAGAGCCCACGAATTCGGGATAACATTCGATCGCTATGGTGTCAATCTCCCCGATTTGAAGGCTTCCCTCGGTTTTTGACACAGTAAAAGGGCCAATTTTTAACGTAGTCGTAATAAATTCTTGCATTTTCCTAAAGGGCAATTAGATATTTTCAAATTGACACAAACGCTTTGTCCAGAATGACGTTAATTTTATTCTTTGGAATAATCAATTTAATTAAATAATATAAAGATGAAATTACTTAATTTTCTATAAATCGATATATCTTAATATGTGTCATAAATTATTAATCAAAGTAAAGGTTTTTGGCAAACTTACCTGTCATTTAATTTTGCAATTCGCGATTTATCTCTCCTCGATGACCTACCTGTCGATTTATCATGATCCTTTTTTATTACGTTTTCTGTCTTAATTTCTGTCATGTAAGTAACAGACGGATGTTTGACAGGCGCTGTTTTAATAGAGTAGTGAAGGGGGAATTGTCCAATATTTTCTACATTAAGATACAGTGTTTTCTTCGTGCATATGCCAAGCGAGGTAAAATTTATCTCATTGCAGGGATAAACGCGAAACCTGTATTTAAAAGCGATAAAGAATACAATTTTGAACAATTATGACCTTTATTAAGACTCGTTAAGAAAATGAGACGGAGAGAAACATTTTGTTATGCTGTAACGTTATAGCGTAACTTTTAATAAACTCGTGAAAAGACTATTTTTCTTCAAAATTTTGATATAATTTAGAGGAAATGTTATAATCAGCTTAATAATTTTAAATATTCCACCTGGTATAATATGCAGTTAGGGAAACTGTGAGAGGAAATTCCGCAATCACAGTTGCTTGTTTATTCATATCGAGAAGATGACATCGCAGCAACGGACATTCCTTTAGAATAATTTCATTCTTTGGTATGAAAGTTACCTGCAATGAAATAGAATTTCATTTTAGCTTAATTAAAATTTGATGATATTTTCATTCGCATAAATTTATTTGCAACTGTCTGTAGAACATTTAATTTAATATATTAAAAAGATAGAGATAATGAATTAATTTTAATAATTTTTGATGCGAAAGTTAAGAAGAAATATATCGAACAACATACTTGTACAACAGTCTCTTTTCTTGGTTGAATGGAACCGGAGACAGGACTAATTTCTATATCGTCGTTTAATCTTACTGGCAAATTTGGCGCGATTTTGGCTAGTTTATTTTGTTCCTCCAGAAGTATGCTAATCACAATTACTGACTTAATTGATGTAGCATATACATAATAATATATCAAGTGTAACGTTAAAGAAAATTATGAAACAGTGTGCAACGAATAAAAATATCAACGTTGCACGATTTCAATGATAACATCTCGATATGAATATAAGAGCTTGCAGCATACATTTTTCTTACGTGTATTTAACTTCATGATTTCCTCGATTGCTTATTGTAAAATTAGCGCTCGTAGAAGTGCCAACTTTTACGATCTTCAAGTCAATTGGATTTGCATAATTAATGTCAACAGCAACGTCATATGTTTCGCCAGATAAAGCGACGGTTTCCATAAAGATAGGTTCTGTGTCGTCTTCGTGAAAGAAAGCTTTGAAAATCAAGCTTCCCTCTATCATTCCGATCTAAGCCGAAAATCCAACTCTTAAAGATTTTTACATCTAAACTATTCAATTTGGGAATATACAAATAAGTTTCTAAAATATTGTATTAAAAAGATTAATGAATTATATTTAATCAAATAAAATTTAAATATTAATGTCTTTAGTAATAAGTATTGGTATATTTAGTGCAGTTCGGTCTTTCACTTTGTTAGCATGACAACAGAATTCAATTCTTTGATCACTCTGGCCCCTGACAATTCCCTTAATCGGCGTAATTGAGATTTGAGGGTCGAACGGTTCATCAGGAGCCAAATGCCAGAATATTTCGATCGGAGATCTATTTCGAATGAAACTAGAAAGAAAGCTTTTTCGATACAAGAGCACTTGACCAAAATGTAACTGTTTGCCCTCAAATTCTATGTCCAATTTCGTGCCATTACATCGGAGCTGAAATATTTCGGATTTAATAATCTTTAATTTATATAAATAATTCATTATCTTCAATCATTTTTCTTATCCAATTACCTCGATTATTTCAACGTGCGGATTATTCGTGATACATACATATAATTTATCGGTAAATAAACCGAGTTTTGTAACGCTTGCCGATATTTTTAGCAATTTACACTGTCCAGCCTATAAATTAAATAGCAAAAATTAATTTTGGTTATTTTGCACATTTAATGTGAAATATATTTTACACGAAATAATTGAAAACAACTTATCTGAATATAAAGTTTCTCTGGCTCTATAATGAAAATATCTGAATTATTTTCCTGGAGAGAGAAGGATACTTGCGCATCGACTTTGGATACATTGCAGAATTTAAATGTTACTTCACGACGATGAGCGCTGTTTATAAATTATACGTTTATAATAAATTTTGCTAATGATGAAATACGTCACATCAAACCTTTTATCCTTTCGAAAAATCAGTAACGATCCAAAGTCGTAAATACCAACGTCGGAAAAGTACGTGGGTTCGATTATATCGTTCACCTTCGTTTCTTCGATCTGAAACACGTTTTATTAATTTCATAAAACTGTCGTAGAAAACTACGTTGAAAACACTTCAACGCGAATTATAAATAATTTTCTATGGCGTTTAATATTAGATTAAATTAATAATAATTTCTGTATACATTTCCGTATCATATATAGAAAACGTTATTACCTTTGAAAAAATAGCGTTAGGGTTCATATCTAGCATCGGAATATCTGTAGCACCATAAACATTGATGTCATAAGTAATATCATTGCCATCGAGAATGGATAACGCGTATGTTTGCCGGTGAGTTCCTATATCTTCGGGTTGGTATCGAATTTTGAATTTCTGAATTTCGTTAGGTAGCATAGTCCATCGAGGTTTCAATACTTTTTCGTAAATTGTATTAACACTAGATGCATTGGTATCCACGCTCTCTATCGTAGATGCGTTTAACGATACCGCCAAGGATTCTTTATTCTTGTTGAAGACACGCTCTCTGCGATTTGTATTCTTTACAGAACTTTTTGGCTTACTAATCACACTAGTGTGCGAAGAATTGGTTTCCGTAACGATAGGGTTGGATAGTGTGGATAATGAGACGATTTGAAAAGCCTCTGATTAATAAAACAAGACGGCAATTAATGTGACTTTGCCATAAATATATTATACATTATCATAAAGAGAGAGGAATACGCTTACCATTAAATTCAATATCCCGTTTTCTTATGTTTCGTGGTTTAAGAATATAATATTTTTTTGATTCAAGACTCAATGTCGACACGATTTTAGCAGCTTTAACAGTTTAAAATATTATTATTTTCATAGAAATTTATACAAAAATGAATGTATTACTTACGAAGAGCTTTTTTAGCTAAGCTACTCTCCTTTATTTGATTTACTATCACGTCATACATCACTCGATTCCATGGATCAGTGGCATTTACGTACCAAATATGAAAACCATTCGTATAAATCTGTTAAAATAATTTTTCAGATATAGAAGGGTGTAGTAAGCTATTTATTATATTCTAAATTAAAATATTACTTTATATACACATGGATGATACGAGAAATAGTAGTTTTAGTAGCCAATTCTACAGAAATTTATAAATATTTTCTAAACCGTTAAAGCCTATACATTTTACCTCTTTACTGATATCAGAAGTTTTATCTTTTGTATCTATTAGTCTATCAGTCTTCACAATTTTACTTTTTAGTGTAAGCAGCGGATCCTAAAAATCAATGGTAATTTTATAATTAATGATAATGAACGTTTTTAAATGTTAAGAAGAAACAATCAAAATGAAGGATATTTCCGGATATTTACTTTTTTAAGAGAATCCCAATTCTTTATAATATTCTCTATGGCTAAAAGACGGTTGTAATAATCATTCATAGCATTGGATATATTTTCTAATTCTCTTGACATTTCTTGCTTTCCTGAAACTATTATACATGATGTTACAAGTAAATTAAACTTAATCAATTTAATTAATTGCTACTTTGTTTTGTGAATTTTTGCGAATATTATTTCGCTTAGAATTATCTTTACTTTCAGGCTCTTTATGCTCTTTAATTTCTGTTTTATCGGTGATTGCTTTAGAAGTTTGGGATTTTTCTTCTCGACTGCTAGCTTTTTCAATTTTTATTTTTTTATCTATTTTTTTATTCTTGATAATTTGAGCGTTAGGTATTTGCTGAGAAACTTTCTGTGGGATGTGTTGCATAAAAACAAACTTTAATATTACAAATATAATTACATTCACATTAATATTGACGCTAGAATCATGAAATTGCCAAGATTGAGGTGAAAAGACGAAATAAAAAAATAGTGATTATGTACATATTTTATATAAATTGTCAAGAAAAATATTATATACAGAATGTATTGATTTAAAGTTAAATTAAAATCAGTACTTTTCTTCTTCTCAGTTCCGTTATTTGTTGTAAAAATTGCTTTCGTCTTTGCAGCGCTTCTTGCTTCTTTATTGGTAAAGTTGATTCCAAATAAAACTTTTTATCGTCGTCTGGAAGTAGCTCATATTCTGATAATGACATTTCATCAATTTCCTGAATTTTCTTAGCAACTTCTTCCGCTAATCTTTTTGCTTTATTTAAACATTTCAAGGAATTATTTCAATTTAGTAAAAATTTTTTTATTTTGAAACATTTAATCTTTTCATTACAAGTTACCTTCTAACTTTCGCAATTCTTCCATCTTTCGAGAATACGTATCCATTGAATTGAGAAAAGTTACAAACAATAAATATTCTATGTGCCCTACAATATTGAGCAATGTGAGCAGCGTAGTAACTTCGTTTTTGAAAAAGATATTGTTTAAAGTTTGCAGTACAAAACCGCTCTTGAAATCTGGTGATGACATCCTGTTTGTTAAGAATAATAAGGAAATAGTATAAATAAAGATTAGGAAAAAGAGAGTTGAGAACATGTAGAAAATAATAAAAAGATAAATTATAGAGCTTATATTTATGCATTCAAAGAAGATAATGCATTCTCTTAGCACATGTACGCATAGAATTAATCAAATTAATTAAAGTAATTACTTTATCAAGTTTATATATTTACTTAAATACAATATGTAAAAGATCTGCCCAAGAGATTTCCAATAACTCTAACTTATTAAAAAATTTATGGACGCGTCAAACTCTACCTTTCTCTCAGAACTTCAATTAATAAGTCAGTCTCAATTCCGAGAAAAGTGTCGTCCTGATTTTTCTCACCGATCCTCTGTCCAATTGTTGCATAACGTGGAAAAACTTTTTGCAACAATAAAATTGTCTGGATTTTACATTGATAAAGACTTGTACGATCTAAAAATGTTAAATCTTGTTCTGTTGGAATCTTCGCGAGTTCTGTCTCAATTAAAGACATTAACTCCTGAGGCGGAGCATTATTCTTCGAGTGTCCATCGATTTCTGTGGTTTCTAAATCAGGTCTAGTTGCTTTTGGTGATTTTCTTAATTTAGGAGATTCCTTCTTTGTTCCATGTTCGTGTCCTACATCATCGGTTTTCTTCGCCGGCAGTTTAGTCCCCAAATTATCTCTGAGATACGAAATAAATTTGAAATATTTTATTTTAATTTTTAATTAAAAAAATAGTGATTCCTCTTTTTAAATGTGTCGGCTTTCTAAAATACTAATTTAAAACATTCAAGTTTCTCTTAATTTTGTAGTGATTATTTACTTTTGTAGTTTCTCAAACGCTAACAAATATTCTTGATAAGCATCGTCGACGATCTGTCGCAACCTGTCGGAAATCGAATTGTCGCCAAGCGCAATGCCTTCGATAATTACATTGTCTATGCACAGTAATGGCATTTGCAATGTCTTAGCGCTTCTGCAGGCGGTTTCTTGATATTCTAAAGTAATAAGATTCTGTAAATATTTTCTTTGCGTTTTATTAAATACGAAATTACCTGTAAACGGCGCGCCGTGAAAGATAATGCAAATTTTCTCGGCCGGTTGCGAAGAATCCAGATCCGGAATCGATTTCGCTTCGTGACTATCAAACAGCTCCTTTACGGGATCCCTTGTTCTCTCGCGGAAACTGGGATCTTTACGCAGAGTCTCTATGTAGCCTTAGAAATAAAAACGGATATAAAAAGTGACGCTTATATGAAAATGACAGTGCAATTTTTATTGCACTGTAATAATTTTTATTGTCGAAATAAAGTTGCTCACAGAGGAGCAAATTGTGAAGTTCTTTGGGATCGTTTGTTGGTAACATCGGAGGTTCGCGAGGAAAGTCGAGGTCGCTAAGAACTGACATGGATGGGCAATCTCTTTTTGCAGTATCCGCGGAAGTGGCTGAATACTCGGCCGACTTCTTCCGCTTACGTCTGTCAACGTTAAAATCTTTTTGCAGATTCATTTTTGATCTTCGTCTGGCCGGGAATTGTTGGGCAAATAATCTCGATGTACTAGATGATTTCTTTCTCGTTCGTATTCTATTCTTGCGTTCCATGTTTAAAACTTTGCTATCGTCTATTCGAACATCAGTTATACATTACTTTATATAAATCTGTACAATGTAGAAACAAATTTGCAAATATCGCTAGCTGAAGCAACAGTTATTATTTTGTAGAACGTTTTCTCGCATCGGGACAGTTAAAAATTGTAATCGCGGAAGGGAAGCTTATTTTCAAGTACTCTTAATATGTACCATTAGGCACAGTGGCACTTTTTTTCTCGATTGCTTCCGCCGACAAAGCATACGCCATCTCGTTCATGAGGCTATTATAGAATTCCATTAAAGACGACGGCATTCTCTCTCCAAGTTTTCGAGGCGGTAATAGGATTTCTTTAACTCCGTAATAACAAGTCAGTGCCTCGGCGATTCGCTCCTCTTCTAGAAAGAGACTGCAACGCATTGATTTATTCAATGAAATACATTCCATGTCGTTTCACCTATCACTTCTGACTAATCGCGAAATGAGAGAATAACTGATAATCTTCACAAGAACGTAACCTTTTCTTACTGTCTTTTCTTACTTTACACTTGTTTGTTGAATTCATGTTCACATAGTATTGATTACCTGTCGAGATGATGCCAGAAAAGTTCCACAGGATAATTGCACGTATTTTCGATCGTGAACACTTTCTCCTGTACCTCAGTAAAAAGTACTGTGGGTGGGAAATTAATGTCGCGATCGCTTATTCGCAGTTTATGCTCGATTCCATGACCAAGCAATGTTACTACTTGCGTTTCCAGACCCATTTTGACAAAAATTTTCAAATGTGCCTCCACGCGACACTAAATTCCAAGAGAACAAGATTAACATTTTTTTTCTACGAATCTTTATGCATGTAAAAGCCAGACAATTTAATTTTATAACATATGTCGCAGCATATAGCTGTACTAATACCGTTTTGCGCGGTTTGAAATAAACGTTGATAATATCCAAATAATTAGGTAGAAGAAGATTAGATTTATGCTCTAGATAAAATGGACACTCTTGTTGTTTCTTACGAGTGGTCGATATTCTTGCTTCCCAATAGCAATCAATAAAGCCCCTAAAAATTAAAATATACTTTTGTTAAAGAAATCCTGCTTTTACAAAAAGATTTAAATGCATTTAAGTGAAAATATATTACTCGTTTTTTACTAAAACGTTCATCATTAAACATTCACCCAAGACGACATTTTGAAAATCTAATAATTTCGTGTTAACAGCGACAAATGGATAAGTGATGATGCCTTTTATAGTTATGGGAATGGTAGAACCGCGGGATACCTGTACAATCGAGAAGCTATAATATGTATATTTAGTTTAACTTTAATATTTAAATGATTTATCTCTAATAAAGTGTGTTGCTACAATTTTTAAATATAATGATATTTCAATTGAATTAAGTTTAATTATTAAAATATAAAAAATATAATTACTTCTAAATTAATCGAGTGTTGTTCCCTCGTGCTTCTTTCTTTATATTTAACCGTTGTCGGCTGCCACGTAATAGTCAGACACGTAGTTTTCCCGACACTTAACATTGCCTTCTCAAATTGCACGAGAATGCCGGAATTCTCAAATTGCTTTCTTTCTAGCTTTTTTATCGTAACGTCCGTGTTCCAAGGCCCGTAATTGACAATTGTTGTCGAATAACATGTTTTAAGATCAATCGCAATGTAACCCATATCTGAAAACGTTTGTTACATTTTTAATTATTTCATTAATACTGCAAATTTTGTTTCGTGGCTATTTATAGATCATATTGTAGAGTCAATTTAAAAGTAATGAACTGGAATTAATTAATTTGGCAATAATCGATATTTCGCGGTATATGAACGTATACCTATGATATATTTAGGAGCGTAGAGAAAAGGGATTACAGCGTTTTTGTGCGGAATGGAATATTTTGTCAAGATAGAAGTATTCTTCCTGATAAATTGAGTCGCCAAAAGTCTGTCAATTGACATCTCGATGTCGACAATACTGGGAAATATTTCCTCGTACGAAATTAAATCCCATCCATTATCTTAAAAATAATTAATGAAAATTGTTTGAGACATTTTTATTAGCATTTCTCAATTATATGTCTTGTTATTATTTCATAATCGAAGATAATTGTATTCCATCTTACTTAATAAGATTCTTTCGTCCGATTCGGATATTTGATTCTGTGGCTGGTCATTGTCTACAATACATTGCACTTTTATTTCTCGTTTCTTCTGTAATGCAGAAAGATTTGCAAGATATTCAAATAACGTTACGTCACTTGTTGAATTAAATTTCATACCATTGTGATATAGTCAGAATTTAGAAATTGAATCGCCTGGTATCCCAATTTCACAGAATATTGCTTAGAAATATCGCGCGAGATGCAAGGATAAATTTGTGGATAGCTCGTTACACCTTTTGTAGTAATTATCAATGGATCTACATCAGCCACCTGAATATTGATGATAAAGTGATACGCTGTATCTTAACTTGAATCTTATCTGTGTTTTATGTACACTAACGTTCAGAATTATTGTCCCTAACAAAAAAGACAATCACAGAGTTTGATTAGTTATATTGTGACATACTTGTAGCTCAAACTCTGTCTCAAAAACGCCGAGTAGTATGGGTTGGAATTCGATCGTTATTTTCAATGACGATAAAGGATCTATAGATCCTTTATTCGGCTCGATTGTTAATACGCCGATCGTACAGTCATTATTGACTGTTTTGGATATTAAATTCCTCTTGTTTATCTTGTAATTCAGGAATATTGTGCTATGATTTTCCAAAGTAACGCTCGCCCGACACAGTTCGCCGAATAACTGTGGCACAGATCGATAGGTTAAATTACTGAACTAAATTGATTATTAAATTAATTCTAAATGAAACAATAGATTAAATTCATGTATCAGAGCGACATAAATTAATATTTTACTTAATTTTTAATTCTCTTACAAATACAAATTCCGATAAATTGATAACTACACGGTAAAATTAATATTATTACAATGAAAATTAAGTGCAGGTTTTGTGTGCGTCTAAAAAAAACATGTTTCGTGAAAAATGATTTACCTGTTCACCAAAGTCGATGACCTGTTTATCAACGGAATATCGAACGACGTCTGCACTGGCAAATACATTAACTACTTCAGTAGGTCCTTGAAGAATTTCACAAAGCGCAGCAACTTTGACCTGCATAGGCTCGGAAGCATGAAAGATGAAGCGGACGTATTGCGAGGAAAATGGAATGAGAATACCTTCGTGTGGGATGATATCGAGTATCTGGATAGAATTAGCTCTGCGATTAGCTTTAACGTACATATTACTGCAGTTTATACTGCAGAAATATCTATATAAATTCTAAATAGCTGGAAGTCTATAATATACACGCATAGAAATAAATTTGACTTAAATAAATTTTACGGGAAAAAGACGAACATCATCGAGCAACCCCTTTGAAGAAGACTCGAGATTGTGATCTATTAGAGCAAGAATCTCTGAATCATCTAAGCACTGTAAGGATGTCTCTGTCCTTGACATGAAAGTACTTCTTAGTTTTTCGAGCATTTCGTCTAGCGTTCGCGATCGAATTTCCATTGACAAATTGTCCGAATCTGAATCTTGTAGTTCTGATATAAAAAGTATGCACATGAAACTAAATTCACTTTAATTGCGTTATTAATAATATAAAACATTGTTAATAATTAATAATATTTTACGATAAACATATATTAAAAGAATATGTAAATTAATATTAAAATATTTTTTAATAGGGAATATGTAACAATACATATACAGTACGGTGCATTCATTCGGTTCGGATAATAATTAGAGATAGACAAAAATTGCTCGATTATTTAACGTCGATGCTTTTTATCGATACGACACAAATCAAATTAATGCACCGCACTGCACGTATATACCATGTAAAGTTGAAGTTGATAAATCAAGAGATTCACTCTCAGTTTCCTGAGTCTCTAATTTCTTTTTGATCTTATAGGAACAAGGGTTAAATTCATCGTTTTCTGCGTTAATTTGCGGTTGTAAATAATTTGCGAAATTCTATTTAAAAAAAGCGTATGCTGTTAATCATTTAAAATTATTAAAAATGGTTGAAAATAACTTATAAGTATAACAAATATAAACAAAATAGTTATTCTTCACATTCATATTTCGATGCCACTCAACTCTAATATCATATGCTCCATGTTGAATCTCAATACTCTCTCCGGCCCAGAGAAATTTATATATCACAGGAATTGGCCCGTTATTAGTCATTTTCAATAGTGCTTTGGCGGTTGAACCCGAAATACAGTTGATAATCAATTCTTTGCAATGTAATGTAACATTTGGGAAATTTACCGCACCTTTGCATTGAATTTTGTCCTGAAATTAGATGAATACAATTTTTGCATTGCGCGAATCGATTTTGCAATACCTTGTATATCTTTCAGTACCTTATTAGGATGTCCGTCATATTCAAACCAGAGCACGCCGTTATAATTTCGCGAATAAGGATTATCGGGATTTATATTTGGCAAAAATTTTACTGGAATTGTCATGGTGTTTCCGTCAATCAAAACAATTTTCTTTTTATGTACCAACTTTTTCTTATTATTCACCAAATAAAAGGGAGCATCAGTGTACAGTGAAACATTTAAACTTAGTCGCGATTGATTTGTCATTGTTAATTCGTCTAAAAGTTAGGAAATTAGAAACGTTATTATTATTTCGTTCAGTGTAATGTCATTCAAAACTGCATACGTTTAATTAATATGAAAATTTTAATTGTTTATCACGTAGTGAACCTTGACGCCAAAGTACTTTATGGATACCCTCTGGAATATTACATTGCGTAACTTTTCCGGATAGTTTACCTTGCTAAAATAGTTTCGAACATGTTAGTACAATTTTCTACCTGTCTGTTGCAACTTTTCTCCCCCGGGACATATATCAATGCAAAACGTTAACTCTCTCTTATTAAACGCAATCCGTGGCTCCGTAAAAGTAGCTTTAAATGTTGAGGTTCCGATCAATTTTCGCTTTCCTTGTCCAAAAGTCTGCTCGAATATGTACCAATTTTCCGCCAAGACTTCATTTCTTCAATGTAAAAAAGTATATTACGGTAATATTAAAAAATGTAATTGATAACGTTAAATCATAAAAATTGTGAAAAGTTTCTTTCTTTTTATAATATGAAAGATTTTAATTGTAGAAATGATTATGATTTTAAAAAGGCTGATAAAATTATACAATCCTAATCAAAATTGACATCGTTCTAATCAGAATTATTTTAATCAATTTACTATTATAAATGAGGATAAAGATGTAATCCAAACTTACACATCCCAACAGATTTTGCATTGAATTGTGTTAGAGCCATTAGCTGAAACTTCCACGGTGGATGGTTCAATTTGAAACTTCCTATTGTAATACAAAGTTTTCAGTATCTTAGCTAAAGTTAAATTATAAATTTAAAGATTGCAATTACTTTGACCATGTTTGGTTCTTTTGGACGCGCACTTCTGGATCGTTTGACCATATTATTTGGCAATGACGCGTGCCAAAATTCTTTACGGTTATTGGCAGACTCTGATTTTGATGGCTGTTAATGAAGTAATTAATGAAGTAATTAAAAGTATAATATGAATAGATATTTTAAAAATAATTCTTGTTACCACTTGGTTATTAAACCGAGTTAAAGTTTTATCAATATTCTGCTATACCTAAAGAGAAAGCCTATGTCGAATATTGGAAATATTTGCGGCTCGAAAACGACGCTGCAACCGATTCCAGTCGCAATAATATTAATGGAAAACGACCGACTGTTGATGACATGCACGATTATATTATCGGTGTATTTACCAGTGTCGCGTAAAAATAGTTTGACTTTAATCTCCGCAGATTTATTCTGTTCAACCTCGCCAAAAGTTGGCTCAACAAGCCACGATGACTTTTTTTTAGGCTAAACGATATAAAATAATTTCTGTTAATACTCCTTCATATATTTCACGTGCATTGTGTAAACTTATTATTTATAGCAACTATTTGAATTATTTACCGAAGTTAATTTAAATTGCGCTGGTATCGGAGAGTCGTTGATTATGTGAAAATTCATAACTTTATTTTGAAGCACTTGTATCTCTCCGAAATTGAGACAAATAGGTTGTATGGATACTACTGGCCCCTGGCCGTTGCAAATAATCGTACAAGACGTAATTGGAGCCTGTTCACCCATCGTCAGCATACTGAAATTCAGAAAATAATAAGTGCATTACGTAAAAATAGTATCTAAAAATTCCGGAGATTCTAGAGGTTCAAATTTAAAAAACATTTTGGAACTCATTTTCTCATTGAATCATACAATTGAGCTTTCCAGATATATTAAATTAATTATTATACTTTAACGTGGTAGTCTGCTTGCCCAACAATTTTGTAATAATCGTGACGTCAATCGTCTTCGATTGTCGTGCTTTTAGGAAACCTTGATAGGATGATAGTGAATATATGACAGATATATTCTCGGATATCTGAGGAACGATGTGCAATTAGCTTAGAATAATTATATTACGTCTAACAATGTATTTTTGAATCATATTCACGGCATGTGTAACTTTAGCTTTCGAAAAAGTCGCTTAATAATTACCGTCTGCGGTACTATATAAAAATATCCGTCTAAATCGGAATCATTTTCTATATTGATGCAACGAGCATACGGAAAGTTGATGAAGGAAAATCGAATATTTATCTCCGCGGGCTTGATCGATAGAGAAGGAATAGCGCCACAAAACGAGACCGGTAGTATTACTGAATCCGAATCTGAATCCCACATGTCGACTCGCATATTCGTCCGCCCAGTTCGAGCCACGTTCGCTATATATGACACCTACATTTTAAGATATAAAGATGATTTATATTATAAAACTTTTATTTAACATTTAAAGAATGTTGTCAAAGTTATTTGAATAAATATTTAAAAATCATTTTTCATATGAAGAGAGCTTCATAATTATGTGAAATTATATTGAAAGATGCAAATCAGCTCTCGCTTACAGTTGTACGTTTAAAGGCATCATATAATTTACCTTTAATTTAAGCGAACTATGCGCCTGTACCACTCCTTTCTGTGGAATAATCGTAAATTCGCGAGGGTTAGTCGGGAAACTTGGTTTAACTTCAGATGTAGCAAACTCTTCGTGAGTCAGAGACGCCTGATCGCCGTCCTCCATTATGGTCACACCGAACGTGACGGGAACCAAAGATAAGTTACGAAGACTTACTTCCTGTCTTCTGCTAAATCCTACAAATGCATACACGAAACTGCAGTTTTCCTATATAATTGAAGAGCGCATTTATTATTTAGCCGATAATACCTAAGGCAGTTGCGTCAAAATCAAGACTACTCTTATCGAAATGTAGCGTTGGACATACGACACATCCTCTGTGAAACAACCAAGTTTTATAACGTGTTGTAATAATTATGTGATATATTAGACGTCAGAAATCATTTTTAATAACAAACTTGACAATGCAGAAAAAATAGTCTACGATCTTACCAATAAGATAAAATCGATATGTGTTTACATAATAATAGTAGCAATTATTATAAAAAATTTACTAATTCGAAAAGTCACGGATTTTTTATTTGATAATAACGGTCAAGTTAAAATACTTCTCTAATAATTACTTTATATGCAAGGATAATACTTCTAAGCTCTCTTTAATGACAAAGTCGATTCGCTCCATAAAGTCTCCTTTTCGACTTGAAGAGAATGATAAATTAAATGACTTGTGCTCGTTTGGCTTTAACGTTAAAGCATATGGAGTAATATTAATGATGCCACCAAAATCTGTCGGTCTCGCTTTATGAACCAATGTACCACAAATGTGCCCATTATTTGCTGCTATAATCTGAAATACTATTAATTCAGATTTCAATTTGTCATGGAACAAAATCTATCGAGCAGAAAGACAGAGGAAATAAAACGAGTAGTATCAATTTGCAGAAAATATTCGTCGTATTAATTTTAATTGTGCTATACAAAAGGAGCGTGACGTCTTAAAAATTCAATGAAACTGTGACATGAAAGTTCCTCCATGAATTTTTATAAAATTCTCATATTTAAATAAATTTACTGAGTTACCTCGTAGTTGTGCATGGAGCACAACAAGATATTGCTAAGGTCGATAGTGATCACGTTGAGATGGAAAACTGGTCCCTTGCCAGTTCCGTGAAGGCTACCAACGGGACGCAAAATTAGCGAGAAAATTTTCAAGCAAAAGGAAGTTTCTGAAGATAACGTTATATTAGTTTTCTCGTAACCTCAGGGGTATCCTGTCCTCGCGACCTGTAACTTCGAGATAAGCGACGCTCGATATCTCGCCTACTTCCATGGCTCGAAAAATCACCGTGATATCTGTCGAAGATTGCGGCCAAATTTCGCCCTCCTGGTAGTAGTAGATTAAAGTGCTATTTCTAACACATATACTTTAAATAACGATGAGAGCAAAATAAGCGAATATGATTAAGATATACAATAGTATTAAGAGTTGCTAAGCTATCACAAAAGATCACCTCAGGCGTGAGAAGGAAGGACATATGATTATAGCGGAAATTCTCATTCGTCAACGAAGCAATCTCATCCGTGTAAATCCGCTGGCAGACAAGCTCGTGAATATCTGGCAGGCAAATATTGTAATGAACAAGACTGACGCGACGTACTACCTCCACACTATGCACCAGTTGAAATAGCTTTTTGTACCTGCCGTGAAAAATCGAGAAATTGCTGAAACGGTTGAAGATAAAAATTTTTAACTCGGAAAATAGTTATTTTTGCATACTCTTCTTTGCGTTGTACATCAGTATCCTTGTCTTTAAAGCGCATCCATAGGAATCTCACGACGTGGTCGCTTCTATTGTGTATCGTTAAAACTTTACTTCTAGATAAGCCTAAGTAAGTGTTTTCCATTCTGATACTACCCCTGTCAATTCGAATTGTGCAATTTATTGCTGAACTTTGTAATGTTAAGCAGAGCTTTTCTCCTGTTAACAATTTATATAATTAGATTTATTATTATTTATATAAAATAATATTGTAAAGTTAACGGTCGCATCAAATAATACATTATTTACCTGACTCGTAGTTGAGGAAAAGGTTCGCTTCAAAATCGCCGGATTTCTCCGATAAAAAGTTCACTGTGAGTTGCATTGTTTCTTCTTCGCCTAATGTGCCTTTTGACGGTTCAACGAAGAAACATGAACTGAGACAATTATAAAAATATTTATACAGATCCAAAATTGCTTCGGTGCAGTTGTTTAAATTTATAATCAATTTTAAAAAGCATACCTGGATTATATTTCTTGTTGTTAGATAAAAAATCTCTTACATAAAACTCTATTTATTTAGAAATACAAGAATTTAGTTTATATATTAATAATAAAAAATAAATTTTATTTCATTAATTAGAATTTATATGCTTAAATTGATTAAATTTTCATATGACTGTTACTAAATGTGGCATAATATACCTATCTGAATAAAAAGTAAAGATCGCTGGTGCATCTCCTATGTTGCGTATCAAAATAGTCTTCGAGGAGGGAATTTTTACCGCAGTGGCCGGTACTTCGATCCGATCAGGGATGTCTAAAATAGGTCTCGGGCCGATAGCTAGAACAATATCAAGTTAGCTTCTATTAGAATGTAGTTACAATGTGAGTTTTTTCTCACCGATTACTGGCACCGCAAAGATTTCGGTATCATTGATAAATTCGACATGGTATTCGTAATCCCGTTTCTCCGACGGGCTGAACCTGATGTTATAAATGTGAACAAGTCCTGGAGCTACCGTAGTGCTGTAATTCGACCCGTGATATTCCACGGAAAAGAAAAGATTGGGGTCGCGCGGGAGCTTCAGGTGCCGTGACATCTTCGATGCAATATTTAGAAAGTGGAATCGGGGTTAAGCTCGTGAATATTATATAACAACCGCGAAGAGTTAGTGTAACAGGACGTAACATGTTAGTTACATATTTACGAGATATATGATTTAGGGTAGGAAAGATTTACTTTTGTCACGTTTTGAATCGTGAGTGTTATATTGTAAGAATTGCCGGGAATAAATCGTTGAAATAGGACAATGCTAGGCGAAACTCTGAAGCAGCGACTTTCGCAGTTGCCGTATAAAGTTCGTACGTTTATACTGCGGCCTGGTTTCAGCAAATAATTAATCCTCTCTTGAGCACTCATTAACATCTGTTTGATGTATTCCGAAGGGTCTATGCCATACTGCAAGAACATTAATGAAATTGATAAACGTTGCGAATGTAAACTCTGTTGCTATTTCGCTTCAAATATTAAATTATAAACTGACTTGTATCCGATCGCGTGACTTGCCGGTTATAGCCGCAAATATTTCCATAGAATTATGTATGATTGGATAACATGTAGTTAGATCTTTTCCTTTCTCATCCATTTTTATAATTAAAATTTTATGAAGATAATGTTTTATATTGTCTCTCACAAAGAGTAGAGAAATTCTCCTTTAGTAAAATTGCTTTCATCGACTTTAATTAAAATAATATTTTTCGCTATCAATTTGATATTAGTATGCAATGAAAGTGGTTGAATATGTCACTATTTGGCATAAAAATCGATTTTTATGTTTGGTTGATGAAATGTTAGACGTTTCAAGAAATATGTCACATATACAAACTTTTCGTATAGCTTTGTAAAAGGTAGTTACTTTCAATAACGATATTAAGGAAAGTAGAGATAAAACGAAATTATGCAAAAACACAAATAATGCAATTCCTACATAAAAAAAGACTCCTATATAAAAAAAGACGTGTTAAGTCGATAGTCGAAAGTTTCTAAGTTGTTGCCGCTTTTCCGAGAGGCTGATTGGCTGTCTCGCTTGTGCGATACGATACATGCTTCAGTCGTGTTATTTGCAGCTGTCAAACCATGCGAATTTTTAGATAGAGCAAATGGCGCGCGCAAAGCGCGCTAGCTTCTAGTACTAGCTAGGCTAAGAAGCACATTTTGTATCTTCTAAATATATATTCTTGTATTTATTAACATTACTGTTTCATTATCTAAAATATCCGTACTAAATAAAACTCATACGATAGGGCATAAAGAAAGAGCAAAATTAAATGCACAATTTTTCTAAGTAATTCGAATTCTTTATTTCAATTTCTTTAATGGAATGAGAAATACTTTTTCTTAATACAAAACCATAAGTACTATTTCTTTTGAATGACCCGACTACGCGTTCCAATATAACTCTGATCCAATAGCACAATGAGGTAATACAGTTGATATAAGATTATAAGGGGGGAAATGGGAAGCTTGGAATCCTGGTTGTTCATTAGGAATGGAATTGGAACAATCGTTCTGCGTAGTTCGATTTCCTCGATTTATGTATATTGATGAAGAGTCGCAGGACGACAAGCGGACCGTACTACATGTATAGTCCTTTAAACATTTTGGCATGCAACAACGGGGTGGGAGGAGTGACGATTGGCCGCGTGGCATCTTCGACACGCAGCAAGGATCGCAGATTCCTTTTGAGCAACAAACCCCCGGACAGGGTCCTAGGGGACATCCTAGAGGAGGGCAGCTCGCATTGCACACTTCAGGCTCGGGCTTCCTGGCAAATAGAAAGAATATCTCGTGAATATTCTTTTATCGTATCGAAGACTTAAATTCTTTTAAAGACTTTATTTCTATAATTTTAGTAATTGCCAGAATGTGTATAATTAGAATACACAAATATATTACTTACAAACTTTCTATTTTGCATATGATATCGTGCATCTCGTCCATGAAATTTCGCTCTTGTTTGCACCTATTCATGTCGAGTGATTTACTGATTTTAAATTTGTTTGAATTTTAATACCGGCAAATTTTATTCGTCCGTCAAAACTTGGAAGATAGATTTTAATGACAGATTCTTTTCTTCGCTACGCTTAATAATCGATTTCGTATTATATTGCTTACTTCAAATTGTTATGATAAATTAAATTGAAAGAAAATTGAGGAAAAATACCAATTTTCTCGAATTTTTATAACAATAACTGATTAGATCTACTATACTACAATATATGGCATAATAATAATAGAAGAAAGTCCACTATTATGAGATAAGTTTCTGTAAGGTAGCGGAGTTTCTGTTAAATTAACAAGTATCATCTCTTCATTATTGGTTCCACTGTGAATTTATTGCTCTTGAAAGTGAAATCTGTTTAGTGAAAAATTAATTGTTAGATCGTGTAATCGTCGCGAAAAAAGATTTGTGATTGAATTTCAACGTTGAAAACCTGCTATCTCGCATAAAAGCCTATCTCATAATAGGGGACTTTCCTCTATAAGTCGTGGATACTCGTAATAATTAATACATATCTGAATCATACCGAGCCCTCGGAATATGCATGTTATATCGTTTATCTATTTTATACTAATAGATTTATTTATTTTTCTAATTTCAGCACCAATTTTGAGGATCATTACTACAGACTATTAAAGTTCGTTGTCGTATCGTTGTCCATTTAAATGAACCGCAGCCGGTTCGTCGTGCCGCGTCGCGTTCGGGAGTGCCGTTTAAGTAATCGAGTAAAGACTTTTTCAAAGCTCATGTGAGGTATTTGGTACATATCCGTTCCTGGCCATTTTTCGATGGCCACACTTCCGAGATAAAAGATGGTTTTCCAAGTGGTGAAGCATCTTTTTTGTGTCGATGTCGATTTGTCGATCAATTCGAATTTCTTGTGCTTCGGACTTAATCCTTGCTCATGGAAACCGTGTGTCTCAACTTACTCGTCGACTCGAAGTGGAGGCGAACTTGACGGAACAATATACATTCACACGAGCTTTAACAAACGGGAGTGTAAAATCGCGCGAACGATCTATGTGTTTTCGCGAGTGTACCAGAGGACAGTCTGAGTGGAGGAGGAGGCCTCGGATAGGCATCGGGCATCGTCGGAGCATCTTTAAGGTAAATATTATTTTTCCTGTTTGTAAAATTAAAGTGTCCCGGTTTATTGTCTATTTTTGATTTATTGTAAAATTAATCTTCCTTCCGTTTAATTATCATTTTATTTGATCATAATTAAAAGTAATAATTGGAAAAAGAGAAAAGTAATTGGAAATTTTATGTAAAAGTTTCTTCTTGAAAATCTTGTGTAAAAATAAAATCATTTAAATATCTGTAACCTGAATAAAAAGTTTGATAGGCGCGTTAAAATGATTTTCCGCAATTTGTTTTTTTCAACACTGTTTTAATAAGAATTTTACAATTGATGTTACAGACTGTTGGAAGAGTCCCAGAAGGAGTCCCCGAGGACAGCCTGAGTGGAGGAGGAGGCTTCGGAGAGGCTTCATGCGCCGGCGGAGCAACTTTACGGTAAATATTATTTTTCCTGTTTTGTAAAATTAAAGTTTCCCGGTTTATTGTTTAGTCATTTTATTTCACCATAATTTTGAAATAATAATAAATAAATTAAAATTTTTATAAAAGTTTATTCTCGCGGCGTAAAGATCTTTTGTAGAAAATCTTTCACGATATAATCACTTAAATCTAACTGAATAAAAAGTTAGATAAGCGTTGAAATTATATTTTGCAAAATTGGTTTTGTTAAACATTGTTTTTTAATATAAATTTTATATTTGTGTTACAGATACAACTCCGCTGCTGCGCATCGGGTCGGTGAGTGCGAATTTTGTTTATTAAAGGAAACGAATCTACACCTCGTAAATCGTAGATTGTAGATAGTAGTTCGTAGATTGTAGATCGTAGTTAAATATATCTCGTAGATTCGTTTCTTTAAAATGGACAGGTCATAATAAAATAATTACTGCATTTAATCTTTTATTAAATTTATTCAACATATCGGAAGTGAGTGGTAGAGATTTTTAGAAAATTGCGCGAAATATGACTTTGGATTAGTTTATGAAACTTTTCCATTGTCCATTTAAGATTGATAACCTTGTTGGAGAACCAGAGTTAATCCCTGGTTTTCTTTGTCACGGATACCCGAAAGCAACGGTTTTGGCACGAGGGCGCGACGTCGATTCGCGAAATTAATTAAAAAAAAGAAGAGAAGAGTTTATGTATATATCCTTCTCCATAAATATTCTCCCATTAACACTACTAATGGAAGAATAATTTTTATTTAAATAAAACTAAAAATATACGAGATTGCATGATTTGAGAAACGATCGTCGTTAACTCCCTGCCAAAATGACCGCTATCGGAGGTAATCCAGAAGATCTGGGATTCATTCTTTCTTGCAGCGGGGACCTTGACCTTTGGATTGGTTTAAATTTTCCTTTTTCCGTGAAGATTAAAGACCTTGTTGGATAACCAGAGTTAATCCCTGGTTTTCTTTGTCATGGATCCCCGGAAGCAACGGTTTCGGTACGAGGGCGCGACGTCGATTCGCGAAATTAACACACAAAAAAGAAGAGAAGATTCTATGTATATTCTTCTCCACAAATATTCTCCCATTAACACTAATAATGGAAGAATAATTTTTATTTTAATAAAACTGAAAATATACGAGATTGTATGATTTGAGAAACGATCGTCGTTAACTCCCTGCCGAAATGACCGCTATCGGAGGTAATCCGGAAGATCTGGGATTCATTCTTTCCTGCAGCAGGGCCTTTAATTTTCTTTTACATTCTTTTAATCTGATGAAACTCTATTGCACAAATTACGATATGTTGAATTCACTTCCATCTTGAGAATTGTTGCAAAAATTACACAAAATATGGCCTGGCAAATATAGTCTTGCTATATTTGTCGCTAATCTTTTGTAACCTGTCCATTTATTTTTCATATTATCTATATTTGATTTGATATATAATATCTATTGTCAAGATGCGTATCGCATGAACGACATGCACTATTACACGCATCTTCGTGGTCGGTTTACGCGGTCGGTTTTCGCGATCGGTTTTTCCGGAAAAAATTTTAATTAATTATTAATTACTTAATTTTATCCATATTATAAATTTGAATTTATCGAGGAATATGATTAAAATCACTCTAACGCGAAGTAAATTTTTTTCTATATTTATTCGAATTTTGAATTCAAAGATCATTGTACGAAGAGATGGTCAATATGTTTAAATACTTAAATAACGGAAGTAAAAATAAATTTGATTCGTACATACCGTAAAGTTTTTAATTAATTTTTTTTTAATTAACTTCTTGTGGTCGTGCATTTTGCGATACAATCGTCACTCGTATATTCGAACCGTACGAAATATTTGTCGGTGACGATAACCGACTATGGAAGGAGTTTTCTTCCTTCCTGATCTCTGGTCAAAATGACCAGGTTGTATGGCCGGGAGCAACGAAAGGTAGGTCCAATCTGGCCCACCGAAGGACTAAATAGTAAATACGACCGAGGTATGTGGTCAATATTGGCCACTCTGATGGAGTACCTAAGTAAGGTGCTGTACGAAGTATACTTTGATTTCTTTTGATTTGTCACTATTCGGGTGGGTTATGCTTCTATATATACATACATTCTCGCATATGTGCGAGAGTGAAACCCCTATTAAATCCCGCGGACGAGTTAAACTCCAAGTCAAACTCCTAGAAAATCGTGTCACGCTTAATTAAAGATTTGTAGGTACATTATGTTGAAACACGGGTGTAGGTAGGTCTATAAATCGGAATACGGGTAGGTAGGGATCCGGATAGTCAGGGATAGGAGGACATAATTCGATAGTTTAAAAGATGAGATAATATAAATTAACGAAGTAACAATAACTTTAATATACACTGAGAAAACAGTCTCTGAAAATTTATTTGTGGCATGTAACGTTTATTTCACTGAAATAAACATTATATGCCTCAAATAATGTTTATTTTAGCGAAACAAACATATGCCACAAATAAATTTTCAAAGACTTTTCTCTCATTGTCAGTGTAATAAGTACGTAAAAAGAATGTTGTGTTATTGTACGTATACCGAATATTTCATATATAACGTCGAAAGAAATATTGTAGGTATTGTACAGATAATATATTTCTAATTTTATAATGTCATTATTTCTTTTATAATATTGTATGTATTGTAAAGTAAATATTAGGAAAATGAAATAAATAATAAAAATGTAAAAACCAAATTGTAAAGAAAAGAGGACCGTTGATTAAACGCGGTGGGGGTGGTGGAGGGCCTCTTTATAGTTCAATTTGTTTCTTTCAAATAAAATTTTAGTTCAATTTCACAGAGTCTTTTAATCGATAGAGTTTCGTTTGCAATTGATCGATAAATTTGCCTTTACAATTTGATTTTTGTTTGCACATTAATAAAAAATGTACAATTATAAGCACAGCCACATATGTAACACGTTGTGTGTACTGTATAACATTTTCTATTAATGTTTTACATTGTAAGAGTTAGGTATGTATTATTGTAAGTACATGTCATATGTTTATACATATATAATTTTGTCATAATGAAAAATTGTACATATTTTTATTGTATATTACGTTTTTAGTTTCACTTTATGTAACTTCCTCTCTCTTTTTATATTTTAGCATATATTTTAAAATAAGTTGTAAAAAAATTAATGAAATTATAAAAATGTAAAAATGCAATTTTATCGTAAACAAAAGAGGACCGCCGATAAGAATTCGGCGGGGGTGGTGGAGGGCCTCTATAAGTTGGTCCGTTTTTATCGGATAAAACTTTAATTCAAATCTAAAAAAGAGACATAATTTCATTTATAACTAAAAATGCAAAGTTATAATAAAATATATAGACGACCAAGTTTATCGAGAACAATTTACTACAAATTTGGTTGGTAAAAGCAGTACAACGTAGCTTGTCAGCAAAATTTTATTTTATTTAGCAGTTGTACATATAATTTATATGTCAGCATTTTACTTTTCATTCCATTGCTGTATGTAAGTTTCATGATAAGGGCACACATACTCAACGTAGACGTCTGCGGGATGCGATACGAAGAAGATTGGTTTTTGGCTCGTGTCGCTACGTCGATTTTTCGTCGGGTTATAGAGTTTTAAAAATTCGACGCGCGCGCACCGTTCACGAATGAAGACCGCGCGAGTTGTTTGGTCTTCGAAGGTGCGATAATTCTCTGTAATCCCAAAAACTGGTGTGGAAACACATGTTTCTACGATAAGTACCATGAAAGAAATCGACGCGAGTTTTTTGTATGCAATTGCAGGCACGATAATTCTTAAAAAATTGGCATAAAACTCGAGAGGCGCACGTGTTCGGTAGTAAATGGCTGCGTTCGGCAGAAAAAGCTGCTTTGCAATTGTTGTAAAATTCATAGATCTGATTGGCATATTCTCTTAAATTTATTCAAGATTAAGAGAATACGCCAATCAGATTCACGAATGTTACAGCAGTTGCAAAGCAGCTTTTTCTGCTGAACGCAGCCAATATCTTTGCGCGAGACGACGCATATATACGCCGTCTGCGACTTCTGCCCTAGGTTGTGATCGCGAATCGATGTAATTATCAATATCTTCGCACAGAAAAATCGTAGTAAGATGCTCTTATTGTTAGTCTCATTGGAAAGCTAAGATTCCATCCTTCTAACAAATTGAGACTCGCTTATCTCGGATCATTAGTTTATCAGTTATAAGAGGAAACTTTTCTCTATTTATTTCCTCTACTACTCCTCTACTACTTTCCTCCTCTACAACTTTCCTCTACAATCGCATCAGACTGAACAAGACTTGACGTTAAAAATTTGTTTATTACCTTTCAAAAAGTTGTACATTTTTCGACATTATTTTATGTTTAGTATAGACGAAATATCAAAAAATTAAATTCACATAAAAGTACATAGTATAAATAAAATAACTTTGAAGTTACAACATATATTGACACCTTGACGTAAAAAAATAATATTACACTTTCCTTTCATTGTACAACGAATTTGTTATATTCACACATAATGTTGCTTCTCTGAAACAATTTAATATAAAGATAAAATCAATTCATTATAGATACGTGTTACTATGTATTTAATTCTCATATTAGATTTTATCGAATGGTTTTACAGTCTGTTATTTAACTTAATTAAAAATTTATAATTAGATATTGAAGTGCAATTTAGAAAATAATGCACTCTCTCTTAGTTATATAAAATAAAATAAAATATATATAAAACGACAAATTTTAAAGAATACCATCACACACATATTTCGTTCAATGAGGACACAGTTACCTTACAAACTTCTAACACGAGAAATTAGAGTTTAAAGTTAATCGCGCAAAATGTCGCGCAAAATGAGGTTAACGGCGAGACGAGATTGAAATATTCGCTAAAATATTCTCGGAGTTTGCACGTGTTCGCTCGCGATTAATTTGTCCGGCGAAATGACGAGATTGTTGGGGGTGCACTCGGGCTTTCTGGCGAGATACGTGATACCTCCGATGGTCCTCGTCTCACGGATTTCCGATTGGCCATAAGTATTCGTTCCTTGCATCGCTTGCACACCGCCTGTGCGTTTCGTTGCTTCTTCGGCACTTGATTTATCGCCGGTATCACCACCGGCGCGATCGATCCTCGTCGCGCCAGATGCATTCGGCTGTTGTATGCACGCGATGTCGCCCTGGCCGCCATTATGACCCGGTAGGTTCTGTCCGTTGAGATAGTATTGCTGTATCTGATGATAATGTGGAGCACCTTCTTGGAGGATCATGTCGTTATTGCCATGGCATCCTTGGGCGATAGGTATGTTCTGTCGATCGTAAGGGATTGACCCATGCGTATTCCGTGCATAGGGCAGCGCACCTTGGTTTTGCAAAGTCGGCATCGTACTACTCTCCTTTTCAGCCTGCATGCTGTAACAATTTCTCGCACTCTGCCTTTGTCGCGGGTACTCTGCCATTGAGGGTTCGTCGGCTCTTTTAGGTCGCAGGACACGCGAAGGCGGATTATTCGGATTTCTGCTGTTCTCCAAACCGTTTGCCAGGACTCTTTTCTGAGATTGCGAGGGGACTTCTGATGCTCGCGGTTGTTTGTTTTCCGGAATCTCGTTGGAATCTTGAATACCGTTCAATCTAACGATAGGTTTTTTCTCGGCCAAATTGGCAAGATACTCGAGACCTTTTCTATTTGTCGGATCCTTCAATACCTCCAGCATCTTCTGAACGTTTTCAAGATCTTGTAGGCCGTTATTACGCTTTTGAGGGCAGATTATTTCCTTGTATACTCGCATCTTTAGTAAGCTGGAAGTTTCGATGGGCCTTCTATTTTGCTGGTAAAAGTATGCGGGGTCCATTGGTGTTCTTTGATTTTCAATCGGATTCAACGAACTCGGATTATTTTCCTTGGGCCAAACTTCTTGTGGCTCAGAATGCGGAAGATAGGGATTATAACGCATGCTGTATGGATATTGCGTGTACTTCAAATTTGGATGACATACATTGCTCAATGCATTTTCCTGATAATCATACGGATAACAGGCAGTATGATCGCATGACGTTTGACGGTCACTTCTGTACGGCCAATTGGTCGCCTGCCATAGCTGATAAGGATTCATCTGAACATACGTTTGCCGAGGCGCAACTTGATTACATATTTCCTCCGGTTTTTGCTGATGATAATTCTTTTGCTGGTCAGTTATTATTTTATCCATTTTCCCCGATGATTTGTCGTCCATCAAGTATTGTTCGTTCGAAGCTCTTTGCTGTGCACTTATTCTTTCAATATCGCTGTACGATATTCGCGGTGGCGTGATATGTACCATCCATTCCGGTTTTTCGTCCTTCTCTGCTCTTCTTCGAACGAGTCGGGTTCTCTTGATCTCCTCTGAAATATCTGAGTTTTGTTGTTGAAACTGCGCGATGTAAGTCAGATGTCTTTTTTGCTCATTCAGTAACGCGTCGAATTGACGGCGCATCACCTCCTCAGGTACGCCTTGTTGTCTCATGGTAGAAACCAGCAGTTCCTGGTCGCGAATCATGTCGGATGTAAACTTCAATGTCTTCTTTCCTTCTCGATTAGCGTGAGCGTCCACGGTTGGCCGACCAGATTTTTGACTTACCTGATTCTGTGATGCATTAGATTGATTTTGGACTCCAGGATTTTGCTGATTGAAGTTGGCATCGTGCGCTTGATAATAATATTGCCACTGTGACGGTGACTGCTGATGCAAATGTTGCTGATTTTCATTCGCCATTTGCATCCATCTGTCATTTTGTGGCCATGCGGGTTGAAAGCTAACAGGGTATCTGAGATTCTGTTGATGGATAGGTAAATTATGCCGCACTAATCTCATCTGATTCACTGTCATGTCTTGCGGAGAAGTCATTCCTGGCCCAGAGCTTTGCGTGATAGGTAATGGTTGATTGTAATAATTGCAGTATATTCCTGAATTGTGGTGTATATGTTGTTGCTGGTTGGATATTGGTTGCATTTGATTGAGCGCCTGCGGCAACATTTGTTGTCCATACGTGCTGTGCTGTGTCTGCTGATTGACTTGGTGTAGACTCTGTTGAAATGGCGCATGAAACTGAGCAATATTTGGATAATTGCTCGCCGTCTGATTATTCAGCGATACATTAGCATTTTGAGCGATCGTTGCTTGCTTCTGTTGCTGCATTTGCATGAACATTTGTCTGTGGTTGGCTGCATTTCGATCACTGATCGGTTGCTTCTGGCACCGGCTGTCAAACTTGGAAGATTCATGGCGATTTTGATCGACAATCGCGTGCGAATCGCTTGAAGATTCTTGTGCTTGCGGCATCGTGACTTGCATCGCAGGGGTTTGTGTAATTACCGACGGTGTAATTATCGCGGGTGGGCTTCGAAGTGATCGATCGTGGACGACTGCTCCTTGGAGACTATTTGGTACGAAAGGACGGTGCGCCTGTCTTTCGGGGGACGCGATTCGTCGAGTCAGCGTGCTTTCAGAGTGTGGATTCGTTTGACAGATCTCCTCATGGTTAGCGACAACCTGTTGCTGACTCGTGCTACACGTATTTTGCGGCTAACAATATATAAATTCCATTAATACAAATCGTTAACTTAATAAAGTTAACTTTATAATATTATTTTAGCGTATCTCTATGTTATATAAAAATCAAATTTTACTAAAATTTTATAATAGCATAATTTATTGGTGAAAGATCTATGTGAATCCAGAGTGTACTCAAACCACCGGATATCTTTTTAAACACAGATTCTTCAGAAAATTTTAAGACAAAAATTCTAATACGAAAATGTCGAAGCTATAATAGTTTTTAAATAATAAGCGATTATATTTCACAAATGACAGGCCTGAGATTTCGCGCATTCAGACACGGCGACATGACGAGTGATAAAAGTATTCCTATGAATGCCGTCCTTTTTATGAATTATGCTTATCGCATAAATTTTAATAACATTTTCGCTAGACGTTTTTCCGCTTAGACGACAATATTATTAAAATTTATACGATAAGCATAAATTCATAAAGAGGGCGACATTCGTAGAAGCCCTTTTATCACTTGTCATGTCGCCGTGTCTGAGCACGCGAAATCTCAGTCCTGTCGTTTGTAACACATAATCGGTTATTATGTAAAAACTATTATATATAGCCTCGACATTTTTGTATTAGAATTTTTGTCTTGAAATTTTCTAAAAAATCTGAAATTAAAAAAATATCGGGTGATTTTAGTACAACCTGTACATAAGATTAATGTAAATCAAAACCAATATAAATGTACATAATATTTTTTAAGTATTTGATGTTTACTTTACATATTCAACCATTTTGATATTCATATTTTAATTATTTTACGAGATTTAATTATTTCAAAAATTAATTTTATATGTGTAGCGTTAATATAAAAGTTCAAAAAATCTCTTAAAACTTTACTTTTAATTGTTGATGCGGCAATTGAACAGAAATCGCGTCACCATATCCATTATTATTTCTGGCGGAGGAATTCGTGTAAAAAGTCCCGGATTCTCGAGGATCTTGTTGTACAATTAAAGCGGCGATTGGCTCAGGCGAGAACATTGGTGGATTATCTAGTTTCTTAATCTCTTCGGCAGGAAAACTCTTGAGTCGTGGCGAAGAAGTCGAACGTGCTTCTTTTGATTTGTTGTGAGAATTAAATCTGGTTTTCGGAGGCTGCATCTCATCCGGCAATACCATTCGGTCTTTAGATCTCGCGGCCTCATCCAACGAATTTGAATTATGCAAATTCTGTACGGATGGCGATTTTACGGATCGCGAGCGTCTCTGATGACTTGTGGTAGCCGATCGTAAACTCGCTACGCTCGGACGTGAAAACGATTCTTTATGTCCAGAAGTCTTCTCAATTGAAACTTTCCTAAAGAAAAATTTCCAAAAAATAAGAGGCTTTAATATTATTTATATTATTGATCCGACACATGTGTTTCTTGAGACGCTTACCTCTTTTTCATCGTTAATTTTTCTTAGGCGCTAATTTAGATAAGACGACATTTGCTGTCAAAAAATCATCGTTTAAACTTAATGAGAAATTTGACATTAAATCGGATTTTGTATTACCGCCGAAAGGAGGTCGCGAGTTTTGACGTGTTGAAAGAAGAGTGACAAGTGCGTGACTAGTTACCATGGATACCATACGTGTTGCTTTTTTATAAATTATATAATTTCCTACATTGTCCTACAAATATATCATATATATTTTTTATTTTTAAAATTAACATTAAAATAATGAAATAATGAAAGCATTACTACTTTGTAAAAGAAAGGATAAATTTTTATTTAGAATTATGACAAAAATAGATAAAGTATGTAATATAAAGTAAAAGATAAAGTAAAAAATGATTTATGCAGTTTCATATTTTAGAAACAATTATATGGATTTCTTTATTCTTTACAATTTGTACGTGTGTAGGACATAAACTATACAGTATTTTATAAGGTACTAGAAAAATATATAATACAATATTAATTTAAATTCATCAGTGTAAAACAAAAGACAAAATATCACAAGATTGAGATTACATGAAGAGTCAATTAAAATCATATTTTTTTGCTCATATTGCTTATTATTTCGACAGTAGATTTATGTTATTTATTTATTTCGTAGACGTTAATTTCGTCTTCTTTGCTTAATAAATTTTTTTTTCGGTTTTAAACCAACGTTGAATCGAGTATATCTTAATTATTTCTCACATTCTTCTTTTCCTGTAATCAGAAAAAATCAATAGAGAAAAATTAATCTTTATCTAAGATCAACTTATAAATATCTTGTCAAAAACTTTCAATCTTAATTTTAATCTTAAAACTTAAGGCAGTTTAGCAAACTCGTATTTTTTTACCTTTTATGTACTCCTTTTTTTGTGACGCATACTTTACTTACAGTAGCATGTAAAATTACTGTCCAGTCAGTTCCCAATTAGAGCGCCGTCACTTAACAAGGAGGACAAGGTACTGCAAAACAAGAAACCCACATTAATCTCAGTAACAAATTTTAATAAAGAGAAGTACGGTAATAAACTGACGGCATAACGGTGGTCTAGAGAGCGAGTTACACGAGATTGGTGGTGGACAAGGTGTGCAAGGAACGCAATTCGTGTTGCAAACGTAAAAGCGGGGTTGTGGAGAGGGTGTAGGTGGTAAATACGTCATTTCTATTTTTGGTGGAGAAGAGGTACAGCAGATTGGGCACGGGGGTAGATACACCTTTTACGAAAAGAATTTTTTTATACATTTTTTTATTATCAAAGAAGTATAAAACATGTATGTGTATGTTTTATATCCGCGTGCAAGGGCAACAATAGAAATTAATTATTTAAAATCAAAATGAGACAGATTTGAAATGATAAAAATTGTTTCAGTACGATGTATGATAATAATCACATGAGATCTTTTAAGAAAGGACTTTATGTGTACAGTTCAACGATAAACTGAATGTTAAAACATCTTTTTGTGCCATTACAATGTACGTATAATGTACTGATTAGAAAAAATTCTGAAAGAACGAAAGTTGATGTTTCACGCGACAAACATACCACTGTCTTAGTAGGTTTTGGCACACACTGGGGTGGACAAGCTACTTTATATTGAACACGGGGTACACGAGGCATACAAGGGTAGCTCACAGGTGGAGTACAACAAATTACAGAGCATGGAATTGGACATGTCTTTAGTAGACGACAGGAAGGAGGAGGAAGACATAAATTCTGGCAACTCCTGAAATTTAATAAACGCACAAATTATTAAATAATTAAAAATAATTATGACATATTAATAAGCAAATTAAGAAACGATATTTAATACTTTTCTCTGTACTTACATATTTCAATCTACTACAATGTATTACATATTTATAATTTAATTTAAAAATTAAATATAAAATATTTTTATAAAATGTTTTTTCGGGTAAAAACTTTTTAATTAATTATATCTGTGATGCTTTATTATTATTTTTCATTCTTTGACTATATACTGAATTATTTATATGGAACTGAAAATGAATAATTTCGACGATAATCGTGTAGATGAAATTGCGTTAACACATGATGTATTTCTGTCTAAATTAAAGTCTATTAGGATAATAGAAATTTCTACTAAAATTTACCTCGACATGACGCTGAAGATGTACTCAAGACAACGTTAATTGCCGACGATGTTAATCTGTATATTTCTTTAAAACTTCAATAATTGACATTAAATTGTCGATGATAGTTGGTCTTCAGATCAAACGAGAGACAATATCAAGTTACTTGGAATTTAGTCGGTCACTGACAAGAAATACTTCGGAATTTAAAATTAGCCTCTCATATCTGTGAACTGATCAGCCAAAGTTTATTTACCGGTAACCTTGGTGACCCGTAAAAAGTCAATTGTCAGCTTTCACAGAATAAATTACGCGCGGGAATCACATACGGTGATTCCCGTTTCTCCTTTCCGTTTCTAAATATACGAGGCGGCGCGTTGATTGCTTGTTTTGTAAAGCATTCGTCATAGTTGATAGCTTGAGGTCTAGAAAGTTTTTATCTAAATATTTTTAATTGATAAAGATTGATAAAAGTTCGAAATACACATGTTTTAAAATAATAAACGTAGATAACAAAATTTTATGATTTATGCCACTTTACGGTAATTTGATAGGGTTTAATTATCAAAATTTGATATTAAATATGAAAGTATACCGCGGTCTTTCCCAAGAGAAAGTCGATTTAAAATTAAAAAATTTATAAATAAAGTTTATCATTAAAATTAAGATGCAAAATAAATAAAAATTAAAAACGATTAAAATAAATTTGTGCATTGTAATCAGATTTGTGCATAAACTGTTTAATTTCATTATATCAGTTTGCCAACCGTTGGTAGTAATACGTTTGGAACTAGATCGGGTTCAATCACTTGATAAACAGCATTTGCAATTTGCATACCGCTGATAAAAAGTATTCGGTCTAAACTGACTTTAACTGGCAACGGAAATCAATTTCGTCACAACTGTTTTGAGTCCTAACAAAGGGATTCCTTCTCTGCGGGGAATGTAACTGTCACCGCATGTCCACAATTCGACAATACTCCCGATGCACATCAGTCGGTGCATTCCAGCAATGGTTCACGAGCTCGACTGAAAAGCTAGTAACAAAAGCAGCGCCGTATCTTTGTCGCAATATCTACATTCAAGAATATATCACGATTTCTCGACATTGTTAAGGAATAATAATGATAGACACAATCGCGATTAGCATATATGCAAATGACCCAGACAAATTTTAGTTTTACGTAGAAAACTAGGAAATAATAATATACAATAAAAAAAAGTCCGATTAAATATAATCCGATATATCCGTTTGTTATTATGTATAATAATTGGATTATCCGATTAAATTTAATTGGACATTTTCCTCAGTGTAGGAAACTTGTGTTTACAAAAAGGTATAGTTTCCCAAACAGCACCAAGTCGACTATTAGTTGACTGTCAGTTGGCAGCAGAAGTCTAAAGTCGACTTCAAAGTCAAGCTGAATGTCAACTTATAGTCAACTAATAGTCGACAAATGACTCGACTATAATTAATATAATAGTCGACAAATGACTCGGCTGTCAGTCAGCCAAAAGTCGACTTAGAAGTAGACTTTATGGCAATTAAAGGTCGACTTTATGATGATTAGAAGTCTACTTTATGGCGATCAGAAGTCTACTTTATGGCAATTAGAAGTCAACTTTTAGTCAATTTTACGTTATTTATATTAACTACTAAATGTTTAATAGTGACATCTTGAAAACCTGATTGATTAAAGTTTTTATATTTTAATTGTATAATATTTACAATATATAATACAATTAAGAAATAATAAAATTTATTATTTTTTAATTGTATTATATGTATATTGTAATTAAAATTTGTATTAAATTGTATTAAAATATTGATCAAGTCTTTGAAAATGCTCCAATTAAACTTAAATAATAATTATAATGAGCATATATCTTAATAAAAAACAGACAATAAACCAGAGTATATATTATATTATTTAATTATGCTTTTATTTTTTTGACAAATTTGACAGGTTTTCTTGATTAACTTGTATTAATCGACACATTATGTAAATTGTATTAATTCGGTAGCCACGCGAAAAATATGACTCGTCTTATGTCCAAATACGATTGTCATCTATCAGGAAGACACTGATATTTCACGAACAAGCAAGGAGCATGCATGACTGTCGCGCTACACGCGGAAAGTGAGTCGTCGATTCGTTATATATCGGTTCGACATATTGGCAAAAAAAATATTTTTTACACATTTTTGCACTTTGCCGAAAAAATAAGAAAAAAGATGACGAAAAGATTTTTATGTCTTTCGGTAAGACGAAAAAATATTTTTTAGTTAATTTTTCGCTTTACCGAAAGGCGACTTTATACTTCCTGAAAATGTCGACTTTAGGTCGACTTTCAGTCTATAGTTAAAGTCGACAATATACCATCTTATAGATAATAAGACTATATGTCCACTTGAAAAGTTGACTTCAAGGTGACTAAAAAATGTCGACTATCAGCCGGCAAACAGTCATTTGTGCTATGTGGGTTATTACATGCACATATATAATTACAGTAATTTCTGGTCACTTTAAAAGGAGAATGTTCAGCTTATTTATTTATAGCATTTTTCACGATCATTGTATGTATTGCGAACTGTCGTTGCGGGAGACAGATTCGCGCGATTAAACACGTAAAAAGAGTACAGGTTCTCGTATTACTCCAACTGTATTTATTGTGATACACGCATGCTTATGCAATAGCGATGAATGAGTGCGCGAAACGAAGGCTCGTATTTCTTGTGGGCTCGCTATGCGAGAACAAATATTGCCTAGATTAAACGGGGCATTGGTGTCGACTGACAGGGAATTGGCTATGTTACGCAGAACCCTGGTCCATTCGGCGGCTGGGCGGGAATGCCGCGTCTGTTCATACGGCAAGCGTGCTCTTCCAGGCGTTGGGCGGCGACACTGTTATCCTGCTTGTTGAAGCTCCACAGACGTTCGGCTGCCGCGCTCGCACGTGGCCAGATCCTCGGGTGCACGTTATTTCTGAAAATAAACGAGAACGCTCGGCATACATTTCGTTTCGTTCATTTAATCGTTTTCTTAACAGGCAAAATAAATATAGTCGTTCGCACAGTATTTCATTCTTTGATACATTTGCCAAGGAAAAGATTATAAATATTAGAAATTATTTTCAAATAATGGATCTTGTCCATACAATCAAATTTCTTATCCGTATAGCGAGTCTATTATAAACTATATCATTTTACTGTAATTTATTTTCTCTAATTTAATTCTTGCCACAATTAAAATATTAATTGTTTTCATTGTAACTGCACGCTCTCATAATTGATTATTCAATTAATGTGCTGTTTGTATTAATATGGTAATTAGTAGATTTTTAAATATGCAAAAGAAAAGACTCACTTGTCGACGTACTCTGCCCACATGCAGGTCTCACCGCCGAGCATTAGATGCGTGACATTGGCTGCGTTTGCAAAATTGAAAGGGTCGCAATTGTAATATTTTTGCCAATCGCCACCGCCGGCGATGTGGTCCAGATACCAGCAGGATGACAGTAAGACTGGATGACCCGCTATAGTCGCTCGCTCTAGCGCCTTTTGCCAAAATGGCAGCTTCCAAACGTGCACTACGGTGCTCGCGGGCAACACTACGCCATTATCGAAAACCTATAAACCGTGCAATTTATATGTGATGAAATATTTTGTGATAATAAGCGATAATATTTACATTTTGCATAGCAATCACGTCGTATCTTTATTAATTTTCTCAATAATCAAATGTAAAAAGAGAAAAGCAAAGTAACTACCTCTTGCCATACAATAGTGTTGGCGTCCAGCGAACTGCTGATCGCGAGTATCTTGGCTATATATTCGTTCTCGAGCAGCTCGTATTTCGTAGACATATTGTGCTCTTTCATGTACTCGACAATTTTCGGATTGCTGGCCCAGCAATCGAAGGGTACTTCGTCGCCACCCAGGTGGAGATATTGATCCGGGAATACTTGCACGATCTCGGAGAACAAATTCCGTACGAAGTCGTACAGCATCGGATTCGTCGGGTTCATCGGGCCTAGTTTACCATTCGGATTTCCGGAAGAATCTAACGGATATGCGAGTGAGCTAATTTTCATTGCCGAAGAGATATTAATAGGGTAGGGCCTGGAGATATAAGTCAATTTATGTGGAACTTTTAAAACCGTCATTTTTATCCCTGAACACTTGGATTTTTATCAGAGCACCGTGGCTGATAAATTATATTTTCTTCATTTACCGTAGCACGTCGTAAGTAACTCCGGGTAGGCCTGACCCCACGATCTAGTATGTCCAGGTGTGTCGAACTCGGGCATCACTCGGATCCCCCGTAATCTCGCGTAATTAACGACTTTCTGCACGTCATTAGGCGTGTAGATCATCGAGTGATGGTAAGCGCCTTTGGCGGACAGGTCGGGATACCTGGTGCTCTGATACGGGAAGCTGTTGTCGTCGACAATGTGCCAATGAAGGACATTTAGCTTGTTGTACGACATAGCGTCCAGTGTCAACAGTATGTCAGATAGCGGTAGATAATGGCGAGAGGTATCGAGCAGGAGACCGCGATGCGGCAGTTTTGGCTCGTCCTGAATGTACTGACATTTTACTTTCAACTGTAACGATTAAAATCATATTGGTTCAGTCGTCCAGACGAAAGATAATAATATCCGGGTAGATGAATTGCAATGTAATGAAAATATTATTAGCTCTGCACTCTGAAAGTTGTTTTCCTGTTGACAAGGTCCATAGTCGAGACCAGCAGAAATTATCGATACTTTTTACGAGAAAATGTTAATAATGCAAAGAGAAATATTATTTCCGCGTTTTTGTCAACTTGGCGTTTCATTCATTCGTATTTAGCATAGAAAATCCATTATTTAAGCTAAAAAGGTATAAATATTTAAATATTTACGCTCGGGCCGTCGCCAGACGGTGCCAATATCTGCGAAAAAGTCTCGAAACCACGAAGGATTCCCCACTCGGATTCGGCCCATAGGATGGCGACCGATGAATTCTCGTTTATCTCAAGCTGATCTGCAAAAGGCGCGTATCGCGATATCAAGCGTCGTGCTAAATCGACTCGGTTGAGAAAGACGGGCACGGATAAAATCATAGAATTTAGCTCGCTAATCGGTGGTTACGACCTTACGGCATTTAGCTTTAAACGATAAGAAACTAGGAAGCAGATCAGAGTTGTCTTATTGTCCGCCTTCGTTTCAATCGTTTTGCTGATTGCCCATTGCTCAACTCGCTCGCGAGCCTTGCGCGTGTTCGGTCTGCATTCATCACTTCGCACCGTGGAATCTCCTTGGCTTAATCGGACTAAATTAATTGTAATACCCTCCGCGATCAGTTATAAATTGATCGATCATTGTTTCAAAGAGCTCAAATATAACCACATCATGAGGAATAAATTGAAAAAAATATTGGTTACGTTATGTTACTTGAGTATCGTAAATTTTGTACAGACGTAAAAAGTTATATATTTTTATATATTGTATTTAGTTTTAAACCAAACGTATTATATATTTATAAGAGATACTAATGTTCTTAATATTAAGACTGCTTTCTATCGCAACTTTAAATGTAAAAGGTTTAGTAAAAGAGTTACCTCTTTTTAAATAGATATCTGAAAATATAAAACGTGAGGACTTAGCAGTTGAAGAAGATAAATCTATTACTCTTCGTTAGATAGAAATCAAATTTGTGCTTTATAACTGAATGATCTGTATGTACGGTTCATACTCTTATTACTTTTTGTCTGTCAGTCAATGTACCGTTTAATGAAGCCTTTCGGAAATCATCAAATCGATGGTAAACCGGTTTAATATCGCTGATAAGGGGAGACGTTATTAAGGACTGCAAAAATCCAATTTGTGCGCACGCAAGCCCGTTATCGACGCAAATCGGTGAATGTTAGGTCGGGGTTACGAGTGAGCTGCTGCTCACTGGCATCATTCAATTAATTTGTTGGTGCACTACCCATTACTTTGTAATGTATGCTGCACATGCAAAGAGAGTCACAGCACATGAAACATGCATTAGAGTTATGACAGACTTGAAACAAAAGTTGCAGGTTTTCTGCCATCAGCTAATTAATTTAATTGGATAAATAACAAGGGACTTTCACTAATGAATTAACTTTAATTAAACATTCACGTTTATCTATTTTTGAATCTATTTAAAGTGTGGAAGTGCACGCAAATAACACAATTATTTCTCAACACTTTCTGTTATTTGTAACAAATATATGTACTTAATTGTCGTGGAAATTAACAAATTAAAAAAAATTAGGTTTAATTTTCTACAAACTTACAAGATTCATTCATATACAAATGTGGCCAATGTTCGCCGTTCTGTTCACAAGGCTGCAACATACGGATGCTTAGGGCCTCAAGAGTGCCTTTAAAATGAGGGTCGTCTCGAACGGATGTTCTTGGCTGCCCTTCCGTGACCAACCTTGCTATCCTAGCTTCCGTCAAAATAATTCTCGTGTACCGTTCTATCGCCTCGGTCACGATATCGCACACCTCACCGTTTACCTTTACAAGTAAAAACATTAAATTATTTAAAACGGCACAAAATTATATTTTATAAAACTCTCCCCAAAAAATTAATGCACAAAAATTAAAATAATTAATTTTTTTATTTGCAATTAATATTTTCTTATTAAAGTTCTTCATTTTATATGAAAAATTTATTTATTCTTCTTTTGAAGAGATGGCAGCAATATTCAATGAAGACGCAAGTATACTATTTTAAAAGATAGAATAAGTGAGAAAGAGATCAATCATAAAAATTAAAATATAATTATATACTTTGAAAAGAGCAATTTTTAGTGAACTTTTGCGTTTGAGGTTAGATATTTCCAAAAATAGAAAGAATTAATATTCGTTACAATATTAATATTAATTTCTTTTTAATATTTGCTGTAATATTAATGTAACATACATTACGCCTAATTACTTGCTAAATCTATGTAAAAACAGAAAGTAAAATTTCTAAAATTGCGCGCCATATAATTAATACTGTGAACGACTATTGTTTCATTGAACTCTGCGTTTTTGCATTCGATGAAATAACGGTTTGATTGAAATAGCTGTTTCGCACGTGCACGTAACTCTCATTATTTTATTACGAAGAAAACGCTGCAGTAATATTGAAAATGACACAATCGTACGATAGAATCTTATTAATTCGTTTGAATAATTCAGTATGAATATCCGTTCAGAAAGGTCTAACTACTGAAATTATATCCATTTTCTGTGTCATATCAGAATGATGACCGTTAAAATAATTTGATAGTTTGACGTATAGTGGAAAAAGAAAAATGAAATGATAAGAAGACTTACACGGAAGTCAAAGTTTGACGGTCGCAATAAATAGAAGTCTTCTTTGACCGTACGCGTTTTTGGCATAGGCCAAAGTTCGCCCCTCGTGGCTTGGACCCATGGGCCCGTGTCCGAATTCAACGAAGAGACTCGCCAGGGCACGACGGCCAGCAGGACCGAAACAATCCAAACGCGACTCCACATGTCTATTTCTAGTTAAAGAATGATTCAGGTGCACGATCGAGGAACGATGCGACGCCAACGAGTGGTCATCGTCTACTGACGATCGCAGGATGCCGGAGAACGCACATACGTACGATAGTGGTAACGACCTTAGCCTGCGCCACTTAAGTTTTATCACTTTGGTCCCCGGGTGAGTCTCACGGTCAAGTGAGAATAACCAGTCCTCCTGGACGCTGTAGTTTATCCTTAAATCTTGGCCGCCCGTCCAAAATTTTTTGTCTCGTGTCATGTATAATAAGACATCGGGGAAATCGCTCAAGATGGTCAAGTCTAATTTTTTGATTTTTGAAAACAGAGAACAGAGCAGAGAAATTAACAGAGTTAAAGAATCTGGTTTTGCTTTTTATTAATATATTATTTTATCGTTTAATATTACATTAATATATTGTTTCAATTTTTATGTATTATACATACATATATGTACATATATGCATACTTGTGTTTTGTGACACTTTTACTTTTCAATTAATTATTACAATTAACTACAATTAATTTTTCATTTTGGAATATGACCGGTTAAGTAGCAGAGATATCTATTTATCGGTTTTTAATTTCTTTGTAATTTTTTCATTGATTTTTATCGATAATAGACGAATAAATAAATATTTTTGTAATATAAGATTAAGCAAAATAGATTTCGCGGATAAGATAATAATTAAAGAACCTCTAATTGGTGAAATTGATATCTTGTTTTTTATTATTAGCTTTTAATCTATCGTCACATCTCTCTCTCTCTCCCCTCTCTCTCTTACACACACACATACACACACTCATACACACACAAATAGAAGTCATCATGAGCTTCTAAAAAATGTTAAATAAGTTGGACGAAAATTTTTATCAAGAAAAAGAACTTAATAATCAAATTACTTTATTAAAGCAAAAAACTTTTAGTTAGCTGCAGAATGATAATAATAATCACTTAAAGCAAATATTTAAAAATCTTCGATCTTGAGTTCTATCTACATATTAGTCTAATCTTTTTGTCACAAAGTTATTATTGTTTTCGTGCAATATTAATTGATTGGCTTCACGTGTTGACAGATTCATAATACTTTTATCAAAGATATGATATAATAAGAAGTGTTTTCTATACTTAAAGAAAACTCTTGACTTTATCTCTCAAGTCTGTATGTTTTCAATTGATTTTTTATATATTTTAACTTACCAAGTGTTGTATTATTTCTTAGTTGTCGTAGCTTCAAACGTTTAAATGTAACATCTGTTCTTCCCGATAAGTGTTACATGCGCAAGAACATCCCGTGGTTTATCGACGATACATTATTACAAATGATGCCGCGTATCTTGTGGGCACGAGATCGCTTTATCGCAATTGTATCACTATCGAAACATTATAACCAGAAAGCCACAAACAGTCGAGTGCAAAGATCAGTAGTCTTTCGATCGACACTGTGAATTATTTTTACGGCGTAACGATCAATTTTGATAATGCTCCCGATAATTTTTCTATTTATCATGATTTTTTTATTCAACACTAATAAACTCGGGTTTACGGCCAATGCAGGACGGTTAAAATAGTTTCGATCGTTAGAGCATTATATCTCGATACGCTCTCGCGTAAACGTTACACAAAAAAAACACGCCCTTTCCTGCTTGATAAATGTTTTTTGCGTAATCCTCCGTATTTATAAGATGTGGGTTAATCAGATGAGTCAGTCCAAATAGAGTCCAGAAATAAAGACAGCAATGCAAGGATAAATCTAAAATTTTGAATAATAATCCTTAACTTAATATCTTATATCTAGGTATTTATGTTTGCTTTATCAATCGGATCAATAGATTTTCTATGATTTGAAATTACTATAATGATATGTAATCGTACACGCAATTATGTTCAAGGCAAAACGTAATATAAAATTGCATTAATTAAACGTCCGGGATTGTACAAAACACTTGGCAGACATGGCAATTACAGACTCGCGTTATTAGCATCACGAACTTGTATGTATGTTACTTGTATACGTATGTGATTTATTGTGGAATTTTTCCAATAAATTGCAATTAATTATTTACAAATGAACTCGCCAGCATTTAACATATCAGTTTTTGACTTTTCCTGATTTTACTTACAAAGTAAAAACGCATATTGAATAAAATAAAATAAGTTAAAACAGATTATTACAAAAGATTATAAATTTTTACATTTTCCGTGAATATCTTTAAATAAAAAAAGACATCAAGTTTTTCTAGGTCATGTATTTTAGTGTTGCATATTTTAAAACATGTTACATAAATTATGTGTCACGTTTACATTGCACGTTTCGCGCAATATAAAAAAACTACAAATTTTAAGAGCAGACTACACATTAATACGTATTCGGAAGCGCGTGTTGATCGATCGTTGGGTACAACGTAATTTTTTCCCAAGAGATAACGCGCGCTACCGTTGTACATTTGGTATCTTTTATCACATCAGAGAGACCGCCTTAATCCAATTCTATGACGATACGCTACTGCTCGGTGAATCGTAGCTTCATTGATTGCGACGCTCGTACGCTGGGTCGACGGTCGTCAGGGGGAGAAGGGAGAAGAAAATCCAAACGAAACGTGCATTCAGGGTTGGAATACGGAGTGCTCCAAGAAAATTCGTGCACCGGTAACTTTTCTTACCTAAAGCCGTTTTCATTAAACATTGCTGCAGCGACGAGCAGTAATCCAACTTCTGTCATTTTAAATCTGCAAACACGACCTCTCTGGAACATGTCTGTCTGCACTTACATTATTAAAATAAATGCATTTATTATTGAATTTCGTAAAAATTGATATAAAAATATGTAATTAAATTAGAATTGAGTAAAAAAGCAGTAACAATAATAACATTAAGATGTATCCAAATTGGATAGAATGACATCTAAAATATAAGTGAACACGTTAGTGAACATGAAACACACCTTTATTGTTTGCCGTTAAAAGTCTTTTATTATATCCAGTTAAAAATAATAATCTTTAAAGAAAGAAGATTTGAGACAATATTAGTACTTGACTATAATTCGGAATTAAATTATTAAAACAGCTTCTGTATTTTTTAAATCTAATCATTTGATAAACATTTAATATTTCACAATTAACACAATTAATTTTGCTAAATATTTTTTTACAAATTGCTAAATAAATCTTTTTAGAACGGAAATATTGATTTTGTGATCAACTAATTTGATTGTTTACTTACATATTGTTTACTTTGAAAAAAAATGAGCTGTATATGCTCTTTAAAATAATTCCCTATAAAAACGATATTAAGCAAACATAAAATTATTTGGATCCCACTATTATATCATGTGTGCTATAGTGTTTTATTCCTATTAATTATTAATCCAAAGAATTTATTGTCTTTTATCTGAAATAGATAGTAATTAATGCTGTTATCTAAAAATAACTGAAGAAAATCCTTCGAGATTGGTCTCGTACCAAAAGATTTGAAACCTTTCTAGATCTATCTCGTTCTTGTATCATCTTCCTACTCTGAATGCGCATAAAAAAATGTCAAGATCCCAAATTTTCTTGCCGAAGTTTGCCACCCAGTGGCATCGCACGATGCGTGGTACCCTGCACCCTCGCCTACACATGGATCCGCGCGTGCTACTGCGCGTTGGGGAACCAGCCCGAAAGGGGGGTGCTCACCATAGAGCTTGCCGCGCCGCCAGTGGGGTAGTCGGGAGTGATCAACGGTGAGAGGGTGTGATCAGGGTGTCGAGGGGGTTGACGGGGAAATCGAGCAGGGTGGTGCGCCGCTCGGCGTCGTGGCCGTCGCGATGACGTTGGTGACGTCGATCGGTGGCGCTGCCGATGCTTTTACCTTCGCCCTCGAGTGTGTAAATGTGTGCACGTGTGTGTACGACGATTATAGTGACGTTGTACGTAGAGCAATACTCGCGGGGTAGGGACATAACTTGCGGTGACGCTTCCACGAAGGTGGCGCCAATGATGGAGGGAGCCGGCAAAGGTGGTGGTGGTGATGTTTAGCGATGGTAGTAATCTAGATGGTAGTGGTAGGCAAGGGGTGGCCTGTCTCGCTCGGTCGTAGCCGGTATTAGAGCCGCTCTCTCAGTGTGCGCGGATCCGTCGCGCGCCGAGGCTCTTCCGCGACGGTGGTGGTCGTTGGTACGTACACGTATATGAACAGGTTTGTACGCCATCGAAGGGGGAAGGGAATCACGGGTTCGCGCAATCGCAAGTGTATATATGCGTACAGGGTGGCTGGCCCTTGTTCGACTGCGCGAAAGAGGAGGACAGAGATAGAGAAAGTGAGAGAGGGTAGAGAAAAGAGTAAGCGGGGAAAAGACACGGAGAGGGTGGGTGAGCGCGAGGGTGGCGGCGAACGCCGGTGGCGGTAGCGGCGGCAGCGGTGGCGGCGTCAGTGCACGGAAGTGGCTGTGCTCCGGTAGTGGACGGTGGATAGTGTAGTGCGGTTGGTCGATTGGATCGGTTAGTCGGTTGGTCGGTGGTTGATTCGCCGTCCGTCTCGCGTTGCCGTCGCGTCGCGTTTCACCGGAAGCCGGGGCGGAAACTACGTCGGGCATCGTCCACGAGGCGCGGACGGCGAGACGACGACGGGACCACAAGAAGGGTGGAAAAGAGAAGGAAAGAGAGAGGCGAGAGAGAATGAGATCGATAAGAAGGGACCTTAGGCGCTGGTTTCGCGAAACGGGAACGGCAGTGCGCGACGCGTAAAGAGAGAAGGAGAGAAATATACCTCCTCCTCTCCTCTTTCCCCTTCGCTCGAGATTGCGAGTGTGCGTGTGTGTATGTGTGAGTGAGGGTGTAGGGTGTGTGGGTGTGTGTGTGGTGCGCTGACAAGGAGCGCACGCGACGTGTAGTACGCGCGCACACTTACGCACGCAGGCGCGAGTACGCGCGTGCGAGCGAGCAAGCCGCCGCGCCGGCACACGAGGGTGGAACGAGGTCCGCGAGGAAGGGAACATAGCCGGCTCGGTTCGTCGACTTGGCCGGCTCGCGAAAGGGCGGTTCTTGGATCCGGAGCGCCGCGACCGGAGGCCGAGGGAGAGAGCGAGAGAGACCGGAAGAGGAAACGGGAGAGAGTACGCGGAAGGGTTCGTTGGTTCATTCGCGTCGTGTCGGTTCAGGAAGACAGAAAAGTGGAAGAGGAGGGAGTCGGCTGCCTCTTTTTCTCTCTCTCTCCCCCTCGATCTCTATTCGCCCTCGCTCGATGGGCTACGCCGCCGAAAGAAGGTCAAAGATCGATTCTCGGGCCGACGAGGGTCGTGACCTCGCCGTACGCCGCCGCCGAGCACCAAGTGACCCACGCGCGTAGTAGTACTATCCGCTAGTAGTAGTACGCCGGCCAGAGGCGCGGAAGAGTTGTATCCGGTGAGGGGGCGAGGTGGCGGTGTGGCGGTGTGGCGGTGGGTGGAGAGAGGATCGATCGGGCGAAGGATCATCGTCGCGACGCGAGGATGAGGTCGATCGACCGGCAGAGAAGAGACCGAACCGGCGGACTCCGATGAGATCGACGATCTCTACGCGGCAACCGTCTCTCGCGTAGAGAGATCGAGGACCGAGACGATCACACACGTCCTCGTCAATGCACGTCGTTCGCGAACGCGCCATCACACGTAGAGTAGAAACGTCAGCGCGCATCCCAGGACACACCGTCGTCGTGTCCGCGATTTGGCATAAAAGATCGCGGAGGCGCAAGGAGATCGGCAACGTATCGTTGACGTCGTCATCGTCATCGTCATCGTCATCGTCATCGTCGTCGTCATCGTCGTCGTCGTCGTCGGCCATAGCCGGATGCTGGAGCACAAAGTTGGGAACAAAGCGAAGTCGAACGAATCGCCCAAAGAGAGGCGATCGTCGAGATTCCGGCAGCACATCTCCATCCTCTGGCTGTTACTCTAACTGAAAGCTCGGATAGACCGGACGGACGTCCTGCCGCGAGGGGAAAACGCTCGTTGATCGAATCACCCGTGCGGACAATCGAGCTGATATGAGCGTGAAAACGCACGAGGGTGATGAGAGACAGGAGATCGGTCGCGAGGCGTGACAAAGCGACTGCGGAAATTTCGAGGTCCGGATTGTACAGGATTCTCTTGAGGAATCTGGGGAACCGCTGAATCACTAGGTCGAGATAGAGAAAGAGAGAAAAAGACGCGTGAATTATTAATCGCACAAAGCGATCGCGATTGCAAGAGAATCGGGCGATCGTAGAGGAGTAAGAAGACGAGGAGGCACCGACGGAATACCGACGAAACGCTGACTAAACGCTGACGAGACGACGACACTGATTCGAGACGATCTCTCGCATCTACGAGGAGGAGGAGGTTTCCCGTAGAATGTCACGGGACCCTTACTCGAGCAGTGGCGTGATCGGTCCCGGTGGCGGCACACGTTCACCACGCAGCGGTCGTCGCGTGGGCGAACTGCCGACCGTTGATCGTAGTCCGTCGCGAAGTTATGCCAGCGGTCGTGGCAGTCCGCTCGGTGGTCGCAAGCAACGGGGAACACGCAGCGGCAACAACTCGCCGGAGCATCTAGGCTACGGCGGCGGCTACCATCACCATCAGCTGGGCAGCCCGTACTACTCCCGCGACGAGGACCTCGGCAGTCCCGTGATGCTCGAGGAGAGGGGTAGGAGTATGTCGACCGGGGGCGGTGGGGGCGGACATCACCGATCCAGAAGCGCCTCGAGACCCGCCATGTCCAGCTCGGCGGGCATGGTAGCGCGTTACACCAGCCTCGATCGTGCCTCCGCTGGCGTTCTCGACCATGATCGGGAATTCATGCCGATACGCGAGCCGAGCCGCGAGCGTAGCCGCGATCGCGGACTCTACCTGGAGGATGAGCTCTACGGCTCCAGGTCGGCCCGCCAGAGCCCGAATCCGCACATGCTGCGCGACGGCGGCGGCTACATCGGCGAGCTCCAGCACCAGAACAACGATCTGCAACGCGAGCTCGGCAACCTGAAGAAGGAGCTCGAGCTGACGAACCAGAAACTGGGCAGCTCGATGCACAGCATCAAGACCTTTTGGAGTCCGGAGCTGAAGAAGGAGCGGGCGCTGCGCAAGGAGGAGAGCACCAAGTACAGCCTCATCAACGAACAACTCAAGATGCTCAACTCGGAGAATCAGGTCAGTCGAGAACTACCACTCTCCTCTCCGCGGACCGGTCGATTCGCGATGCCCGGTTTAGCCTTGTGAGCGCGTGTGCCGTGTCTCTGTGTGCGTGCACGGTCGCGTCATCGTAGGATTCGATTATCGGATTCCGCTGGTCCCACACGAATACTGTACGGGTTGCTTATAATAGCCCCATCGAAGGGTCTCGTTTCGCGATGACGCCAAGAGATGTTCTTGGAGAGCCGCGGAAATGCGCGGAACGTCGTCCTGGCCGAAATCGTCGTGGCTGTCACGTCACGCGCGTCCTTGCGCGAAGGCCGTCCTCTCGAAATGAGGTCGCGGGACGCGACCTGGTGCGCCCGATGTTAACCCTTTCCTGTGATAGCGGGGTTGCGATATTACAGAATATTTTAGCATATATGCTTGACCTAATTATCTGCAATCAGCTTGCGGTCAGAAGGATTATCATACGTAAGCAGGTATTTGTGCATAGTCGAAAATGGATTAACCCTTTGAGAGGGAATTATCAACCTCTCGAAGTAAACGAAAAAATTATTAAATACACGGCATGTTTGTGTAGCATCAATCGGTAATGAGTTTATATTTTAGAAGAAAGAGATACGATATTTTTAGAAGACAATTCATTATTCTGAGTAGCTAAATTATGAATGGCATCCCCTTTAAAGCTAAGAAAGAACTTAAAAAGATTATACATAAAATGCGTTCATATAGTATCAGCTGGAAATGGGTCAACTCTTTGCCGAAAAATCTTTTGACGTAACAGAGGGTGGCCTTTTTACGAGAACGACGAATCATTATGTTTGCCGAAACATGTTGTTGTCTACCAGCATTTATTTTACAAATAAGATAGCCAAATATGTCTGGCGAAAATTCTTGCCCACGGAGCAAGAGACAGTTGCCTTTTCTTACACTTTCACGGCGTCACTTGGTGAGCTTCCTCGAACGAATTATTTCTGCTAGAATAGCGACACGTTATTCTGCAGTAACGACACTGTTGCAGAATCTTATTATCGATTTGCTAAAAATGCTCTACACGAAGGGGGAGCCACCTTTATGCCGATTTCGCGAGCGTTGCATATACCTCCCAAGCTTTTGCGGGAATTGGTCGGTTATTACAATGCGCGCATTTGCGAGATTCCGAATCAATTAACGTTTATGGCAGTGCGGGGTGCAGCGTGTCATCATCGCGCAAATATCGCGTAAATCATTCATAATCGGCATGGCACGGCAACAAGTTTCACTCGTGTCGTAATTTGTTTTCGCGTCCATCGCTTTGCGATATTTTACAATGAATCATTCGATATGTCGATTAATTAATTAAACAAAATTCGTGCGAGCTCTGCCAAGCTCCTGGATAGCCCCGCAAATTTATGACGATATTTCCGAGCTTTAATCCGCGATTATTTTCCCATACGATTCCTTAAATACTATATTATATTTCATATAACTTATTAAACATTTATGTAAAACGCATAATCCTCGTAATCTAAAATAACGAATGTATTAACACGTTTAAATCATAGACGGGATGCTCGCATTATGGGAATTTGAGCAACTTATCATGTAATAAGAAGTTAATGTTTATTAATATACATGTGACAACACATGTAGCAACATTTTATGAAATAAAAATAACAATATAATAAAAATTATGTTCTATGATACATAATACATCTTTGTGGGAATTCACGAAGTTCAATTGTCATGAATAATACTTTATCACCGCGAATAACACGCGCGGCAGGCATACCAATTTTTAATTAAATCATCATTTTGTCTTGTTGCCATCTGTTTTGTGGTTTAGTGACCGCAGCGCGTGTTCGCGGATCCGATGGAACCGTCCGAGGAAAAAAAAAGTACCCTCTGACCTTGTCAAAAATGCATGTCACATAAGAACGACGTGCCGCGGATTGCAACTGCTTTATTCACATTTTCCCGACTGGGTCAATTAAATTTGTACTCGAATACGCGATCCTGTTTCGCGACCGCGCGTGTGCATACGTCCGCTTTTATGCACGCGTATCGCGTCCACGGCGGCGCCGAATGAGTCATTGCCCCCGTGAGCGGAAGAATCTTAAAGAGCTAGATGTTTCTCTGGCTGACTGCCCACATTCGTGCCTCTGTCTTAGACAGAGTTTGCCCCTGTCTAAGTAAACGCTAGGCGTTCTCCAGCGACGTACCATACGCGAACGCTTGTCAGGCTTACATAAGTCCCATTGTGCCGATAATGCCCACCTCGTGCAAAACTCGCAATCACGGGCCGGATACGCTGTAAATTACGCCGACGATGTTTTTACATCGACGACTATTCGCGCGCATCGCTCGATAGTAGGCCCGTGTATTCTCCTTGGCACGAAATTAAGGAAATCAATTTACATTAGAGGTATCATTCGGAATAGAGGACAAGGGTTCCTCTTCGTTTTACACCAATAAAAATAATTATAACACCCTAAATTATTAAAGTATAATTTATATATGTTAGGATATTATTTGTTCCATTCGAGTGTACTGTTAATACTTTTTTTTGTATTAGAATTCAAACGGCCGCATGCATTGGGCCTCAACTTTATGATCTCGCACAATTAAAAAAGGGCTTGTAGGAAACATTTTAAAGAGACCTGGTTGTAAAATATTTTTGGTGATGCACGCACATTAATAATCTCGTATGACAAGATACTCGGCTCTCTACTGGGAAATAATATTAAAGTTTAGTTTTTTAACTTCCATTCTCTGCAAAAGTGACAATATTAATCGCACGCGAATTTACTCACTTCGTTTATTCATTTTCTCTCCGGTCCGTCGTTGCGGAAAGCTGTACGAGAGATCGCGTGTAATTTTCCGGCAGAACCTGCTGAACAAGCTAATATCGCCGTATCACTTTGGGAGATAAGAAGAAAAAAGGTGTGCGCGGACGACAGAGGAATGTCGAAAGAAATAATTCTCATTCGTCTCCCTCGACGCGGTGCCGAGAGAGTAAGTGGAGTCTTCGATCGATCCGCACACAGCCTCCGGCGGGCTTTTCCCGCGCCCTTCCTTTCTTCCATTAGCATCGGCAACCTGAGAATGGAACGTGCAAAAAACGCATTAAACTGTCGGCAGCAGGGACGAAAAAAGAAAATTGTCCGAACGCGAGTGCGAAATTAATTCTTCCTCCCAGCGAGCGGTGCAAGATTGGCTCGTGATACGCGTGTGACTCGCACAAGAAATGTCGCTTTTACAATCTTGTAATATTCCCGACTTATATATTCTTCTATACTCTCTGCGACGACGCGAAAATTGCATTCTGCGCGAATTCCCGTAGCATCGCAGGCAGCATGGCGTCTATGAACCACGCATACTACGTTCACGAAACATGTTGAGAATGTTGGTCTAAACTTCGACAATTGAGTATGGTGTAGCACCTTCAATATTTGAAGCGTCCATTACGATTATGCCACATATACATCGTACACATATTTCTTACAATTTTGTGAATATTATTAAAAGTAGCAGTGTCTCGGTACTTTTCATTGAATTTACGAATGCAAATAATTTAAAATTTATGTCGCATTAGCAACACTAAACATTATATTAGGAAAAATATTTTTTTTATAATAATGTCCTTAAATGTTGGAAAATATTCTTAGTTGTAATATCTCTGACTCAATGAAACTAATATATAGTCGTGATTCGAAGAGACAAACCAATAATTTGCATGTTTCGCACTGCATTCGTCATTTTGTCAAAATTAGGTCATTGCAACAAATGCAATTTGAGCTTACTGTTATTTTGGATTAAGTTCTTGGTGAAATTCCATCTTTGTTAAAATCATTTTATTATAGCAATCTAAATTAAATCACAGGACCAATTTGACTCCTGCAAAGCTATCTATTCATATTGCGTCATGAAATAGAGACGTCCTTGAATTAAAATGACGTCTTATCTTGCACGCTAAATCTATCTCTGAAAATTTGATCTGACTACTTTCGACCCAACTTACGATTGTATCTTTAATTATCTAACATAGATTTTTCACACATTATGTTCTATTTAAAATTGTGTTGGGACATTGTACATTAAAGTATAAGATCGTCATATTAATTAACATATATTGCTTTATTTAATAATTTACTTCATAACAATATTGGAGAATTTAAATTCATACAAAAGTAAATATACTTTATAAATTTTATTTTCACATTTTACCAATTACAGAAATATTCTAATTAACATGTCTGATATTAATTAAAATTCCGCTGTTCGTCACGATAAAGAGGATAGGTTACTAAATCTGTATCAAGAAATCCCTAACTTATTTACAAATAATTCCTTTCCGTGCATTTCGTTGAAGTGAAAGTGACAAAGGTGAACTCGTCAAGTAAAATGACTAATAATGAATGAGCTGTACCAATAATCTTGTTGCTTTTCTCGATGTGAATCGATCGCACACCCTTACATATATAAACGCCGTTGCCGTGGGATGTGAATCTGTTCGTGTCTAAGTGCCGACAATACCGTCCCTCATCTCATGAATGTTCACACGCCTCTGTAATTCATCTGGAGTTGCAGCTGCTATCCGGGGCCGTGGCTACATGAAGACAGTCGACTTTAGGGAGCGTTATTGTGCTGTCGCCGATAGAAAAAAATGCATAATGCAGCATTTGTACCTGGCATTCTTAATTATTCTTCCATTGTTCGCATTTTGTACCGTGATAACGCACATTGTCGTAGTACTGGAAAGATATTTAATCCGGACTCGCTGGATATTTCAACGCCACGGTAACAAAATCGATTTATACAAAGTACAGCAGGCTTATCTTCTTACGAATATTTTACACAATTAATAAATTAATAGTCCTCACAAGATGTCTCAGCAGACGAGTAACATCCGATAATGGATTATTTCCGAAGAATAATTTTTATATAACGAAAACCGCGAACGGAAAGAGGAAAATTAATAATTGTTTTTTTCACCCGCTCCAAAGAGAAAGAGAGGCCATTAATTTTGACGAATA